AAAACAGTTTATACAATTGTGTCAAACGGAATTAATAAACATAATCACACAAAATGCAAATGTTTATATTAATAAAACGTAAGTGTTAATCAATTAAGATTATCATGGATATTAAATAAAGGATCATGAAATAATGCACAGTTATGCAATGTTATGTTTAAAATGATGACAGATAACGAACATGTATGTCAAATTGATTATTGCAACGTGATTATAATAAATGGTGATGATTTGAACAATGACAACAAATTATTTTGTGTGGAAATGTATGGATTAAGACCGACATTTATGAGTGATTCAAGTGAAAATGGGAATAAAAATGTTGATCAAGACACACGGAGATCGTTGCAAACAGCAAGGGGAGTGCAGCGCGCGATAACGGTGCAGTTAGCAGCGGGGAGAGGACACGGAGACGACAGATGGTGACACGGACACAGCACGGGGAGGGGACACGGAGATGGTGGCACGGGAAGGTGAGACGCAGACAGTGGCATGGGGAGGGGACACGACAATGGTGGCATGGGGAGGAGAGGAGACAGAGATGTGGCAAAGGGAGGAGAAGAGAGAGACCGATCGTTAGTTTAGGTGCAACAGCAGCAGCAGCACCAGGCAAGATTAGACAGGCGTCACGGAACACAAGCTACGCAACCACAATACGAGACACACAACACCAGAGACAACAAAAACAAGAGATACACAACTAAATACACGAGACAGCGACAACGGCAAATAAACGTGCTACACAACAACATGGAACACGTCACCTGAGGACACATCACAAATGTATAAAACCTTACACGAGACAAACACTATGGGGAGACACACCGTGAGACATCACAAACACAAAACAAACACAACCTGACATCAACAGAACACAAGTCATACGTGACACAACCCACAAAAACGAGACAAGCACAACGAGACAGCTCAAGACACACAATATTAAACTAGGACAAATATGACGTGAACACACGGAGAACACAAATGCAAGACAAATACAAACACATGACAAACTGAACACAACAGATACAAGAAAACAAACACGAGACAGCAAACACGAGTTGCGTTAGCGTTAGGGGTGAGCATGAGGAGTCCGAGTGCAAAAGCGGCAGCAGCATCATGAGTCTGTGATGCGAGAGACAGACGCAGGTGAGAAGCAGCAACCACAGACTCAAGTAGAGGGCATCATTCTCTCAGCCACTCCTCCTCATAACTTCAGTCACCCTCTCAGTAACTCAATCTCTCAGTCTCTCATGCTCTCACCTTCTCGTTCTCCGGACACCAGCAAATGTCGTTGACACCGAGATTCACTTCTATGTAACTGTGCAGTAAAAATCTAAATCTCACGGCCCAATCTGTGACTGGCCTGAAGCCATTTGACTCGCCGCCCAGGACAATGCGGTTTCACCACACGTTGCTGTTCCCCAGGTGGAACGGCGCCGTGAGTCCGATGGGTTTCATTCTCACGTGTTTCATTGTCGAGTACCGGTGTGGTCACAGTTCAGTGACAAGCTGCATGCTTTGGGCGTTCACCACGTGCGTATGCCGCGTCATGTGACCATGCGAGGTTAGGCACTGTGAGAACGCGAAGCTCACAGTCACTGCCTGACACTTTACAGCTCTGTTACAACAACACTATCTCGTTTTCAAGACCAGGATGGGCTCGAAAAAAATTGTTCCTAATGAGTTCCAGACCAGAGCTCCCAGACCCAAGTCCCACCCATCCACCCCAAGCAGTCTGGATGATAGTCGCAGAAGGGATAGGACAGCTTCTAAACGTGAGATTCCAAATTTACTTGGTCAATGGAAGTTTCACGGCCTACAAAACATACATTCTCAACGAATTTATTATTGGGAAATAAACAATCACACAAAAAAGTTAACGGCGTGTTTGAAAATGCAAGGATTTAAACGCGAATCCACCGAAGAGATCTGCAGCACAAAACCCTGCGAATGCTGGAGGCTCCGAGCCACCCACAGTCGAGCGAGCAGCAAGGGAACAGTGAGGGAGCAACGAGCGTGCGACACACTGAAGCTGTACAGCCGGAGCTTCAAGCGACACCACCGCAGGCTGCATGAGCAGTAGCTGCGCAGCGTGGCGAGTGACAGAGCCCCCAGAAGCGATCGAGCCAGTGACCAAGGAGCCCCAGAGAGAACCATCAGAGCTGGGGTGGGGAACCATTCCCCCTGAGGGCCCAATATTGCAGTCAAATACCCCTGGGGGCTACCACACATTGCATGCGGGTCATTGTGTGTTCGCTATGTATGCATTTATTGACATCCAGGACACCCTTGCAAATGAGACGTTCCATTTCAAAGCATTATTCAGGTAATATATTTATGATATAAAAAGTCAAAAGAAAAACTCTAACACAAAGACCTCAGTCACCACTGTCACTGCAAGAGACCCTTCCAGTGACAGCCGTGAATGAGGGCATTCAAATTATAATTGTGACTGTTGCCAGGTCGAAAATATTCACCTCTAATACCCAATTAGTTTGGCTATGATGCTCTGTGAGCCGTTTCAAGGGGGTAGGTAGGCCTCATGTGACATGAAGTCATGGGTTCCCCACCATGGGTGAGGGAGAAGAGGACAGAGCGGAGTGCACGACCAAGAGCATCGTCCGAAGTCTCTGTTACAGCCAAAACAATGTGAGAACCAAACCTAGGTGCCACAAACAGCAGCTCTGTAGGCTGACTACAATGGAATATGGCAAAGGGAATGCGAACTTACTCTCCGAGTGACTTTGCTGGAGAATCCGTGAAATGTAACTTGAAAACACAAATGAACTTTACACATATATAGAGCTTCCTGCAGGACTGGTGCCAAGTGGCAGCCACAGAGCTTCAATTTAAATCAAACTGATTCACGCAGGACACGTGCACCAAATGAACCTGCAAGCCTAATTCATGAGAATTCATTGAATCGCAAGGTGGGGGGGGGGGGGGGCAACCATTGGACGTCTGAGTGGGGTATGGTGACGTTACAGAGGACAGCAGCCCTTCAATTATCCACGAGTCTCAAGACTGCTTAGAATATGAAGCACTGTATTGCGAGTTTGCCGAACGTGAAAGTAAACAGAAATACAGAAGAAAACCCACGCATGCAGAGGAGAAATGCCCAAAGTGCATGACACATACAGCCTGTCAACACCCACTTGCCATACCACCCGTTACAGGACACCACCCGACTGCCCTACAGATGTAATGCTGGCTCCATCTCTGTGTGCTCAGCCAACCCCTGCTCCAGGTGTGTGATCTTTCACGAGCAGCAAGCTCTCCACTTTGGGACCGTCACTCACACCGTGGCACCATACACGCACACACAGGCATCACTCCTCCCTCCTGCGTGTGTCGCTCATTCACATAGCGTCCAGAGCCACCCCGTGGCCTTTCCCGTGCTTCCGCTAACACTGACGTCGACAATAGGAGTCCCTGATTATTCCTGGGCAGCATCAGAGACGTCTTGACATCAACACCTTCAACTGATGATTCACCCAGGCAATTGAAAGACAATGATAGGAAAATAGAAATCCTCCCCAACATAACCGGTCTCCCGGATCTCCCTTGCCTAAGAAACAATGAAGCTCAACATTGCCCAGTTGAGTGAATTGAGGTGGCCAGGTGACAAAGGGATACGAGCAATGAACCAGAAATGCCAGAGGCCAGAGTTCAATGACAGTTTTCAACCACAGAGATTACGTTAGGTTCTCTAGTGTAAGCGAGTGTGAGGTTCGGTCACAAACGACTGCACATAAACGATCCACCGATTTAAGTTTGGTTTTCGTTTAACTCGGCCGAAGGGAGATGGTGCTAAGAGCTAAGATCTGTAAGTAACACTGGGTGACTGACAAGCAACAAACCACTCTTTATGGGGCACAAGTGAACACCACCCAGTGCTGTGTGAGAGCCAAATACAGCCCCGTGACGTGGTTCTGTGACGCCATCTTTTCCTCAGATGTGACGCTTGGCTGACTTTATTCATGGGGAGCCGGCGAGTCACGCAATAGTGCCATCGGTGGCCGAGTATGGTTCTCGTAGAACTTCGCTGAACTTAGTGGACCAGCTGCAGTTTGGGTTGTCAAGAAGACCCCAACGGTGGAGGTTGGCTGCACAGAGACCTTGCTCGGCTGACTGAATGTATCTCTTCACCTCTCTCCTCTGATTTGTGATCAAATTAAACGAGCCTTGGGCCTTCTCCATCCAGGAGGGATGCACACAAAGCATCGTGACACCGCACAACACAAACGTTTGGAATCTTTGGCAGTTTTTATTGTAATATTGCGTTAGGAAAATTTCATAAAGTACCAAAAAAGTTAAACAGAAATATATCAAACGACATCCACCCTGTATTATTATTATTATTGCCCATACAAGAATACCGGATGCGGCACGCGACGTGGCCCAGTAACAGGAATCACATGCAGACACCAGAGCCGCCCCAGCCAGTTAGCGACGCAGCACGACGCTGACAGCGTTCCCCATCAGTAAGAGTCTGTGCAAGCACGGTGAAAAAGGCTGACAAAACTTTGAGACTAGTGAGGCTAGCAATATCTGGGACTCAAATTCGGGACACTGGGTTCATAGTGCAGAGCGATAACCACTCAGGAAATGCTTCCCATAATACAGATATATGCACACTCACTGCCAGACACACACACATTCACTGAAACACACAACAGAGTACCGTCAACCAAAGACACAGTCATAATCTCTCACCCATGCACTCGCACACCACTCGTGTACAAGCGAGTGACTATGCCATCACTTCGCTAGATTAGAAACTACAGCTCCACGTGACGCGGTTCGGCTGTCGCAAGCTTACGACGTCACGCACGACGCGGCACGCACGACGCGGCACGCACGCACGACGCGACACGCACGTGGCATGTACGTGGCACACGGGGGGCGGTATGTGTGGGGCGGAATGTAGCACACACCGGGCCCACTGGACACAGGTGACGGGGAGCGCGTTCACAGAGGCCGGCTGCGTCACTTACTGGAGTTGAGCGTCTGGCGCGTCTTGGCGCTGGTACAATACGCCTCGATCACCTTCAGGATCTGAGAATCCTCCTCCAGCGCCACCGCCATGCCTACAGCACATGGGGAGAGACGGGGAGAGGGGATGACGAGGGGAAATTATAACAAGAAGTATGAGAGCACTTGTCCAGGCATTCACACTCAATCAATCACTTTTACTCAATTACCAACTCACAAAGTGAATCGCGTATTTACTCAACCAAGTGTTCCCTCATTAAACCACTCACTCACCTAACTGTTCACTTATTCAATCACTTAATTGCTCAGAGCCATCACTAATTACAACTCGCTTATTCACTCAACACTCATTGGTTAGTTCACCCACTGTTGCACACATCCACCCACCCTACCCATCCACCAACCCATCCACACACACACACACAAACCACATCCCTACCCAGTCACCAAACCCCCCGCCACTCAACCCGATCCATACCAAACGACCGACCCCATCCCCACACGCCCTGCCACTGATTGGTTAACCATGAGCGTGACGGCGATTGCCGGATGTCTGGCGAGCGTTGTGACAGAGCCTCACTTTTGCGTAGCGTGGGGTCGTCGTCTGATGGTTTCCGCGTCTTGCGGGAGGAGAGCAGCTTCTTCACGGCCTTGGGGCTCTTACTGAGATCCTGCACAGACAACACCACGGCTCGCTCACTCGCACTCTCACGTTCCCTCACAATCACAATCTCTCTATCACAATCTCTCTATCACAATCTCTCTATCACAATCTCTCTATCACAATCTCTCTATCACAATCTCACACCCTCATATGCTCCCTCTGCCATCCTGGGCTACCCTATACGATGAGAGGAAAGGCTTGCATGACAGTATTGCCAACTTAGTGATTTTGTTCCTCGATCCAGCCACAAAATGTTGTCAAAACAACTAGCGACTCATCTAGCGACGTTCCACGAAAAATACACAAATCATATTAGGAACGATCCCTGGTCTGTGTTAAGGATCCTGTAACAGATCATTATGAGCCATACTTGGCGAATTGTCTTGTGATATTTTATGCAACTTCACCAGCTCTATCTGTCACTTCTTTAGATTTGTTTGGTGACTTTCCAATTTAAGGAGTTGGTAACTCTGTGCACTGGGCTAGTGTCTGTGACTGCGTGTTGAGGAGGCTCGTGATGGATGCTACTGGGCAGCTGGAGAGAGTTAATCACCAGCAACAATGGGGGGCAGAGGAATGCACTCACAAGAATGATCGGAGCGCCGGGTGGCTAAAACGCACAATGTTTGCAGCGAGGAGCACAGGTAGTGCACCTGCCAGTCATCTCGGTCAATCAACAGGTAACACCTGGGTTTGTTCCGTGACCTCCCGCCAGTGAGTCTTCCTTGCTTAACGTGGCGCCTAGCCTGGCACAAGCACCGTGGTGACATCACCCTTACTTTGTGGCGAATGGCGGTGCTGGTTATTGTTCCCGTTTGTCCTAGCGCTCACCTCCTTGTAGATTAGCGCTGCCGAGGGCCTCAATGGCGGCGCCGGCCTCAAGCAGCTGAGGCTCCAGGGCTTGGCGAGACGGGGGGGCTCGAGAGGGGCCCGCGATACAGCTGACAAGGCTCCCCCCCCATGCCCCCCGTGCCCCCCGTGGCCCCCGTGGGCCCCCGCTAGCGGCAGGGTGTGGTATCCAGGGTTAAGCGCCGGAGATTTGGGCCCCGAATCTGAGGACTTGCAGGCGTGGGACGGGGGCGGTGATGGGAGCTGTGAAACGAAGACAAGGTGAGACACAGGGACACATTGGGACAGACACACAGGTGTCTCTAGTCTATTCTCCCATATTAATGTGTCTCTGTGGGTTTACAATGTTATAATCTCATGCCCCTGTCCCCCTGTGTATCCATGTATCTATTCGCACATGTCCCCGTGTTCCACGTATCCCCATATCCTCTTGTCCCCATATCCTCGGGCCCCCATATCCCAGTCTCTCTACTCTACCCATGCCCCCGTGCCCCTCACATTGTGCGAGGGCGCCGTCTTGGCACCGGGCGTGCTGCATGCCGCAGCGGGGCCCTTGGTTTGCCGGTGCAGATGCTCTATCCACTGTTGCGCGTCCTGGGGGCTCTGGCAGGATACCACGATCCTTTCTATCATGTTCCCTGCACACACACATACATTCATCACATATGTATGTAATGTACATAGTTCTCCTTGATTTGGTATACTTGCTCCCCAAGTACACGCGCACACACACATATGCACGTGTGTAACCCTCCAACAACAGGGGAGGAGAGGAGTGAAGCTCACATCGAGTGGAGCGCTGGACGGCTCAAACATGGCAAGGTGGCATAGTGGGCAGCACGGGTAGTGCATGTGCCAGTCATTTCAGACATTAAACCCATAGCACCTGGGTGTTCCATCATCTCCTGCCAGTGAGCCTTCGAAATTTCAAATGGCCTCAAAGTGCACCTATTCTGGCACAAGTGCTATGGTGACAGGACCGTCACTTAATGAATGCCAGTTGTTGTTGTATATATGAATGTGTTTGCGCATATAGTTGTATATGTGTGTACATGAGGCTGCCAACACGAAGCTCAAACCTGTGATTTCAAATGCATTCCGCACGATCTCTGTGTCCTCCAGTTTCGTGACCGTCATGCCCGTGAGCGGCAACTTGCCCTGCAGGACAAGGGGTTAGACCACGAGGTTCACTCACACACTCACTCACCAGCTCACACATTCACCGAATGATCCACTCAACTGCTTACTCGCTAAGTCATCCACTCTTATGCTCATCCAGCCATCAACACACTCACCCAACCACCCACACACACACAAACTCACCAAACCATTCATACATTAACTCACCCACTTACTCACCCATCCATCCAAACACTCACCCATGCACACGATGGGGTCTGCATTCACTCACCAGCTCACTCACTCAGCGCTCCACTGGCTGACTGGCTCACTCACCCCACGTCTTCATGTTCCGGTGTGCCCCCATGTGTCCCCATGTGTCCCGCTTATCCCCACGTGTCTCGGGTGCCCCCATGTGTCTCAGATGTCCTATGTGTCCAAGTGTGTCACCTGGTAAATGAAGCTGCTCATGCGAGGACTTGCTGACAGCATCAGGAGAACAGTGGGGAAGAGCAGGAGGTACCGCTCGCTCCGCTCCTATACGCATGCACACATGTACACACGTACACTCTTAATATGCACACTGATCACAAAGACACTCCGTATAGCTTTAACAGACTTCAGGGGAAAGTGCGGTTATAGCAAGCACATATGAAGCCCGGCACAACACAATAGGGGGTGGGTGGCCAGCACCCCACCCGGCCATCTTTGTCTTCCTCGTGGCGGTGATTACACACCACACCCGGTACTCATGAGTCAACCTAGGGGAGGCCCAGGACTGGTTCCAATAATCGTCTCTGGTGTTGGCCGTGAGCAGGCATCAAACTCGCTCACACCACGACAAACACCCTCATACAGCCTACACAGACTGTTTGGGTGAGTACTGTTAGCGAGCATCTACAAAGGCTGATATAATGCTCATACACACACACTCCCCATTCATCCTCCAACCCATTCACCCAATCTACAAAAACAAAGATCCCCCATATAGCCTTAACAGACTGTTGGAGCAAGTGCTGTTAGCGAGCACCTAAGAAGCGAATACTCGTTCACAACCTCACCCTTGCATACACACAAACACTCGCACACTCACGTCGCTGCCGGCGCACTGCACGAGCGCGTGGGACACAAAGAGGACGCCGCCCAGCGAGCGGATCCCCTCCCCCTCCCAGCCCTGGATCGGCTCCGTAACCATCTGCAGCTCCAGCTCCTTGCGCTTGCGCATATCTGTGCACTGCGCCTGCATGGAGGCGGAAGAACGCGGGTAGCATCACAACGCCGACGGTCGGAATCACCGGTACTGTGAACGCGATTCACGTGGGGCGACAATACAGACAGAGTTCTTCACAAGACTCCCCCACATAGGGCAATCTTGACACCGCCAGTACTAGTCATCGGCAAGTCGTCGAATTAACTATCATTATAATTGAGAATAGGTTTTACCCTTTTAACTGGCACAAAAACTGACACCTTTATTCAAGGCATCATGTTTGCAATAACCACAACACAAGTAGTCAAAATGCAAACAAAAAAGACAACTCTGATAATAATATGCAGTCCTTGAATTTGATTGGTCCACACCCGAGACAGCTTTTCTTAGAGCCTAGTCTCCATTGGTGTTGGACCAGAAGACGCCAAAAGGCGTACAACTCAAAAACAGCGCACTATCAGAGTATTGAGGGCTCGGGGTGAGCATTAACATTATGAGACCTCCTTTGCCAGAAACAAGATATGAGAATAGGTTTTACCCTTTTAACTGGCACAAAAACTGACACCTTTATTCAAGGCATCATGTTTGCAATAACCACAACACAAGCAGTCATCATGACCACCACCATCACCACCACCACCTATATCCGGCCAAAGAGAACCTGCATGCGGTCATTGGGCATGCGGGCTGTTTGACCAGCTAACGTAGCCTCGCCTGCCGGAGCTCACTGTTGGGACTGTATTCAAACATTTCAAAGATCTGTGAGCTCCTCACACAATCCAGCTGGTTGAACTCAGGATGGCGTAGCAAGCCAGCCTGAATGTAACAATCCAGCGCCGGTGTTCCTGTAAAGGGGTCAGTGTTTTACAATTATAGAGTTAAAGTTACAAATGTGGCTGAGAAGACCTGGAGCTTCCATATAGCGTAGCGTTCGGCAGCCGATGAAAAGATAATGCCGCTAAATTGATACGAAGTGAGACTTCAGCTGCCAATCTAGAGCTCTTCAAAGCACATTTCCCTTCCATGGGAACTCTAACTCAACCATTGCTGAGGCAGTTGCAGAAGGTGGACATACACCTGTAGTGTAGTGTGCACGCGCAGCTGATGAGAGGTACGTGTGGTAATTGAGTGACGCACGTGCAGCTGAGGAGAGGCGTCTGTATGTGGGCTGCAGGTTGGCTGTCGGGCAGGTCCTAGAAGGTGGGCGGAGTCTAACTGGGGGAATAAAAGCCGGCGTGCGGGAAAGCACGGGGTCTTCTTCTTTGTCCTGAGCAGATATGGGTGGTGTCGGAGAGAGTAGGGGTAGCTAGTAGGGATTAAGGTGTACCACGCGTGGTGTTATGCGTGAAGTGTAGTGTGGGCTCACAACTGGCGTGTATGGAGATTAATAAAGAATGAGCAGGTGTTACATTATCTTGCCTCAGAATGAGTTCCACACTACATTTGGTGTCAGGAGTGGTCGGAGATCTTCGCCGCCAACATACCAAGAGCAGCGGCGAAACGCAGGAACCCAACAGTAGATTCATCTGACGACGACGATGGTGGCGATGTCATTTCCGCGGAGCCTCCCGTCCGGGCGTTCTCCATGATGGGGGGGGGGCCACTGGACAGCGTTCCATCGCCGATTTGAAGCCACGTACGTCTCCGTTGGATGGACGTTGGAGGAGGCGCTGCGGGCTCTGCCAACGGCGCTGGATGACGACTCGCTGGCCGCCTTTAAATCCATCCCAGAGGCGGACCGTGCAACTTTTTCACGAGCCTGCACTGAGATGGCTGCCATCTTTGATCCCCCGTCCAATGTGCAGAAGCACTTCATGCAACGGCGGTGAGGTGAGGCCGAGATGCCGCTCGCCTTTCGCAGCGCTCTCTTGGCTCTGGGTCAAGCGGCCTACCCCCGGATGGATCGAATGGCGCTGGACTCCCTGGCCATGAAGCGGCTTTTATCACTGGCATGGGAGCTGGAGATCGTCCTCTCGGTGGCAGAGGAGAACGACTTGACATCTCTCCAGGTGGCCCGCGGCATCCAGGCCCATTTGAGCCTGCGCGAGTGGCCCGGGATGGTGGCATGCTCTGGAGATCCTGGTGAGCCGGAGGAGTATCAGCGGGGATGAGCGTTTGCCTCCTTCGATCGGCGTCCTAGAGCAGCAGGAGCTGGAGGACGCCCGACGCCGGTGTCGGGGAGAGCGAGGATCCCTCAGCCGCCATGGACTTCCAGGCGGATTTGCTTCATATGCGTCCGACTGGGCCACATCGCCAGCAGCTGCCGCCACAGATTCAGCAGTCCATCGGCGTCTTCGTCGTCCTTGGACTTTGACTCCTCCTCTTCCCGAGGCCTACAGGCGAGTCGCGACGCATTGGGCACACGGCCGCTTCCCTCCCATCACCCATCTAGTTTAGGTTGGGCGTCGGCTCAACGTATCACCTCCCATCCCGTCGTGGTGCACACACACCTCACGTTGTCGTCGAGAGCGTGGCTGCGTGGTATCGAGCAGTGGAGCGCGTTGGCTCACCAGGTTGTGGGGGCCACGGCGGGATCGTCGGCAGTGGACGGCTACATACAGGGGGTCCAGGTGCAGTTGTTGGTGGACACGGGTTTCGGCCACCATGATTTCCGAAGCGATTTTTCAGTTATTGCCTTCGCCCTGTCGTCTCGACTCTGTAGATAACGCATGTGTAGCGGCGAACCGGGGTAGCCTGGGTATAATGGGGAAGATGGTTGCTTCTGTGCAGTTCGTGAAATTGGTTTAGAAGGCCCGGTACTCATTTCGAGAACTCTGGCCTTGCCTTGTTTGTTGGGCATGGACTTTTTGGGTAGGATGCCGCTTAAGGTCCTAGTGGATCAGGGTTGTATTGAGATGCCTTTGGGCCGGCGACTGCAATTTTTGCAGTCCCCCACTCGGCTGGGGTCGGCGAATGCCATTGTTCAAGCACTGGCTACCAAAACTGTCAAGGTACCTATTCTAGATTTGAAGCTTTACGTGACTGCAAGGATCCATACTCTTTGGTTCTATTCGGTAAAGTCACGTAGGTAAAAAATAAAACAAAAATCACGACGTTTCGGCCGCAGCACAAGTGGCCTTCATCAGGTGAAGGGACCAGACTGTCTCGAGGACAGCGCTGGAGTGAACACAGCTAAGCTCAGACCGCGACCTTTAAGCTGTGTGAGAGGAATTAAGGTGCCTTGACAAAGGAATTAGCATAAAAAATAGCATTTAATTGGCGGACTTAGCATGATGAACGGTGTAGAGGAGGTGAACATGTGCAGGCCGGCGAGGTGGGAGGGGGAGTTTACATATTGATGGTGTGAAAAGGGAATTTTAAGAAGCTGCGAAAGTTTGGGGTACCACTACTTGAAAAAATATACTGTACCATTGATGCTTGTGCCGTTGCGGCTTCACAAAGATTTACACTTGTCGGCCCCGGAGGACGGTGTATTATTGACACCCTCGAATGCGGTAGCGCAGTTGCTCTCCCTGGTGGGGGCCTTAACTGTGGTGTCGGCCGACCTTAAGCCCTTTTTACAAGTTGTTAATGCGGGGCACGCACCGATCACTATACAGGCCGGTACCGTCATGGCACATGCGACAGCCGCTCAGTGTGGGGGATAGGAGGCACCCGTGTCCGGTGTTGTTGGGGGAGTTGTTCGGGGTGACGGGTCGAAGTGGATTGAGAAGTTGTCCTTCGAAAATCCCGACTTGACTGTTGATCAGCGGGCGCAGCTTCGGCAACTTCTGCACGATTTTTGACATTTTTGCGCAAGGGCAAATTTGATATTGGTCGAACGTCTCTGCTGCAGCACCGCATTGAAACAGGGAATTCACTCCCTATTCGGTTAAACCCGCATAGGCTGAGTCCTATAGAAAAAAATCATGTCCGCCTGGCAGTTGACAAAATGTTGGCGGCGGATATAATCTCTCCCTCCAACAGCCCTTGGGAAGCGCCCATTGTGATAGTTAAAAAACGCGACGGTACTCTCCGGTTTTGCATTGAGTATCGTAAGTTAAATAAAATTTAGGTGGCCGACGCTTACCCTCTTCCACGAATGGACAATTCGCTCGATGTCCTGTCGGGTGCGCGGTTTTTCTCCACCCTTATCAGGGTTTTGGCAGTTACCCTTGGAGTCAAAACCTGAAAACCGCTTTCCGCACACCACAAGGCTTGTTTCACTTTGTCTCCCGATGGGGCTCCATTCTGCTCCAGCCACCTTTCAGCGCCTAATGGAGTTGGTCTTGGTGGGTCTGAAGTGGGACTCTTGCCTAAATAGTTTTCAGCCGCACTTTCGACGAACATTTGCAGCGATTGAGGTCGGTTTTTGTTAGAGAGCTGCGAACCTTAAATTTAAATCGCAAAAGTGCCATCTGCTGCAATCATCAGTTCGTCGCGAGAGGCCTGCCGAACGAGCGAGCGGCCACCATCCCCTCCGTCCCGGCAGGGGCCGTGTCTCCTGGATCAACCAGGACATTCTCTGGCCCAGGACAAGATGGACCCTGTTCACGGGGATGGGCCAGCCGCTCCCAGAGCGTGATGTTTAGATGACGAGTGTGATAGTGGCGCTCGACTGTGTGGTCGGCGCCACAGGACCATGCAGTGTCTCGTCCTTTTTGGGATGGAACACTTTCGCCGCGTTTTCCTGTTGGTATTGTTGTTTTTTTTGTTCATTTTTTAGCTCACCGGCGTCACATCGCCATAAGTTGTTGAGTTACGCACACACCAGGGTTACTGTTAATAACAGCCGGGACGGCTGGGTTTTTTTTTATCACGGGGGGGGGGGGGGGGGGGAGGGGGTGATGCAATGTAGCGGTACACGCGCGGCTAGTGGGAGGCGCTTGTGTGGTGGGGTGGCGCACGCGCAGTTGATGAGAGCCACGTGTGGTGATTGAGTGACGCGTGTGCAGCTGGGGGGAGGCGTCTGTGTGTGGGCTGCGGGTTGGATGTTGGGCAGGTCCTGGCGGGTGGGCGGAGTCTAGCTGGGGGAATAAAATCCGGCGTGCGGAAACGCCCGGGGGTCTTCTTCTTTGTCCTGAGCATGTGTGGGTGGAGTAGGAGAAGGGTTAGCTAGTAGGGATTAAGGTGTACCACGTGTGGTGTTATGCGTGAAGTGTAGTGTGCGCTCACAACTGGCGTGTATGGAGATTAATAAAGAATGAGCAGGTGTTACGTTACCTTCCCTGAGAGGGAGTCTCACACTACACATGCACACACGCACACACAAGTGTGTGTTCCCTCACCGAGAGGCCCTTGAACGCGGTCATAGATATCTGGATGTCCGTCTTGTCCGGGTGAGTGTCCTGCAATGACAGAGGCAGCATCTTACTCATACCCAGGGCAGCCTCTCCACCTCAATATGGAAATTACATTTTCGGTATGATTATGTTATACATAGGGTGTATTCTTGATAGTTGTTGTGATCCGTGTGCGTTGTGTTGTCTCTGGATATTGTTTGTGGCTGTCACTCATGATCTGTGATAAAGCTGTTTGGTCTACGTGTAATTAAATTTGTAAGATCTTGTGTCTGTGAGTGCTGTTCTGTGTTGTCACTGGCAAATGTCTAATGTTAGGCACCAGATCTCTTCATGATTCAAGTTGTTAGATCCAAGGTGTCTATGTATGTGTTATCTCTGGACACTAGCTGTCACACACAGGACTACGTCGCTGGGAGGGATTAGGGAGGGAGCGATTGGGAAGGGGATTGGGGAGGTAGGGAGGGATTGGGGAGAGCACCTCAATGTGCCGCTCCAGCTCCTTGAGAAGAGTTGGGTATTTGTCGAGCCGCATAAACGGTTTGCTGAGGCTTGTGGTGAGCATCAGGATCCCAGGGCTGTTCGCACCCTTACTCTCCATGAACTCCCCCAGCATCTCCCTGCCACATGAGATTCATCATCATCAATATCATCATCTGCATCATCATCGTCGCCATCGCCTTCATCATTATTAGGATGAACTCCCCCAGCATTTCCATGCCACAGGAAATTCATCATCATTAAAATCACCATCTTCATCATCACCATCACCGTCGCCACCGCCTTCATCATGACTATTGTAGTGATATAGAATTGGTCACTAAGCAGCATAGCGCTGGCTGCTGGCAGGGAAGGTTGATCTGCAGCTTGTAGCAGCCCTGACTGACAGCAGGCCACGTGATAGACCTGTGAGGGATCTAGGGGAAAGGTTACAGAAGGGACACATCGAGAGCCCGCTAGTAGGTTCCAGAAGGGGGCGTGGCCGGGACGGGAAGATCGTCACCATCATCGCTGTTGTCAAGTGTCTTCGTCGCTGTCGTCTCATCTGATGTATTGCGCTGCTAGACGTAGTTGGCTGTCTTAGTTCAGCGCCGTCAGTGTCAGACAGCTAGCGTGTTGTAGGCTAGCCACCAGTGTTGAGTTGCGTATAAGCGAGAGACAGAGTGTGTAACAGTGTAGGGTGTGTATTGTATAAAGTGTGCTCTGTGTTTAATTAAAGAATTACATCCAAGAGGTTACATCTCCAAGTCAGTCACTACACTATGATGAATTTCCACAGCATCTCCATGCCACAGGAGATTAATCACTGCCACCATCATCATCACCACAAACATCACCATTACCATGAACTCTAACAGCATCTCCCTGGCATGGCAACTTTACCAAGAACGTATGTGTGTGTGTGTGGGGAATGGTAGTGTAGTGGTTAGCGTGCTGCAAGATGAACCCGGTAACCCAAGTTCGATTCCCGCTCACGACCTGTAACAGTGGCGAATATCTGAACCGGTCCCGGGCCTCCCCTAGATTGACTCAGCCTGAAATGAGTATCTGGTGCAATGTGTAAACATCGCCACTAGAGACAAAGGCGGCTGGGGGTGGGTTCTGGCCACCCACGACCCCTCGTGTGTCGTATCTGCCTCCATAGCTGTTCGCCAATAGCACTTGCCCCAACAGTGTATTAAGGCTATATGGGGATCTTTGTATTATTATAATTGTGTGTCGTACAACAGCTGGATGTAGGCCACAGCCTTTAAACTGATTAAAGTCTAGTGATTTGGGGTTCTCCATCAACTATTTATCAAGGCCGTAGATCTTCCCCCGATTCCATTTGTCCTGCCCTGCAAAGACCTCCCTCACTACTCCACATCAAGAACCTCTCTTCTCAATTACTACAGCTTTCACCAACACACTCGCACTGCACTGGAATGCGAGCTGATCAATCATGATGACACCCCACGAGAATCGTGGGGTATTTTACCCATAATGCATGCGGCGTAAACAACGCGGAACGTATCTGATCATCAACATCATAGGCAACAATAAATCCACTGCTAAATTAAAGCTACCCCACGCCCTCACCATCTCTCACGGTACTGCAACACAAAAATCCATCTTCGCACCTGCACATCAGCTGGTTTCACAGCTCCATCTCCACAGTGTATTTACTTGACGTTTGTAGCGAATCGTGCTGGGTGTGGATGAGGAAGTGCGGTGTCGTTTCAGACAAGTTTTCTGGGAGCCAATGGCAGCGGCAGAGAGACAAAGGCAGCATTGTAAAGCAACAACAACGTGCCATTGAGTCCCTAGGCCAGCAGCTGTTCCAAGGCAGGGAGGGGTAAGCCCCGACATGCACACGGGCACGTTTGTACGAAGCACATACTCCACATTCCCACACACACGTGCACATATACAAGCACACATATATACAGATACAAAGTCAAAGGTTCCCCATATAGCCTCTAGTAAATTGTTGGGGAAAGTGCTGTTCTTGAGCACCTTTGAAGGCCGGCATGGCACTCGAACAGCACCACGCCCAGCCGCCTTTTTCTCCCCAGTGCTGATGTTGACACACCACACCAGGTACTCATTTAAGACTAAGTCGGCCTAAGAGAGGCCCAAGACCGGTTCAAATATTCGCAACTGATGTTGACCATAAGCGGGAATCAAACTCGGGTTTCCAATTTCATAGCGCAGTGCACTTACTAATACAACTCATGCACCCAACATAAAATAACAGCTCACAGTGCCAAAGACATTACCAAAGTGCTTGTATCAGGCTATATGCACTCTGAGGCCACGTGAAGTGTCAAAGCTTCTCTGGTACGAGTTCACGGGACAGACTCAGGTGCCATGGGCTGAGTAAGATGACTGGCAGATGCGCCACATGTGCTCCCCACTGTGTAAACTTAATGCGTTTTAGCCGCCCGGCGCTCCGCTCATTGTGAGCGTCGCTCCTCTGCCCAGTAGCCTCGTCCAAAGAGGCCACTCTTAACACCACTGGTACCAGTCATCGGCCAATTCGCTTCGCTCCACGGCTTCCTGTACCGGATGAGCCCATCTCTTCTCGAGCCCATACAGCACCCATTTAGCACCCTCAATCTGGCTAAATAGAAACGGCTTGGGGAAAGAGGTGGCTAGGTATGTGGGCTACATAACTCAATCAATGTAGCCTTGCCTACTGGAGGAGCTGTGTCCAGCCTTGCCTACTGGAGGAGCTGTGTCCAGATCCACTGTTATTAATGAACTCACATTCATTAATAACAGTGCCTTAAAAGGAAACATGTATAATAGGCGACGTTTCGGGCAATAGCCCTTCTTCATAGCACATACACACAGATATACGGGTGATTGATAGCAGTAGTGAAGCCATAGGAAGAGGTATGCTGAATGTAGTGTGCCAGTTGCGGATATATAGTCCGAGTAGCTGACGCGGACCGGCACGGCTGAAATTAAAGCCCTGCCTGCGCCCAGTTCACGATGCGCCATGGGAGATCGGAACTCCGCGTTGTTTGCCTCAACACTCCCTTTGTTGCGCTGGCCTTAACAGGTGCTCACAAATAACTCTGGCAATAGGAGTGCAATGAGGAAGTTTGTGTTTGAGGTAAATAAGCACATTGAACTGGTGTGATGCTTTGGGCTGATGCTCGCTCTGCTGCTGCTACTATGTGGCTTGTGCAGAAGCAATGAGGGTTTCTGGGTCATCACAAAGGACCAAGACGGACACGAAAACTGACGATAAAAACACAAGGCACTGCTGTGTGCGCCGCGTATGGTACACGTGCTAACCATGAGAAGGCAGTAATGACTCGTGTTTCGTATTCCAACAGAAATTGTCCATCAAGGCTAAGGTGGCAAGTGAGCATGCATCCATTCATTATTGAAAATAGTATTTCACCGTGTCTGCTTATATCTGTCTTCTTATCATGTATTGTATTAATGTGTACTATCTATCTGCATCTGTGTGCTTGTCTGCATGTCTCTGTGTTCCTTCCTGTCTGTATGTTCCCGTGTCTCTAAGCCTGTATCTGCATCGCCTTGACATGTTCTGTGTCCTTGTTTCCTGTCCCTCCATGTCTCCATGTCTCTCTCACCTGGCAGGGGGCCGTTGTCTCCCCTCTGTGCTTTCCTCGCTCGCCGAACGAGGCCTCCCACACAGACACTGCATGATGATGCAGTCTTCTCCTCCTCCACCACGCAGCTGATTCAGAATCTTAAAGGAGCTTTGGTCTGGCTCTGTCTCAAGCCTTAACACTTACGACTAAATTTTAGAGGTGGCTCTGTTTGGCTCTGTGAATGTTATGACTTGACAATGAACCCTAATAATCCGCAAAGTAGGTTATTCTGGCTCTTAGTCTTAATATGTAGTTTAAGGTGGGAGCTTAAAATACCAGAATAATTCTCATTTGCAAGAGTGACCTGGGTCACCAATATGGCAAATGCAATAGCATAAAACGAGGTACTGTCCGTTACTTGGCAAGGGGAGGGGGTCACTTCAAGCGGTCAATGCAGGCGTGCACGCGGCTACTAATCCTGCGGAGTGCCCACCGGGCAGGCGACTCGGAATGGGAAAACTTGGGGTGGGTCGGCGCTCACTACAAGAACTCCTCGGCAACACCGGCTAAACCGGCTGACTTGGCAGCGTCTTAACTACTGACGTTTTAGCGACCCAGCGAAACACAACCAGCGAGACAACTGCACAATAACAGGCTGCGTGTGACTCTATGCTCACGGTAGCCACAGCTGGATACACAACCAGAGACCAGCAAACTAAGCTTTACTACATTGCATACCCCTGATACTCATCAGTAATCCAGACAAGAATACAACAAACAACACACGAGATTTTCCTCTACACTCTAGGCACTCAGGAGCTGACTACAGCAGGCTGCACCATGATGGTGGCATCGGCGAGGAGAGTCGTGGTCTTACCACCACCGCCTCCACCATTCCGGTTTCGCCGTGCAGTCTGTCTGGTCTGGACGGCTACGGTGAAACCGAGAGCCGGGCGAGATGACACTGGAAGCCCACAGCCCAAATAAATAACACAGGAGGCTTCCACAGCACTCCTCCTCTCTGTAAATAAGAGCCTCCATCTGTCCCTACTCACATGGCTGGGAAACCATGGGGGTCCAACCGCGGCCAGGGGGACTCCAGACTAGCGACGGCTGGCAATTCAATTCGTTCCTTAGTGGCAGAAATAATGCGGGTTATTCAAGTTAAACTTAATGTAAGTTTTATAACTTGATTCAACTGTTTTCAAAGCGAAATTGCTTCCCTTAAACGGTCACTACCAGTGCTGGGTTATTGTGATTTCAGCTTTGTTTTTTACAGTCGCATACAGTGGAGATTCAAGAGTGCACAGAGGGGAGTAGAGTGAGATGACGGGGGAGATTTTTGAACCAGCTGGCCAGGCTTGGGCAAAATTAGCCCACATTTCACCCAGGCAACTGGAGAGTACAAACGAATTGCTAACCTAATAATTTGTTTAAAAATCACAGAGGTAGGATAGTGCGCTGAGGGGAGAAGAGTGATTTCAGATGAGAGAGGTAGAGAGAGTGCATGGAGAGGAAGTGAGATTAAAGGGGAGAGGTAAGAGGGTGCACGGAAGAGGAGGATGTGAAAGGGAGAAGTAGGTGAGTGTGGAGGTTAGTAGAGTGAAAGGGGAGAGCAAGGCAGGGGCGAATGCATCCTTGACTTTGATCTGGGATTGAATTGGGAGCCCGTGTAGGGATTTAACTTCACTTAACCAGGCAAGAGGACAACGAGATGCCTCCGAAATCCCAGTGGCTCACAACACTACACACCATCGAGTATTAACCACTACTCACAGTTACAAGCATGGCAAGCAGGTGAGTGTCCACTTTGTGAACTAACGCTTGATTTCCAGCAGAGGTGGGAATCCCTCTGAACCCCCCTCCAAACTCGCATCAACACGCCCCACCTCGGGAGTTGTAACAGTTGTGTGTATTAATGTATTCATTTGTGTAAACGCAGACCCCGTGTGCACAGCTGAGACAACTGTGGCTTAAGGCGACAGCACACAACCCCCGCAGGGCTGCTCTGACACCTCGCATGTGTAGAGTGAGGGCTTCGTCTCCACTCCAGCCGCTCCATCACCGCCCTCGGCCACCATCATCGCTGAAAATCGTCATCAACGTAACCATCGTAACCGTAGTCATCGTTGTAATCATCATCGTAACCGTAGTCATCGTTGTTGTTGTCATCATTCTAACACAATGTATAAACAATTCCACGCTCCTATGGCGGGGGCGCGTTTATCCATAGCACAACCATGATGACTATAGCCTGAGCTGTGCTCAACGACATGCACACACAAGCGTATAAAGTGCCAATTATAATCGTTTCAGCTTGCCTGTAATATTTAGAATCCTAACAAATTCAGAAATTATATCCACAGGGTTTCTCTGAAGAGTACAACGAGCATCGTCAGAAGGTCTATAAAGTAGTCCGTGTAACAGCACTGGAAGTCAGAGTCACCGTGTCACCCAACCAGGCCTCCTTAAATAGGGATCACGATCTGAAAGGAACAATCAAGAAGATTTAACGAAAAATGTAGCATTTCAAATTAATTAATTAATATTTTACGATAATTTATATGGCCCAATGATTCACAGATTACTTATTTGGTTGTAATGATTGCTCTGCAATTTACCACCGAGCTTAAATAACAATAATTCACATTCTAGATTTGAAGCTTTCGTGACTGCAAGGATCCATACTCTTTGGTTCTATTCGGTAAAGTTACGTGACTTTACCGAATAGAACCAAAGAGTAATAATTGACATGTTGTTAAATGCTTGTACACCATGTGACAATTAATTTGTTTGCCGTGTCGGGGAGTGGAGGGTTCCGGATGACACAGATCTGGTCAGACCATGACATGGCTTTAACCCAAACACTATTGTGAATCACACACACCTGTTGTCCTGCAGAACCTTGACGGCCCAGGGATGATTGGCGCAGTACTCCAGGTAGAGCGTCTCCATCTGCGAGCGCAGGCTCATGAAGCAGGAACCCACATGCTGTTGCGCCTCTGGCAGCCTGCAGAAGGGACGGGGCAGGGGCACGAAGGAGGGGCTATGAGTCGAGCGAGTATCTCGATATGCATCTGCATGCACGTAGGGAGCGGTGGTGCAGTGTTTAGCGCACTGCGCTACGAACCCGGAAACCGACATTCAATACCCACTCATGACCAATATCAGTGATGGATATGTGAACCGGTCTTGGCCCTCCCCTAGGTCTACTCAGCCTTAAATGAGCACCTGGTGAGGTGTGTAATCATCAGCATTGGGGAGACAAAGACGGCCAGGTGTGGTACTTGCCGCAACACCCGCTTATGTGCCATAGGTGCTCACTAAAAGCACTTGAACCTTATGGCGGAATCCCGGGGTCCCGAATAAACAGAAGTCAAAATCGTAATTAATTAATTTACTTTTTGCCGACTCCGTCCCACTGCGCATATAAACGCCGCATCTCACCTTGTGCGGATCATTCTGTTGCCGTGTCGTGTCCAAGCGCATCGAGGACTAATGCGCACAAGAGCTGAACAAGCAAATGCACTCCATGCTCGGGTATGGGCAGGATCATAAGTCTTCTCCAAAGTTGCTCAAACTGCCTACACGACTTAAGCCCTTTATTTGTCATAACGGTATGCATAATACAGTGAAACTGCTCTCTTATCTTCATTATTATTTGTGACCTACCAATGTCTGCAGCCAGGATCAATCGATGACAATTCTATTACCTGCAGATATTTAACAGATGAGATGCGTTGAACCGTTAATTCCTCCTGTTTGATCATACTTCTCTTGTCCGTATGCATCTGTGCAGATAGGTTTTTTTTTTGCGGTTAAGCCATAGTCCCCACATACCGCTCGTATCAATGCGGATATGAGGAGCGGCGACCCACTACTCTGTAAAGTAACATTGGTATAAACCCTTGTTACAATATGAACAGCGCATTGATAACGCGTACTATTTTATGTACTGTTTACAAAAGTGTGTTCACAAATCCACACTTAGAAACACGATGCTTGACAGAGGGGTGTAAAAAAAATTCCGACAGTGTATTTAACTAGAGGTACTGCAGCTAAGTAGTTTTCAGTTTTAAAGGCAAAGTTTAACAAGACAACACTTGCCACCATCCTTCAAACCCATTGGAGAAAAAGAGAAAAGTTTTTGTTTACATTATGTTTATGCGAGAGCCGGGGGCTTATGGGACCCTGGGGTCCCGCCACTAGGTTCACTTGTCCCAAGAGTCTGTTAAGGATATTCGTTCTTGGTCTTTGTAATACAATATGCTTGTGTATATAAAAGTCATATCAAACCAATTTCCTGCTCAAATGAGCATTGAGGCAGTGCTCATGTCATGTTTACAGCCCTGAGCCAATGATAGAAATTCAACATTCTTATGGCGGGGACGGGCATACCCACAGGACAACTACGATTGAATTATAAATAGTGGTACTCATTTTATCGACCCGGAAGGATTCTATGTTTGCTTTTGCACTGTACGTAGCCAACCATGCTAATCGGAGGTGCGGGGAAAGGATGGGCTGAGTCAACCCCCAATCAGGATATGAACTCGCAACCTTGCAAATTTGAGCCGCTCTCTCTCTGCCGCTGAGCCACCAGGCTGGGTTGTGTGTGCGTGAGCCTCACTTGGCGCACTCCTCCAGGCTGTGCACCAGGCTCTGCTGGAAGCTGGCGATCACCTCCAAGTTCCCCAGCAGCAGCGCCATGTCTGCCGGCGGCAGCCTGCACCAACACCGCCATCGTAACCATCAACATCGTCACCATCGACACAATCAATATCACCATTACCATGAGCACCATAACCAAGACCATTACCACAACCAACATGACCACCACCATCAACAAACACCATCATCAAAAATACCACCACTCCCAATACCACTGACTCCAACGACACCATCACCAATAACACAATCGCCATCTCTACACACAGTCATTGACATCTCGTCTGATCTCAACACATTTTGAAAGAGCATCCCCCAGTGCCAGCCACTGGCAGAGCCAGTGGGGGGGGGTGGGGTGGCACATGCACCCCCAATGATCCGATCGAAATCCATAATTTCGATCGGATCATTGGGGTTTATTAGTAATAAATCGGCATTTTGCGACCTCCACTGCCACTGTGTAGCATATTATTACGTGCCAGGGACTCTATGAGATGATAGGACAATAGTCTGAGTCTATAATTGGCAATAAGTAACGGCAAAGCAGTTATAAGTGACTCACAGAATTGTGCGAAGTTGCACACCTTCAGCGAGCGCGATGCCGGTCACACACGGTTCGAATTCGACCCTCGAGCGATGGCTGCGCCATCGCCGCACACGCGTCGAATAAAAAGCAAGGGACAAGTCCTTACTTAGTAACAACTCCTTACTTACTAACAACTCCTTACTTACTAACAACTCCTTACTTACTAACAACTCCTATGATTTTTCATTGCTGGAGGGGTTGCACCCCCTACCTGAAAATCCTGACTCCACTATTGGTGCCAGCTAGCCCTGTGCGGCACAAGGTGATTCAGCACTTACTCTGCCAATGCGCATGAGTAGGGGGCGATGATTGCTGTCTGTTTCTGAATTGAGTAATTTACGGGTATTTGGTTGGGTTTGGCAAATTCGAATCACGATGTCGGCACACAATGGCCGACTCGTTTTGAATGACGTCACGGGATCTTTACAGTCCACTGAACGTTTAATACTCTCGGAGTAATTACCCAGGCGGCCTGCCAGACTATAACCGTGAACTTCTGCCACAAACGGCAAACGCGCTAACCGCCGAGCCATTTCGCTGCCTTTATGGCAGCGCAAGTGCGTACTTGTCGCTGGCCTGCAGGGGTCGTAGGAACGTGGCGAGTAGGCAGTGCAGCTCCTTGCTGTACTCCTGTTCAGTCTCCACGATGTTCTTCACCACCTACGAGCCATGCAGGGCGAGGGAGGGACACAGATTAAGCGGCCGCACGAGGCTAGACTCCTAGGATCCAGCGCCAAGGAGGCCAGGTTGGTAGATAGCCACGTTTGACCCCCACACACTCGCGTGTGGCTTTCTTTACCATTCCAGTGTTGTATCTGAACCAGTCCTGGGCTTCCCATCGGTTGACTCAGCCTTAGTGTAACCATCACCACGAGGGAGACAAAGGCGGTCTCTGGTACAGCACTTGCACAATAAAATCTTTCGGTAAAGTCACGTAGGTGAAAAAATAAAATAAATTTAATCACGAAGTTTTGATTGCAACACAAGCAATCATCATCAGGTGTGACAACCACAGCAATACATTTTTTTTACTGATGTCAGTAAAAAAAATATTTTTTTACCGATTTCAGTAAAAAAATTCTTGCTGTGGTTGTCACAACTGATAATGATTGCTTGTGTTGCAATCGAAACGTCGTGATTGAATATATTTTATTTTTTCACCTACGTGACTTTACCAAAAGAACCAAAGAATATGGATCCTTGCAGTCACGAAAACTTCAAATCTAGAACACTTAAATCTCTTTAGGCTAATGGGGGATCATGGGGGATAATTTCCTTGTTTGTGTAGTGTTGTGGATTCTGGAGACGTCGGAGACGGATCTTGGAGGCAACACTATTTATTAACACAATACTCGGCAGTACAGTCTCGGCACACTCAGGGCAACGGCCCTTCTATCACCAGTGCCTGGGGAGGTACTGCCTCCGGGCTAACGTGCCCTAACACGGGACCACAACTCTGGGTCCTCCGGCTATGGGTGCCTAGGGGAGGCTACTCTAACCCGACCAAGCCAGGGTGCAGGTTCCGACCACTGGCCCGCTCGGACCCAGCCCTTATAAGGACGTCGGGCCGGGGGTTCCCAGTGTCTCACCACTGAGCCACACAGAGTCCCGGCCCTGACAAAGGCAGCGGGGCTAGGGGTCCCAGGGTCCTATCTAGCCAGTCTTCTTACTTCTGTCTTGGACTGGCCCCGGACCCTTCCAGGGGTCCGGCTTTCATACACAGCCCGGGAACGTCAGCCCTGACTCCGCCTACCTTCCCGAAAGTTCCAAAGGGGCTCCGGGGGATCCCAGGACACCCCACAGCCCCCTCTCATTGGGAGGGGTCCCAGGGGATCCTAGAACACCCCACAACCCCCTCCTGCTCTGGGGCTAGGGATATAGCGACTGCCCCTGCTGGACTGTGTCTGCCCCTACAGGTAAGTGTACACAGCCCACTGACATCGCTACATTTGTATAAATTTGGCAAACACCACTGACCACGTCATAGTAGCCCTTGGCAGCTGGAGGGCTCTCGGGGGGTTTGGCTCCACCCTTTGAGCCCACAGCCTTTGGTGATGTGGGTCGATCTGTAAGGCACACACACACAGCAGTGACATTCACCTCAGAGCACACGACTCCACACAACACACACACAGGGGAGACAGCTGGAAGACTAGGGCTAGGGCGAAGGTTAAGTGCTATGGTTTGGATCAAGGCCTGTGAGGGAGACAGGCATAGAGACAGAGACGGGGCAACAAGTGAAGAGATAGGGAGACGGATGTAGTGACAGGAAGACAGAAATAGAAACAGGTGAAGGGACAGGGAGACAGGTGAAAAGACAGGGAGACAAGTGAGACACAGGGGGACAAGGTGAGTGGAGATGGGGGCTGGGCTGCCCACCGGAGGCCTTGAGCTCGCGCACGTAGTTGCTGGGGAACCAGCCCGTGTGGCCATTGAACGCCCCCTCCCACCAGCCGCCATGCTCGACGCGTGTCACCGTGATCACGTCGCCCTTCTCGAACGACAGCTCGTCCTCGTTGGTCCTCTGGAACGTGAACTTGGCACGCACCACCATGCCTCCCCCACTCTCTGTCATCTCCTGACGAGGGGAGAGGGGGTTTGGCGGGGGTTGGAGAGGAGTTTGAGGAGGGTAGGAGAGGGGGAGAGATGGGACAGAGCAGGGTAACGATTGGTAAATTAAGATCGAATATAAACTTCAAACATTGTCATGCGTACAAGAACTGCCTGTGTACGTACAAATCATGGAGCATATGACGTGACTAGTATCACATCGATAACCATTTGGTCAATGCATTGCTGATATACACACACATACAAGCACACACACATTCTCAAACACGCACTCGCTCAACCACCCACTCATTCACTCAAACTCACCCTTGTGCATGGCCCCCAGGTGCCGGTAGTGAGTGGCAAGCGAGATAAGAGTTTCTTTATTGCACACACTTCCTCTCCATCTCCACTTCTACATCAAGCATCTGCCCCTCCTCCACGCAAAAACCGGCACCGCCCCTCCCCCCACAGCCTCAGCCCAAATAGTAATACAATCGCACACAGTGACGTCATTCAAACCACAGCCCTACCCTATAGCAGCCACTCAACACACCGCCACTCAGCACACAACCACTCAGCACACCGCCACTCAGCTCACCGCCACTCAGCACACCGCCACTCAGCACACCGCCACTCAGCTCTCCGTCACTCAGCACACCGCCACTCAGCACACCGCCACTCAGCACACCGCCACTCAGCACGCCTCCACTCATGCACGCCGCCACTCAGCTCAAACTCCCATCACTCAGCACGCTTCCACTCAGCACGCCTTCACTCAGCACGCCGCCACTCAGCACGCCTTCACTCAGCACGCCTCCACTCAGCACGCCTCCACTCAGCACGCCTCCACTCAGCACGCCGCCACGCTGCGCACAATTACTCAGCTCAAAGACACTCAGCTCACAGCCAAACCCGGTAGAAACCTTTGAACAATCGTCTGCAATGCTGGTTCCCCTGGAGAGAGATACTATGGCTGTATTTGGCAGCGAGTAACTCAATATTTATCTGTACCTCAATAGACTCTGCTGCCAGAAGGCTCACATGGATAATCTTTGGCTCTCATGCAAGCTGGGTGCTTTTTCTCACAATTATGTAATTTTATAACTGATAAGTTCATGTGCAACTAGGATGATTACTGTAGGCAGACGACAACCAAACCATTGAAATAAAGAGGCGAATGAGGCTAGGGTCCAGTGATCGTCTGAAAACTCAAGTTTATAATGAAAAGTAATGCAGCAATGAGCCTCGAGAAGAACAATCAGTGTGCGCTAACTGCGGGAGCATGTGGCTCGGACACAGCCACTCGTGAAAAATATGTAACAAAAAATTAAAAGTGATAAAGCAGTGTGGACAGACAACACTGAGAGACAGAATGAGGAACACATGGATTAGAGAACATACATGGGTTAAAGACATCATCTAAAACTATTAATAAAAGCTTGCTAAGGCAAGACGAGTCTCTTGGAAGGATGACAATGGAGTAGCAGCCAAGGCATAGAATGTGTCTGAGTAGACACCCACGATGAAGATGGAGCTGTGAATTTGGCTCCCGTTCAGGTGCTGGATGGATTATTACAACGCAGGATCATGAGGGGTGGTGGCGGCTTTGGAAGGCCTTCATCCAGCAGTAGATTGATAATGGCTGATGATGAGAAAGTCAAAACGGCACACAGCCACACATACCATATGTATGTTGCACTTTGTTCGTACTGTACGTAGTCAAACGTGCTAATCGGAGGTACGTAGCCAACCGTGCTATTATGACGTGAATAGAACAACGCCCGGCCATCTTTGTATCCTAAGTGATGATTTTTGCACACCAGGTCCCCCTTTAAGGCTGACTCGGCCTTGTAAAGGCCTCACACCAGTTCAGATATTCGCCCCTGATGTTGGGTGCGAGTGGAAATCGACATCAGGTCACTGGGTTCCTAATATAGTGTGCCAAGCACCACACTACCACTCCACACACAAGCACACACAGTTAAAACGACAAAGATCCCCGGATAAGCCTAACAGACTGTTAGGGCAAGTGCTGTTAGCAAGCATCTTTGAAGGCCAGCACGAAACATGAGGGGGTGGGTGGCCAGCACCACGCCCGGCCGCCTTTGTTTTCCCAGTGGCGATGTTTACACACCGCACCAGGTACTCATTTGAGACTGAGTTAACCTAAGGGAGGCCCAGGACCGGTTCAGATAATAGTCACTGGTGTTGGCCTTGAGCTGAAATCGAACTCGGTCGCCGTATTCAAAGCCTAGCACACTAACCGCACTACTGCTCCCCATACTGATACACACAAATACATATACACCGACATACAGTCGTGCACACGATGAGTGCTGATGGGCTCGGTAGCACTCACACTCACTCCCGGGAATTCATAAAAACGATTGCCGACGCAAATCAGCGAGCGTCCCAGGTAGTTACCAGTGTGGGGCCCTGCTTCTGTGCAGCTGACAGCCTCCGGAAGAACGCAGTGCTGCTCCGCAGCATCTCCACCACGCACCGCTCGGACCCAGCACAATCCCCACCAACCAGCACCAGAATCCCTGGAACTACCACCACGATTTCCAGGACCGCTGCTACTCACAATGAACCGAGCTGACGAGATTGCCAATTTCCAAACCCGCGATCCCCAATGCGGTAGCCCCTGACTGGGTCCCAAGAGATGGCACGATGCTGGAGACTACAACAGTCGATGACAATGAAACGGTGCTAATTCACGAACAAACTTCCTGTGACAGCGACTTGAGTCGCGCTAACTTGTCAGTGGTTCGGATGTATTGAATGTGCGAGGCAACTTTGACTTCCTATCGACATTCATTTTAGAGCTAAAGCTGTGCTCCCAGAATCGGTCCAGGATAGCTTTTGATGCCACTCGCCACTGACTTTAGCCGTTTCTGGGATTCGAACTTAGACAGCAGCACTGTTGAAAGCACACTGTGCTGTCTACGAGCCCGGCAGTCCAGGCTACCAGGAAGAGGAAGGCGGTGAGTGGCCGTTGGTCTTTTTGAGGATCTTGAGATATCGCTGCTGGCGGGGAGAAATCCGCGGCAGCCTGCGTTTGGAGATTTATTTATTACACAGTTGTTGAGGAAAGGCCCAAAATGTCAAGGGGCCAGATACAAACAGAGTTGTAAGAGATAAAGAGTTACTATAATTCTTGAATTGAGCAAGGTTATAAGAACTTTGGAAAAAGAAACAATGAGAGGGAATTTCCAAGTGGACTAGTGCAAGAGAAGAAGCAAAAATTGAAGTGTTGCGGCCTATAGTGGGGCGAGTGAGTGGGTGGGTGTGCTGTTGTCACCTGCTGTGTGGGGAGCGAGCGGGAGAGTGTGTAAGTGGGAGTGAGTGAATAGTTGGATGAGTGGGTGTGCTGTTGTAACCTGCAGTGTGGGGGGTGAGTGTGTGAATGATTTGGAGAGTGAATAGTTGAGTGGGTGTGCTGTTGTAACCTGCAGTGTGGGGGGTGAGTGTGTGAATGATTTGGAGAGTGAATAGTTGAGTGGGTGTGCTGTTGTAACCTGCAGTGTGGGGGGTGAGTGGGTGAGTGTGGTAATGATTGGGAGAGTGAATAGTTGAGTGGGTGTGCTGTTGTAACCTGCAGTGTGGGGGGTGAGTGGGTGAGTGTGTGAATGATTTGGAGAGTGAAGAGTTGAGTGAGTGGGTGTGCTGTTGTAACCTGCAGTGTGGGGGGTGAGTGGGTGAGTGTGTGAATGATTTGGAGAGTGAAGAGTTGAGTGAGTGGGTGTGCTGTTGTAACCTGCAGTGTGGGGGTGAGTGGGTGAGTGTGTGAATGATTGGGAGAGTGAAGAGTTGAGTGAGTGGGTGTGCTGTTGTAACCTGCAGTGTGGGAAGCGAGTGCGTGAGTGCATGAGTGTGTGAGTGCCTTTTTCCGACCTGCAGTGTAGTGGTTTAACACTGTGGATGAGACAAAACAGCCAGTTTGGTAGACTGGGAGGGGGAATCAACGAGTGAAGTTCATAGGAACAGTTACCATGGGAGTAGCAATAGAATAAGAAGGCAAAGGAGCATCAGTGAGCGAGTAACTAGAGTGCATCAGTGAGTGCTGGATTATCAGTCACCGTAACTGCTTCACGTTGAGAATCTATCAAGTGCAGCAAGTGGTTAGACGTGTGTTCCGTGTGCTCAGCAACTACAAGTCAAGATTATGAACATATCTCACCAAGACCGTATCATGCCAGCCCTCAAACTTAAAAATAAATGGTCGTAAGTGGCTGGGTGGCTCACGAAGTTCAGAGTTGGTACTGCAGTTGGTACTGCAGCCCCCTATTGGAGACACAGACCCAGCAGGGTATGAACCTGGGTTTAGGCCTTCTATGATTAAGAGTCATTAATAACACATTTAATATCTGCGCCATTCTCACAGTACAATGTTATTGTGAACGTGCTATGTTTCACAAATAGTATATTCTGCTAGTGGATGGTTATGTTGCTATGCGGTTTTACCCAATTAAGTAATATGCAGGTAATTTTCCAAATATGGACCGTTACACCGACATACGTAGCCTACTCTTTTTGGAATACCATCACGGGATGTGTAACGTTGACTGTGAAGTGGAGTATTTATGGCGACTACACCAAGCAATATTGTGAGCAGGGTGGCCCGCTAGAATCACACCGCGGCGAACCTGTGCAACAAGCGGCAAACGTGGTAACACTCGGTCCTCACGAGTAGCGAGTTTATGATCTCAAACGAGTCACCTATGGCTTTACTTGGCAAAACCATCATTCACTTGTCGATTGATTCAGTGTCACACAGCTCCGAAGGCTGCATTGTAGTCGTGTATCAGACGTCTGACAGCGTCCCACGCTGTATGTTCAGGGCACGGAAGAGTGGCCTCTATTGTTTGGTGGAAATCTAACTTAAGTGACTCAAGTGGCTCTGTGGTGTCTCCGATTAGCACGGTTGGCTACGAAGTGCGAAAGAAGTTCAACATGTATACATACGTACGTGTCACCTTCCAGGGCCCCTGGCTGACACTATGTGAGGCACAGCTGACTGAAGAAAATCAAAAAGGACACGGAGTACATTCTCACAACCCACCTTCATTCACACAAGGAGACCAATCACCATGCTACAATGCCATGTTTCTTAACTTAGTGGTGTACATTGAATGAGACCTATTGGCATTGAGCATTGGTACAGTAGTTACTGCTCTGCGCTAAAACCTAGGCAAACCGAGTTTTATTACCGACCACAACTAACATAAGTGGTGGGTGAGATCAGAACCAGTCATGGGTCTTCCACCTTCACCAACCCTCACTGACCAGAATGGAATGATGAAGTGTGGTCAAATGACCCCCTGTGACAAAACCGCATGGCGAGGCTTTCATCCAGCAGTGGACTGAGAGAGGGCAGTAACAAATGGGTATGTGAATTAAGATGATGATTGGAATGCCACCGGAAGTGAGTGCCGGTGCAGGCTGCCGGCCTTGGCAATCTATAAAGCCTGCACGCTGGCCGAGATGGAAATATCTCCTCACAATTAAGGAACAACCCTCTCCCACGGGTTTCCGCGCATTTCTTTGGTCCTCTCATGAGGAAGTGGGCATAAGCACAAGGCCCCAAGCCTCCGTCCTCGCAAATGCCTGAATATTTCAACAGCTCCTTTATACCTAGTAATTGAATGCTCCTGCAGACTCTGCTTGGTGGTACACACACACACACACATGTCGAGATCACATTGGCTCATTCTCTGTCCCCTATTGTTATTTTTATTATTTTTTTACATGAAAAAGTTAAGTAAAGGTACAGCCCTCCAACTGCTCACTCACGCCACTGCTCGGTATTTTGGCCTACTCTTCCAGCCAGACATCTTTGAAAAAACAAAAAAAAAGATACCTGATTAGAGCTCCCTGAACAGTGTAATGAGACTCAGGGAGGCTTGTCCGGAAAAACAAAATGCATTTTAAAATAAATTATATTGTCATTTTTAAAAATAATTATTTAAATTTATGCTGCTTATTTACCCAGGACAGCCTCGCTGAGTCTCAAGACTTTTTCAGGAGAGTCCTGCCACGTTATCGCAGAAGGGGGGAACAATTGCCGTGTGTTTCCCAATTAAGTAGGAAATTATTCGATGTTCTCGACCAGCGTTTGAAGTCGCAACCTCCCAATTGCGAGACACCGCCAAGCCACATGTGCAGCGTTTAAATGAGATTAAAAAAATCAGTGGGAAGAGAAGAATTGATATTAAATTGAATCACAACACCGAAGTGTCACAATTCATCATCACGTGTAGAGGATGGAACAGCCCCTAACACGCACACGAGGGGGCGCACACGCCGCTACGCGCGGTACGGAACATGGCGTGGCGTGACATGGGCACGCTGTGGTGTACTCACACAGGCTAGTATCTGATGCACGCACGCACGCAGTCAGCCGCACGTGCCAGCATAAGTAAGCCGTGCCATGAGATGCGGTTGCATGTAGACAGCACATATGTAGTGTCTGTACTTGTCACTGTGTGGTGCCGGGACTTGCGAAGTCACGGCCGGTAATGTTGTCATTGCGGGCAGCCCGGGTTGCGGGCAGCCATGGGTTGCGGGCTGCAGTACCAACTCTAGCGGTGGTTGGGTGAGCGGGGGCTAGCGTGGAGGCACCACGAGCGGTGTGCGGGTGCCGGCTCCCGGTGAGGGAGCGAGAGGGAGCGTCAGCCAGCCAGGGTTACGCTGGCGCATGACACTCGGGCTGACCTGTTGTCACGTAACCGGACGATACTGGAGGGGGGCCACCGGTGGACGGGGGCTGAGGGGCGGTCACGTGGTCCCAGAGAGCTCTCGGGAACATTCGAGAAGGAGCTCGAGGAGCCTGGAAGGTGGGCGGGGCGAAGGGCGGAGCCAGCCCCAGCCCGGGAGCATATAACGAGGGCCCCGTGAGGAGCTCGGGGTTTTTCGTGTGCTGGTGTTATGAAAATCCATGTCAGGGAGAATAAGCCTCTAGCCACGCTGTCCGGGACCCAGCTTGTGGTCTGGACCGGGATAGCGAACAGTGTCTAGTTCTGCCGTAGCGTGGTTAGATGGGCATTCGAGACCTGAGCGTAGGTTGTGTTATGTTCGTGCTGTTGTGTGAATAAATAGTGTTGCTCCCAAGATAACGTCTGCGACTCAATTGGACTCACTACACATACATCCACATTGTATTGTACCGACTCAAACTGACATTCATAGTCAGAGACCCACAGACTCACACAAAGATTAATAGTCTCACAGAAACCCAGACTAACAGAATAAGAATATTTCTACTGGAGGAATCCGATTAGCTATAAAGCTCTTTTTTCACAGATTTCCCGGTAAGAATGTTACAACAGTACAAAAACATGATAGTAGTGCAAAGTATAAGGTAAATAAATGACTCAAACACGTAAAAATAAACCAGCCCCATCCTACCAGGCAAAGCAGGCTGTGGTATTAACTGAAGCGACCTGGCCACAAATGATAGCTCAACAAAGTGGACCATAATTTGGACATTTATTACACCAACATTATATAAATAATGTTAATGCATGTTTCTCAATGTGGAGGGAAAAACCGGAGGACCCAGAGAAAAAATCCACGTGACCATTCGGAGAATGTGCAAACTCTAAATATACAGGCTTCAGGGTCCAGATCGAACTTCCGACCTCCTGCATACCAGGCGAGGAGAACAACATCCCAGAGAGCCAAAGACTCAGACCCACAGACACTGCCTCTCATCACACTCCCTCCTCCTTTACACTCCTTCCTCACCACTCCCCTGACTGCTCCCCCCAAGCTACACTCCATGCCCTCAACTCTCCATCCCATCTCAGCACTCCAATCGCCACACTCGATCTCACCACTCATCCCTCACCATCATCTCAGCACGCTCCCCCCTCACCCTCCACATTCCACTCACTGCAGCCACCACTCTCAACTTCCTCACCCCCCTCCCATCACCCCATTGCCCGGCTCACCGCGCTGCTCACCAGGCTCTTGGACTGGCGCTGTGGGGGGCGGCTCGTGGTGCTGGAGGAGCGGGGAACCGAGGCAGAGTCCACGGATTTGTTGCGCTGAGTGGAGCGGCGAGTGCCGCCTGGCTCTCCGCTCACCTCGATGTCTGTTCACACACGGACACAACGACACAGATCCCCAGTATAGCCTTAAGAGACATTTGGTGCATGTGTTTTTAGCGAGCACCTATGAAGGCTGGCACGGCACACGAGGAGGTGGGTGGTCAGCACCACGCCCGCCCGTATTTTTCACCCCAGTGGCGATGTTTACACACCGTACCAGATACTCATTTGAGGTCGAGTCGACCTACGGAAGGCCCAAAACCGGTTCAGATAATCTACACCGATGTTGGCCGTGAGAAGAAATCGAACTCAGGTCGCCAAGTTTGTAGCACAGCGCGCTAATCGTTGCACTGCCCCTCACACCCACTCCCTAACCCTAAACCACGTACGAGTCTCACGGATTATTACCCTTGAGACTCAGTATTTCACAATGCTGAGTGTCTCTCACGGCCATGCAAGAGTTTTCACATTGCCGTTTACCCGTTGTAAACAACACCTATTTACTGTAGGACACCGGCAGCTGCTGCCGATGGCTCAGGTGAAAATGTGAAGGACAGCTCCACGAGCTCTGTCTGCACTCACAGCCTTTGAGAAAACTGCAGGAAACTCACAACTATCTAAGGTGATTATTATAATTTGATTTACTAGGGGAGAGCGGTGGAGAGTGTTCACTTAGTGGTGGACATGAGGCTATTTATGCTGCGCAAACTCAATTCGTAATCCCCCCTTTAATCTTCACAAGTGCACTCGCCCATTCCTGCTATCTGACAGTTAAATATTTCTGTGCCTCGGTTTCTTGCGTTTCTCTGTCTTCCTCAGTGTAAAAAAAATTTTCCCCAAGGTTCTTCAGTAGGGTTTTCGCCGATTTGAACCCTTCAGGGTCGACGTGTACATACACACCTTAAAAACACTCGAACACATACACTGGTCACACCTCCCTTTGTTCAAAGCCAGGTCCAAAGATCACCGCCACCACCATGACCACAGCCACCACCGCCACAACCACTGTGGTGTTTCCGGGGCCGCGACTGTCTAGACCCCCATCCAGGTACCTCGCGAGTTGCGCGACTTCCTGCGCGACTTGCTCCTGCGCCTCTTGGAAGTTCCGTCCATAATGAACCCCGTCGCCCAGCACCCGAGGCTAAATGGCGGGTGAGCGGGTGGCGGGCGGGCGGACGGGCGGACGGACGGGCGAGCAAGCAGGTGGGCGAGCAAGGTTCCGCTCAATCAATCACAGAACCGCCACACCTTTTTTTTACGGCAGCAGCAGGCAAATGGGCGATGGGCGGGTGAGTGGGTAGGGTGATAGCGGATTCCTGTGAGAGGGCGTGTGTACACGCCCACACACACAAAGGTATGCACAGGTAGGATGGGAAGCCACGAGAAGTTGGTTTTCCCATTCAGTCAATGTCTGTGAGATCTCATGACGAGAGGGGATTACACTGATCGAAAAATGCAGATTCTCTCTGCAAAGAAACCGCCTTCCAGGAGGGTGTTGCCTGGGATGATAAGCCATTTGCTTTGTCAGTGGTTTGCATATGGGAGGAGACTGATGTGCAAGAAAAAAACCCACGCTAATTAAGGGGATAGCTCTTCATCTGCACGAGACAGGACAGCAAACTATTTGCTGTCCTACAAACTCACAGGTGGGTGTCTTGCACGGATGACCTCTACACAATCTACCAATCTGACGTATGCATGTTGAACTTCTTTTGCACCGTAAGTAGTCAACCGTGCTAATCGGAGGTTAGGGTGATGAATCTCTGGGTGGCAATTGGCCACCACTACTCCCAGGCGTGTTTATACAGTGACAATTATTGAAATAAACTTGGGTTGTTAAATGATAACTGATAAACACATTATCCCCCCCCTACTTTGCGCAAGAGCGCAGAAGTGTGGTCATCACATCTACGCCTCTATATAAGGAACGAAACAGGTGGACTTCTCCACAAATTTGGCTGTTGCCTGATGAAGCTAGTTGTAAATGTTGTGGCTTCGCTCTCCAACACACCAGTGTGCTGTACTAGTGACGAATTGGCATGTTCTATTTACGTGATAACCCTTACTAGTTGGCTGTCAGGTGGTGGCAGGTTTTAACGACGCATTTATATATTTACACGATCTAACCCAAAAAAAACTCTATAATGGATGATAAACACTTAAGTGTTTTCAGAATTGATTACTGGTGCTGAAAGCCAGAAACTTGAAATCGATTCTCGTGGAATTGTATTAATGATTGCACTGATCGGCACACGCCAAAGTACAAACTGCATGGTGGCAGGCCTAAGGATTGTAATAAAAGGGTAAATAGAAAGTAAAGGCACAGCCCTGCCATTGCTCGCTCACGCCACTGCTAGCGGATGGGCCTCCACTAGAGAGCTCCAGAGGTTATTTGTTCTCCTGTTCAGTTTGAGTACGACGTTTCGCTGGTAAATACTTCCAGCATCATCGGGCAATTCGCCAGAATGGTAAAGCCCTCGCTTGCTCCCGGTTTTATATAGAGCAAACTGTAAATGTGGATTAACTCTTCAACACACCGGTGGGCTGAAGTAGTGAATTATTTGTCTTTTGTCAACGTGACACTTTTTTTGCTGATTGGCCGTGTCGGGTGGTGGAGGGTTACGACACATTTATAAATAAACGCGATCTAACCCAAAAACCTTTATTATGAATAATATTGGTCGCGAAAGCCTACGTGTTAAATCGCACTTGTGAACTGAACCGTGAAACTAGTGTGACATACAAATGTACAATATTTCTTCTTATTCATGAGTTTAACGATGCTTTCCTTTATGTTGAACCGTAACACATTTTACAACATTGACAGTATGTGCATTTAAATACAGTACATTATTGTCTTCGACTTACGACAGGGTCTCAGGACCGCAACCCATTCATAAGTCGGGGTCTACCCCAGTCAACTCAACCTCACGTCCTGTAAGAACCCGGACGAGCTCGGTGGGACCCATTAGCTCTCTTGCTATGGGGGCCTGGGTCACTGTGACTATGTTAATTATTAGGCAAAGTAATAGTTCACCACACTCCAAGCGATCGGACGAATTGTCACAATCCAGGGGTCACAACTCAATTCACAAACCCATTATCAAATCACCATATATGTGCCTGATCATCAAATCTTGAAAGCTAAGCAGGTTTGAGCCTGGATAGTGCTAGGATTGCTGATCACCGTGCATAAAAAGCTATAGTCCATTACGGGGCTTCATTGCGGGCAGCAGAGGGCAGTGCATTAAATTCCATTGTTGAACTCTATCTCTATGCTCGTTGGATTCACCAACCCGGATTGACCAACGTAGTGAAGTGCGGTCAACTAACCCCAACAACCCGCACGGCATGGGGAGGCCATTATCCTTTAGTGTATTGACAAAAGGGCTGTCAGATTAAATCGATTTCATTCAAGAATTGTTTATTTCGTCTCGTTTATATAATCTCATATCATTACCATTTTGTCTCATTTAAACACTTTGCTTCACTCCGTAGGCCCAAATGTAACATCAAATGCAATTTGTATGAATCACCATTATTGTTATTATACGTGTTCACCCAGGAAGGCCTCACTGAGTCTCAAGACTCTTTTTCAGGAGGATCCCGCCAAATTTTCGCAGTAGGGGACGATGATGCTGCTGTACGATCCCAATTAAGTAATTTGCAGGTAATGTTTCAGCATTGGGATGTTTGGCCAATACCAGTTACATTGTATGGTTATTTTAGCTATGACAGGAAACGGTACAACCTGGAGGAAACCCATTCATAACATGTAGAGAACAAACTCAACAGAAGGGCGTCCGAGTCGGGAATCAAACCCAGGGCCCTCCTTGCTGCGAGTCATAAGTGTTACTACTGCGCTGCCCTGCCGCATAAAAAAATAGATTCAGTGCAGCTGTGAGGAGAGTAGGGCTTGATCTTAATGAGTCTTTACGTGGCTACAAGGTGATCTCGCCCTCTTGTGGATGGACGGGTGTGTAGCGCTCAGATTGGTGTGTACACAAGCACATGACTGTACACTTGAGGGGGGGGGGGGCAAAGGGCGGGGAGTGGCTGCTGCCAAAAGCTGAGAGTCCGAGGGCTGTAATGTGTTTTCAGGGCTCGGCTCTAGAATGACCTACAGCGTGGTTCAACTCAGGGTCAAGTCGCTCCATTGATTTCAAACGAAATTGGCCCAGCATCCCAATGTAGCAGCATCCTTCTGAAAGTCTTGAGACTCTCCTGGGTAAATAAAAATTATTTTATTTGATGACACAGGTAAAAAAATCTTGCCCCCACTCCTTCCAGGCGTGGATCGCTCTTTCGTAATTTTTTTGCGAAAACAAATTACATTCTCACGTTTCCCTTTGTGTTCCAATTCAGCAGAGACAGAACCACCACTCGCGAGGGTCCGACGCCACACGTTTAATGAAAACGTGGAGTGCCTGAGAACCCGAAGTGAACAGTGCGCTCTAAGAAATAAATTATTTAATGGCACACTGCACATGCTGTTGACGAGAGAAATGTGCTTTGTATCAAATCACTTACGAAACCACAGTGCTACAATCAGGCATGCTTACTTAGACCAAACTCATTGTGAATAAACCATTTATTGGTTTTCAGTTTCATTTATTAGGTATAACCCTGTGAGCCATCTGGCTCTTGACTCGGGTGCAACCGCAACAAACAAAAACATGAACAAAGAAACATCTTAAAGTGAATACACGCAAAAGAAAAATCCAGGAAAAAACAGCAAAGTCTTCCAGTTGGCAGGGGTTCAATCTGTGTGCTAGGACTAAGGGCCATTGTCCAAAACAAGTTAATATTTTTTGACTGAAGTCATTGAAGCCTACGTGTTAAACTGATGCGCTTGTTATTCAGACTATTGGGTCAGTGGATGGGTGAGGAGAGGCGCTTGCAGGCTTGTTGCTGCTCCTGTTCCACTTGCTGTGGCTCTCTGGTTCTGCCAGAGTTACTGCTCCCTGAATCTGCCCGAGTTGCGGCTCCCAGGTTCTGCCCGAGCTGTTGCTCCCTGGATCTCCCTAAGCTGTACCTTGATTCAAACCCAGTTAATCTTTTCTCTTGATTGGTGCTTCAGTATTCATCACGTTCTGATTGTCCTACCATCACACCTGCCCGTCTTGGCCTATGATCAGCTTGCTGTGCTCTCCAACCAGCTAGTCTTGTCTAAGCTTGTCATCACCAATTATGAACTACTCAGTTCATGTCCTTAGGAGCCTCCGTCCGTCTTTTCCTGACGAATTCGGATGGACTGGTGGATGGAGGAGGCCTGTAGGGAGGTTGGAATCTGGGAGCCAGTGAGGATTCATGGTTCCAATTTATTGTCTACTTATAAGATCTTGGTTGTCTCACGTCCGCTTTGGACCCTCGGATCCAGATTCCCAGATGACCTACCCCATCGGCCTAGGGTTATAATAAATATACCAAAAAAAAATTTCCACTGAGCTGCAAAATAGAGGTATCAGTGGTAAGAAGGAGCCTGTACTGAAGTGTATCCTTATAAACGCCAGATCGGTCATGCAATGCGCCCTTTAAGTACGTGACACGATTGCTTTGGGCTGTTCCCACCTAGCTTTTATCAGTGAAACATGGCTTCGACCTGGAGTCGACCAACCTTTAGCCGATTTAGTCCCAGATGGGTATTCAATATTGCATATTCCCAGACCAGGTAAAAAGAAAGGTGGCAGGGTGGCGGTGATCTTTCAGGCTGGTCTCATCTGTACCATGTGCCCTGGTCCCAAAATTGGGTCATTTGAATAATGACCGTGCATTGTTCCCTGAATGATAATCAGGGCCTGTATGTCACCCTTGTTTACAGACCACCTTGAAGCAAAGGCGATTTTATGTCTCGGCTGTCCGAGGTGATTTCTCCTTTGTTCCTGGAATTTCCTCGTGCAATTGGGCTGGGAGATTTCAATGCATGGATGGATGACCCATCTGACAGTTTGGGTAGAGACTTTTTGGATAGCATGGGTTCCATGGGATTTATTCAAGGCCCAAACCATGATCATGGCCACACGATCGACCTAGTATTTGCCCAGGGGGTCTCAGTAGGGGCCATTAAATTTTCGTCCGCACTATGGACGGATTACAGAGCGATTCATGCTGAGATCAAGGGTCTCCCCACTCCTGCTGGGTTCGGCCCAAAAGGCTAATGACTACTTCTGGATTTCATGACGCCTTATCGGCCATATTTCCTCTTACTGTGACAGTGGTACCGCTGTCCAAATTAGTGCTCCCATCTGCTATCGATGACCATGCTCCTAGCCGCCGTCTACATGCTTAAGTTACCATGAGCACCCCCTGGTATTCCAGAGACCTCAGGGCCCTTAAGTACAACTTAGGAAAATGGAACGATGCTGGGGCAGATCTCAGCTCGATGATGATCAAACAACTCTACGAGTTTGTCAATGGGTTTACACACAAACTATCTTCATAGCGAAGAAAACGTATGTCGCCATGATAATTGACTCGGCAAGGAACCACCTTTCTGAGCTGTTCAGGATGGTAAACAGTTTGATTCACTCAGACTGTACGTCCATAAAGGTTGCTCCTTCTGAAGAGCACTGCAAAGATTTCCATCAGTTCTTTTCTAATAAAATCAATCGCATTAGAGAGGGTACCTGCCCAGCAATTAGTCCCGATCCTAGCTTGGACCCAAGGGCTCCTCTCGTATTTGAGGCATTTTTACCAGTCCTGCCTGCAGACCTCATCCAGACTACTACGGGGATGAAATGGACCGCCTCTCATTTAGATCCCTGTTCCTCCTGGCTTCTTAAGGTGGCCTTTGAGTTAGTGATCCCGATGGTGACCGAATTGATAAACTCTTCCCTTTCAGAAGGAGTGTTTCCGGAACCTCTGAAAATGGCTTTAGTGCGACCACTTCTAAAGAAAACGGTACTGGATGTAGATATCCTGGCTAACTATCGCCCGATCTCCCTTTTTAGGCAAGATTAAAGAAAGGGTGGCCTCTTCCCTTTTGGAGTCGTATCTTGAGGCCAAGTGCTTCTTTGACATCACTCAATCAGGCTTCAGGGCCCATCATGGAACTAAGTCCACCTTGGTTTGCGTGGCAGACGATCTCCGCATGGCGATGGACAGGGGCTGCATTTCAGCCCTTGTTATGTTGGACCTGTCAGCGGCTTTTGATATAATTGATCATGGGGTTTTTTTGCGGTGCCTACGGCACCTGGCAGGAATCAGAGGCACCGCCTTACAGTGGATTGAATCATTTCTGCAGGCACGACCCAGGAGGTGGCCTTGGGTCCCCATGTCACCTGCTGGACCCTCTCCTCACGGTATCCCTCAGGGGTCAGTTTTATCTCCCCTTTTATTCAATGTTTATGTTAGGCCTCTGGGAGCTATTATCCGGAGGCACGGTTTACAGTGCCATCAGTATGCCGATGACTCCCAGATATATGTCGCCTTCTCAGGTGACCCAGATGCAGCCCTCGCCGGCTTAACAGACTGTCTGGAAGAGGTAGCTGTATGGATGCAGCAAAACTGGCTAAGGCTGAATCCTGACAAGATGGAGCTGATGATTGTAGGGTCAGAGAGTCGACTGAGGATGGGTCAGGTGGAGCTTGAGCCTCCATTAATTAATGGAGTATGCCCTCAGGCCAGGCCCTGCTAGCTCACTATATAATTTTCCATTCTACGTTGGGCAGTAGCAGGTAGGGGCCTTCTCAAGTGTGGCGCCTAAGATGTGGAATTCTCTGCCACCCTCAGATTGGCTCCAAGCACCAAATAGCTCAGGAAACTCTGCAAGACAAATTTTTTCCTTTTATCTTTTCTTTGAGTATGTCCCCTCATTTTGATATTTTCATATCTGTCTTGATTTTATAGGTAGGACTCCCTTCGTTGAATTTATACTGTAAAGTATTGTTATGCCTTCTTTCGTGGGGGCGAGCTTTTACTCAACATTTTTTTAAATTAATGAATGAGACGAGACCTAATTCGACTAACTTAGAGAATAACTTTACTTTGTACAGACAGGTTTCATTGTTAATTTCCCTTAAAGAATTTGATGCCTCCTTTTGCTTTAAAGTTTAGTTACGGACTTTTTTATTATCTTACTCTGTATTTTATTTAAGGCTTTCAACTGTACCTTCTATTTTGGATGGGTTATAGCACATTTTGGCAGGATTGGGCCAGCTCTGTAAAATTCCACATACCTATGGCAGGGATGAGTATAAAGAGGACAATCACCGTGAACGTCACACAAAACAGTGCTCATTTCATCACCAATGGAAGGATTATGATGACGATTTCGAGTCGCAACTTGATCACTGCCCTTGTGATTACGAACTCATGACCTTGTGATTGTGAGTAAAGTGCTCCGATTACAGTAGCACACAGCCAATTGTTATCATGGTCATATTAAAAAAATTTTGACAGATGTTTATTTAAACTTACAGCCCGAAGATCACTGCCACCTCACTGGCATCTGCGAGTCAAAGCAATAAGTACTGAGTGAATACCTGAAGATTATGTAATTATGTGTTTTTGGACATGGAAAATAGAGTGGAGATTGCAGGTTATTCATCAACCATCAATCTCGGAGAAGGAAAAATAATTGCCAAAGTGGCCCGACCAGCAACACAACACCTAACATGTCACCAAGTTTGAGACTGTGAGTGAATGTCCACTGATACTCTGAAGCTTCAGTTTAGGGCATTGTTTTTTAACTGTATTTTCCGGTGGGACACACAAAACAATTCGCAAGTGCTGGCGGGAAATGTGGTTTCATACTTTAAAACATCATGTGGCGTAACGAATGCATAATATATACATGGCCACTAGACTGTATCTCTTCTCTACAGCTCTCTGTAACTATCTCTGGCTTATCTCTCTTTCATCTCACTCTAATTTTTATCTCTTAAGGTCTTGGTAAACCATATTTATTTATCACTCCAAGGGCTACATCTGAACCGCGGGTCGCCAGGTGAAGAACCCTAGTGTAGGGGTGTGTGTGTGTGCTGTGCTTACCAGCTGTGGCCTTATTCAGTGCGACCAGCGTGTTGAGAACGCAGTCAAAGTTTTGTCCCTTGTACAAGTCATGGGGCTCGAAGAGCTGCAAGAAACAGACATACGTTCAAATACAAGCACATGCGTTCTCACTCACATACACACGTGCACAGAGACACGAGCAAACACACTCGTACACACACACGTACAAGCACAAATGTACACCTTCATTACATTCACCCCCCTCTTAACTCAATGAATTGTTGCAAAAATAACCCAGAACCCTGGCCTATTCATGATACAATAGGCCATGAAATGAACATAAAGACAAAGATCCCCCATATAGCCTGTAAGAGACTGTTGGGACAAGTGCTGTTAGCGAGCACTTATGAAGGCAGCCACAGCACACGAAGGGGTGGGTGGCCAGCACCACGCCCGGCCGCCTTTGTCTCACCAGGTACTCACTTGAGGCTGAGTCAACCTAGGGGAGGCCCAGGACTGGTTCAGATAATTGTCACTGGTGTTAGCCGTGAGAGGGAATCGAACCTGGGTCGCCAGGTTGGTAGCGCAGCGCGCTAACCGCTACACTACCGCTCCCCACAATGAACACACCCAAACACACTAACAGCCACTACTCTCCATTAAGTGATGGTGACATGACCACAGCTTATGTGCCACGCTAGGTGACAAAATACACATCCACTGCGCACACGTACACACCGACGCATCTCAACAGACAGCACAGCATAGACACACAACAAGGGCAATTGGTGCAACATCACCTCCATACAATGGCCTCTACACACAGCCACGACAGGAAGGAAGCTAATTTGACACAAGTCCCATGCCACATAAATAAGCAAACAAACACCCCTTCCACCTCCCCTATACATTACACTACCAATGCAAAATAAATATGAATACAATGTACCTTCTTTACATGTCTCTCACGTAAAAATGTGTTTTTATACATCTCATTACCCCCACATTGCACCAGGTGGCTCAGCATTCCTGAACAACTTGTAATCGAAAGGTTGCAAGTTCAATTCATAGTTGGAGGTTGACTCAACACTTCATCCCTCTGGGGTCACTTTGTTGGGAAGTCAGCACTAGTTATTGTATAGATAAACTTGCCTCCGCCATAGGAAAGTGGAATGTCCATCACTGGCTTAGGGCAGTAAACAGAAGATGAGCACTAATTCAATACATATTTTCGTCAGTGCTCATCAGCCGCATAGCCTTCTGGGAGTGCATATATTTAATTCGTTTGAGCAGCATTCAGTTAATGCAAGCAAACTCTGGACAGGCTTCAACATTCAGTATCCTATCAGCAATCAAGCTACTTAAACCCATGCTAGAAGTCATCCTGTTTATCCGTCGTAACAATTCCACACATTGACAATATCCTTTTCTTACCCAGAGTAGGCATTCATAACGACATACATGCTTAACCGTGCCATACATTAAAAACGACACACTGCTTGCTTAGTGCTTACCCAGTCTCCAAATTAAAGCTTGAACAAGTGCATTCTTTTCGATTTAAAGCTTTCGTGACTGCAAGGATTCATCTTCTTTGGTTCTTTCGGTAAAGTCATGTAGAATGAGAATAAAATAATAAATTGATAAAATTAAATAACACAATAATATTCTCACGACGTTTCGGCCACAACACAAGCGGCCTTCATCAGGTGAAGGGGACGAGACTGTCTGGAGGACAGCTGATGAAGGCCGCTTGTGTTGTGGCCGAAACGTCGTGAGAATATTATTGTGTTATTTTATTTTATCAATTTATTATTTTGTTCTCATTCTACGTGACTTTACCGAAAGAACCAAAGAACAAAAAAGTGCATACTTATTCCTGGTTCTTTCGGTAAAGTCACGTAGGTAGAAATAAAATAAAATAAAACAAATCACGACGTTTCGATCACAACACAAGCAATCTTCATCAGGTGAGACAACCACAGCAAGAAAACTGCTGAAGTGGGCGAGAGAGCTGCCGTGGCAAGAGGTCATATAGGCAAAAAAGGAGGCAAGGGGGGAACAGAGGAAATCTTCCTGATGTACTTTAGTAGTTCATTGTGTTTTACTTACCTTATATACCAATTCAGCATCTGTCGTCACAATGCTCGCTTTATATTGTTTACCAATTCAACACAGAAAATGCTTATCAGTGCTTTCTAATTAAATATTAAACTAAAACTCCCTGCTTGACCAAGGTCGACAAGTTACACTACAGTTATCACATTGTCTTGCTGCTGCTGCTGCTCTATAAAATGTGGTCACAATCTTAGCTCTACTGAGCTTATGGTCTACACATGGCTGTATGTATTTTTTACTTCTTTCACACCTTACGTACCCAACCATGCTAATCTAACTAAACACAAAACTATTCACAAAAAGCAGTTCTAAATAAAATTATTTTTAAATTTTAATTTAAAAGTTCATAGATCCAGTGGCTTCCTATAATCGGAAGAGCGTTCCAGATGGCCGCAGAAGCGCATCTAAAAGCGCACGATGCAGTGGTCGTCTTAGCCAAAAGCTGCTGTTGTGAGGATGACCGGAACTCGTGTTATGGTTAATGTTCATTGACGAGATCAGCAAGGTATTGTGGTTTAGGTGTCAAGAACTTTACGTGCAATGATCGCGAGCACCAGATAGACATGGTCGGATCTTGCAATGTGCATAACAGCTGTAGCTTGCTTGACAGGTGCCAAATAATTTTGTACACGCTGCAGCTTGCTAATGTTTTTGCCAGACGTCCTATAGAGGAGTTGCAAAAATCGAGCCTTATCGATACTATGCTACATGCTACCATGTTGGTTGTCACGACTCAAGTGGCCGAATTTGTCGTCGAGCCCTGATTTGAAAATTGCCAGCTCTGACGATATTGTGCACGTGGTGATCAAACGACATATTATGGTCGAGTCTGGTGGCGAGGCTCTTTAGGGTAGAAAATGTAATCTTGGAGTCTGCGACCGCCACACCTAATCCTCTCATAAATGTTTTTGCTTGAGCCCGAGTGCCAACCAGCAGGCTGTTAGTATTACAATCATAATTTAATTATTTTGGTATTCGCCTCATTCCTATAGCGTAAGGCTATTACAAAGGTACTATTTTTCAGACACTCTGCAGTCATTCACAAAAAAGAGGGAGATGTTGCTAATTGAGTAATTTTCATATAATTCGAATTTGGAAAATGTGGACGATGATGCCGGCACTCAATTGCCTTGTTTAGAATATAACGAGACATTTACCGTCCACCGTGATGCAGACTATGTGTTTTGAGGGGATTACAGTCGCAGCATTAAACAGGGCGGTCTGCAGAACATGAACCGCGAACCTCTACAACGGACTGACACCGCGCTCCTGCAAGGCCATTCACAGCCATGTGACATTCAAGGCATGATGGGAGAACCGACCCAATAGTCACAACGGTGCATTTTTCTGTCTAAAAATCACGTTGTGTCAAGTGTTACTATCACTCGTAAACTTTCCCGCCAGCACACACTATACAGTACTGGCCAATGGATTTTCTCATTCAGAGAAACATTAAAAAATGGGCATGGGGTCAGGAGTGGTAGATGATGGAGTGATTCTTAGGGTTCCCTGTTGATGCATGATACTCACTGGTCCAGATTCAGGCACCTCTGCGATTCCCAGGGTTCAGTGTTAATGTCAAATGCATATACTGTACTGTATAGTGTATTTAAAATAAGCCACAGATGATTCTCAGGGTTCAGGCATCTCTGGGAATATTAGGGCGACGTGTTAATGCTCAATGCTAATAATAGTGTTAGTATCAACAAGGTAAATTCACGAAATCATAAAAAATAATTATGTGACCATCATCATAAGAGTATTAACAGCAAAAAGGACGGAGAGAAGGAATCGCAGAATCGTGGGGGATGGCGGCAGCTTCGGGAAGGGCGGTCCTTTATCCAGCAGCGGACAGACCAAGGCTACTGCTGCTGCTGCTGAGGATGAGTCGCGAATGAGACGGGACCTTCTCACCTCGAGCCGCAAATGAGAAACCCCCTTGAGGAACTCTCGAATGTTGCTCACGCATTCAGCCTCCGCCTTGGGTTCCTGGAACACCTGCGTTACAAGCGCAACGATAAATATAAATGATAAAGTTGATTATAAATTACAAAATGTTAATTAGAACAGCCAGTCACAGCCGCGACTCGTCCCAATTCAAACCTCGGCCATCTGCCGACTGTATATGGCAGGAGGAAGGCACGAACTTTAACCCGGTGACGGGCGTGGCCTTCGTGAGTGACGTCATCACGCACGCCGGGTTCCCCTGTGGGAACCGCGCCCCATTCGTATGCGCAATGACGTCAGGCACGAGCGTGATGACGCCGAGAGATGCGGACTGAATTGAGGTGACGCCATCGTGACGATTTATTTAATTAATTTCCTCCAGAGGGGGCGGCGCTTGCGCAGTTGCGTCAAACCCCCACCGCACTCAACACGACTGACGTTTCGTCAGTCAAACTGTGGTCTTCATCGGATAAACATGATAGGCAACGTTTCGGCAATGGCCTTTCTTCAGAATACATCAAAGGTTCCATTTATGCTAAATCATTGCCCGAAAAGTCAATCACCACACAACCTGACACGTCTTTCCGCTTGAGGCAGCAGTGTTATTGACACGGATTGCATTGTTGTTGTTGTGCACCACTGCCGACGCAACAATAACAATAGCAGCATCGCCAAGGGGAATGTTGACTGCCAAGGAGGCGGGTCCTGCCTGTGGCGTCTTCCAGGGGCGTGACATCCCCACGCGTTGTTATTTATTTCCTCACTCGTGGCCGCTCTGAAGAGGCCCCGTGCCACTGGGTGCTGCTGTTGACAACCCCCACCCACCCCCCTTGTATCGTCGAGCCGAGCGCCACCTCGTCCTGTGCACGAGACGCGAGTTGTAAACTCATCGCACAGAAGATCGTAGGATCGGTCCTGCCATCAAATGGCATCGGCCACCCTGCGTGTGTAATGCACACATGCACTGTCTCGTCCACGAACTCGACAAATACAACAACAAAAAAGCTCAACACATTCATTAATGACGCTGTGGCCTGAAAAGGACAATATATAATCCATAATAGGCGACGTTTTAGGCAACAGCCCTTCTTCATTTGTTGTATGTGCTACGAAAAAGGACCATTGCCCGAAACGGAGCCAATTATATATTTTACCTTTTAAGGCCGCGGAGTGTTATTATTGACAAATGTGTTGAGTTTGTGAACCACTGCCTAAGTAGCATCACCAGATTATTTGTTTAGACTCTAGACTCTAGAGGCAACTGTTACAAGGTTGTTATTATTACAGCGGCCAAGTAGCTCAAGAATGAGAGCTCACAATCGGAAGGTTGCAGAGTTCAAACCCCGGTTGAGGGTTGATTCGGCCCATCAGTTTCACTTTGTATGTTGAACTTCTGTCGCACCGTATGTAGCCAGCCATGCTAATCCGAGGTGCGAACGTCCCCACTTTGTGGGGAAGTCAACGCTTAGGGAGCTTTGCCAGGATGAACCCCAGGGATGGGTGCCGGTGGATGGACACTGCTCCGTGCCGACTCAACGAATGCTGCCACATTTAATGGGAACACAATGTCAAAACTGCCTGTTCAAGTCAGTTTTCCTCCCTGGAAAATCCACATTCCTATGGTGTGGACTGGTGTTATGAAAGTACAACCTCGAGTGTAATCTCACCAAGTGAATTTTACACCCACCCGATACAGCCATTATGAACAGACTGCAAGAGACCCAATCCCTGCAAGAGCTTGAACATAGAACCTCAGCTGTGCACGTTCAAGGCCTCGCTTGAACATCTGAGAGGGCCAGTCACTTTTATATTCCATTTTTCTGTGCGTGAGAGTGGAAAGTGCTTTGGCCGGTTAGTAGTCAAACTGCATTCCTCACTCCACCCCCATCAACTTTCTGGTTGGCCCACATTTTTATATTTTATTTGCAAGACAGCATGAAGTTGTAAAGATAACATCGAAAAGTAAAACCAGGACATAATTTCCATACTCGGGAAGAAAAAAAACTGCATTGAACTGGTCCTGGCACAACAAACCAAATAGGTTTTTTTTATAAAGTGGAAGGTTTTTACCGAAAATTGAGTTAAAAGCTCTGATACAATGTGATATGCGTAGTAAACATTCACATTGAATGGGTGAGGGAGGGAATTCATAATGGCTATTGGAATTCTGAGCCAGCTCACAGTTTTTAGCCACTTGTGATTTACGAGAACCGGGAGTTGTGCTTCTCACAAGCCAAGTGAATAAATTATTTTCTTGCACAGGTTTTTAATTTATAGTATATTAGGTGGGCAGGTTATTTTTGTCGTTGGAGATGGGACTGAAACCATCAACTCATTACACTTAAGAATCCAGTTTAAGCACAGGCTGCCAAAACCCATATTAATGTCATGCATCTCAGTGGTGCCAGTTTGATGCCCTTTCCCGAGTTGCCCACATGCTTGTGTGTCTTTCTACTTTGAATATTACTTTCCCTCTTTTCCCAAAAGTTCCAACTCCATTGCAGTTATTTTCCATTCCAGAACCCGAGCTGTGCCACTGACGTCACACACAATAAATGAGACGAGAAGCATGGAGATTATGCAAATTAAAAAAATATATTAACCCCTGCCCAGGCCTTGCTTGGCCCCGAGTGAGGTTCAAGAGTATTGTGAGGCCTGCATATTACAGTTTGGTTCAGGCTCGGCTTCGCAAATAGCCAGTAAAAAAAACACCAGCAGGTACTGCGTTCGAGTGGTTCGGATATGTTGGAAAAAGGAGTAATTGATTTTCACCGCGAGTAATCCTCTCAGGAGAGAGCTGTTCTAACACTGTTGCCGGCTTAGCAAATCCGACATAGCCACACTGAGCCAGGTGCGTGCTCCCCTACCTTGGCTGTCTCCAGTGAACCGGGCAGCAGGCGATCCAGAAGGCGGCACAGCACGAGCCCATCACGCAGGGAGCGCTGCAGGAAGGCGCCCGGGTCGGACACGCGCTTCTTGGGCGAGTGCAGCACACCCAACGTGATAAGCCATGTCACCGTCTGCTCCGCAGAGTTCATGGCTTTCTCTCGCTCACTCTCGCAAGGTCGTGACCTCGCCACCAACCAGCATGCCCGAGTCACCCGCCGTGAGACTCCACCGTCCTCCTCCTTGTTCCACCACCGTCGCTCTCTTCTCTTTGCTCTCCCCTTGTCACCTCCAGAAATCTCGCTCTGGCCTCCTTCAGCTTCAATCGTCAACTTTTGTTCAATTAAATGCTCGGCGCTTGCGGCATCTTCAGCACGCTGAAGGCGATGGGCACTGGCATACACTTGTTTGAGCAAGGAGACTATTGCTGGGTCTCTGATTGACTTTTTGTTGTTTTTGGAATTAGTTTCCTTTTTTTAATTCGAACTGGTTTGAAATAACAATAAATGGGACAAATGTGTGCGTCCTTCCAAAAACTGCTGTTGTGAGACCTTACCTTTGGTTGCCTCTTTCCAAGGCAGTAAAATGACTCAACCGGCTGTGACCAAAATGTGGAGCCAAGGACTATGGAGGTGAAATCCCTGCGCTGGGAATTGCAGGCAATTGCTTATTCCAGAATTTCAGGACATGGCAACTATTGTTCCAGAATATCTGATTAAGGTATCCCTCATCCCAGTAGCTTGGGAAAATAAGTTTTGTTTCAGGAATTTATAATATCACATCACTCATTTCAGATCTTCATACATGGGGTTCCTGGAACTGAGAAGGCGCAATTGAGATCCTGAGACTGGGTTCCTATAATCCATTGTACTTATTTCTGGCCATGTGTTTGAAATGTGGCTCTTCCAGGTATTATTCCCACATCTCTTGCTGTCACCTCCGTCTACCTGAATAGACACGACAACAATCCAGTCATCTAGTCAGGCTGTGAATCAGGCAGTGAGATTTGTTACATGCATCAATAAGTCAACGTATCAGCCAGTCAGTTCTTAAGGCAGTCTGAATGTCAGGAGTCAAACAGTATATTTGTATTCTTGGATCTTTCGGTAAAGTCACGTAGGTAGGTTAAAAGAAAATACCAAAACAATAACAAAAAACTACTGTAAGTTATTGGTCTAAAAATCTAATTGGCCGATGGATTAAAAACATCATACACAGCATTTATATGTGGAGATGCAAAACAGAATTTTGCTTCTGCTGTATCTGCAATCTGCACATTCATGTTGTTCAATTCATACGTTATGTTTTTGGGATTTTACCAAATTATATTCAAACTGTGCAATTTTTCTCGTGACACGTAATTAATTTCCCTTTTGAACTCAAACACAGCAAGCAGTGCACCATTCTGTCAGAGAACAGCCCTGAAATATGATATCACAGAACTCCATCTCAAGCCACTGCAGTGGGATTCTCTCTGCACACGTGGTGCCTGGATGGTGTATGCCCTGCACAGTGTTTGTCACAGCGATCAACACGACACGTGTAAAGCTCAGAGTGTGTATGTATATATCCAACCGTCCTAATCGGAGGTGCGGGGGAAGAACATACTAAAGACAAAAAGCTGTTCTGAAGGAGCCAAATCAATAAAACCCAAACCAAATGCAATGGCAGTTTAACACGTAGGCTTTTGCGACCAATATCATCCATAAGAGTTTTTTTTTGTATTAGATCGCATAAATATATAAATGTGTCGTTAAAACCTGCCACCACCCGACACAGCCAACTAGTAATGGGTTGTCGCGTAAACAGAACATGCCAATTCGTCACTAGTACAGCACACCGGTGTGTTGGAGAGCCAAGCCACAACATTTACAATCTGAGTACGACGTTTCGCCAGTAATTACAACTAGCTTCATCAGGCGACAGCCAGATTTGTGGAGAAGTCTAACTGTTTCATTCCTTATATAGAGGCGTAGATGTGGTGACCACACTTCTGCGCTCTTGCGCCACATGGGGGGAGGGATTACTGAGGCAACGTACATTATGCATTATGCGAATCCTTTTAACTTGTCCTTCCTGTCTATTGTGTATTAAAATAGCCTACCAACAATAATCCCTATTTAAGTATGCTGCCCTTTGTAAGCATGCATTTAAATAATGAATTATTTAATAATTCGTTTCGACGCAGCACTAAGGCGGTAGCTATCCGAAGGTTACAGTTATTTTTATTTATTTCAATTTCGATAGATTCCCTAATTAGTCTTGGACAGTAGTAGCTAGTTTTGCACAGAACTTCAACATTATCAAAATCAATTGAGTGTCCTTGTTGGCATGCGTGTTCTGCTACTGCTGACAGTTGTATTTGGGAAAAATTAATATTTCTCTGATGTTTAGTCTCGTGCTGATCATTCGTTGTTTGCCCAACATAACATTTACCACACGTGCAGTTTATCCTGTACACACCTTCTGTTGATAGCTTCGGTAATACATCTTTTGTACCAGATATTAATTTCTGTATTTTATGTACCGTGCCAAATCTGACATGGATGTTTTATTTTTCCAAACATCTGGCTAATTTATCAGTTACTCCCGCAATGTACGGTATTTTGATCGTTTTAATTACTTGGGCAGTTTCAATGCTCGTGTTATTTTATTTGGTTTTGGCATTCAATGCCCTGTTGATTTCTGCATCATTGTAACTGTTCATTTGCAGCGCTTCTTTGACATGTTGAATTTCATTTCTCAGACTGTCACCATCTGACACTTTCTTAGCTCGATGAATGAGCATCTTGATAAGAGCAGATTTCTGTGCGGGGTGATGGTGTGACTGCATTCAAATAGGCGTCAGTATGCGTTTTCTTTCGGTAAACACTCTGTTATTTTACCATTTCGACCACATGGGTTTTGTGAGTTGAGATGATTTCGAAATGCGTTCAGTGTATCTTTTCTGTGTGGCCAGACCACCAATGTGTCATCCACATATCTAAACAAAGCAGATGGTTTTAGTGTGATTTAAGCTATTGCTTTTGTTTCAAAATCTTACATATACAAATGCCATTATATTATTTGGTTCTTTCGGTAAAGTCACATAGATAGAAAATAATAAAATAAATTAAAAAAGAATAAAAACCAAAAACGCAATGTGATGTTTGTGCAGTAATTGGTGACCGAGATAAAACCATGAACTCACTCCACTTGGAACAGTTTCATTGCAACTCATTCTCCCTCGGCACATGAGTGTCTGTGCGAGTCCATGTAAGTCTTTGTCTTGAAAGAATACTGATGAATTTAACAATGCTGATGAATTCACGCACTCCCCGAAGGCCGTGTGGCTGATGGGTTGTGTAAGAAATATATTTTATATGCATTCATGCGGAGAAACGGGCGGATACGTCGAAGAAACGTATTGTGTCTGCTTATTTACGTTGTTATTGGAAGTCACTGATGGTGCCTGGGCTGAAGGAACCGGTGCGTGCGTGAGGGTGATGCTGGGCTGGGCTCTGCGTCCCCTAGGCCACCCCAAGTTCACTCTGCTTAGCGGTGGATCACTCTGATGGCGACCCCCGCCTCCCCCCGTCTGAATGGAGGTGGAGCCACGCCTGGCTGAAAACAGGTCCCTGCAGGGTGGGCTGGTAGGAACATTGGAATTTTGCGCAATTTTATGACATTGTTACGTAAAATTGTGCAAATTGAGAGCGTCTTTCCACCTTTTTGCCCTCAAAATCGTTGAGGGTTCTTCGGACAAATTAACCTCTGTAGAGGAATGGAATGGTGAAATCCTTATTGACTGAAATCTGCTCAGTTTGGAGCAATGTATCATAAAATCGTTAAGGGCTGGGCCGAAAAATGACAATTGCATTTTAAAATGAGGAATTGTTTCCCGGTATACGGTAGTATGGGGCTTTTGAAAGGGGACGGACGGACACATTAATCTATTGCAGGCTGGTACACTCAGTTTACAACTTCGTTCCTACCAGTAAAACATTCGATTAGGACGATTGGCTACGTACGGTGCGGAAGACGTTTATTCCTATATACACAGAGAAGCTGGTTCCACCACTGTGGCTGGATGCCTGAAACCTAGATTCAGAGCCAGCAGTCCCACTCGGTCACTTCTCAGTCGATTACAGGGTTAAGGACAGGCATTGGGAATGCAAGAACACAGCGGTGGCTTTGAGGCACTGTAAAAGGCGTCTAACAAGTGCAAATGAACATTATTATGGCCTCTGACATGGGAATGTGGAATTTCCACCTCTGGCACAGGGCTTTCGACAGCGGTGACCAACTCGCTACGCTTGTTGGAGCAAGACGCCACTCTTGAGTCAGCTAGTCGCCTGCCTCGTCATGTGGCCAAGTCTGTGGGTCGCTGCTTATCATCCAGTGAGTGAGTCAAGTCAGTCGGTTTGGTTACGTAAGTTACTCAGCATGGGCGTCGCTCCCCGAGTTGCTTATTCATAAAAAAATCGACAGCCGGGTCACTCCCGTCAGTCAGTGAGTCCACGAGCAACTGTATTCACTTATGTACAGTTACAGTATACACACACAACACACCGTACACATGTCAACACAGTATCAATGTGTACAATAGAAAATACACTCGTGCAAACAGTAAACACACGTACATACCAAGGCATGTAAACACGTCGACACAACACACAGCAATCACTATATATGCGATTAGGCCCTGTTATGAACACATTACTGCAATGCATAATCACACACAATACCGTATGATTACTGTACTGTACACACAATTATATACACAAATACGAAGATCCCCCGTATAGGCTGTTACAGACTGTTGGGGCAGGTGCTGTTAGCGAGCACCTATGAAGGCCGGCACACAGTGAATACCACCACCACGTGCCACATCACACAATAAACACACATCACACAATAAACACACATCACACAATAAACACACATCACACAATAAACACACATCACACGCAGCAAGACAAAGAACCCCCCCATATATAATCCATAATATGGGTGTTTTGGGTTGGATCGCGTCAATATATTGTTAAACTCGCCACCACCCGACAAAGCCAATTAGTGACGTTTGTCACGTAAACAGAACGTGCCAATTCGTTACTAGTGCAGCACGCCGGTGTGTCGGGAGAGCAAATCCACAACATTGACAACCCCCATATAAAGCCTTCGCAAACACCCAAGACGGACGGCCCGGACAACGAGGGATGGATGTTCAAGTACCAAGTTCGGGCCGCCTTTATCTCTCCATTGATGATGTTTACACACCGTACCAGGTACTCATTTACAGGCCCAGTCCAGAGAACCGTGACCGATGTTTCCCGTGAACGGGAATTGAACTCGGGTCGCCGATTTCCTAGCGCAGTACGATAACCACTGCGCCACCGCTCCCCATAATTATCATATGCACAAACCATGTACAGTACCTACATATATGCACTATAGATACACACACAACCAACACACTATTGTTGCTGTTGTAGGGTCCCTTTGTCAACCAACGACTGGATGAAGGCTTCCACACACGACACACAAACAGCATACACACGTTACATGTCAAATGTCACCACGGTTCACACACTCCACTGTATATTGTACACAATATACTCTACATCTATTGCCTATACACACCGCACATAAATACCCACTATATCCTATTATCTATACACGTACACACTCATACACACATAGTACATATCCTATTGTTTATACACACTATATTAACACACACTACATATCCTATACACATTATAATATCGTCGATACACACACGCTGTACATGCCACACATGTTAATTATGCATGCACACAGATTCTCAATATTGTCGATCAACATCCACACCATATATGACACACACCACCATATCCCATTGTCTCCACTAACACACACACAAAGCGCCTTCTTGTCGACAGTATCCACATACACAATGTATATAACAGACACATAAACAATGTATATAACACACACATACACAATGTATATAACACATAATCTATATAACACACAATGTATATAACACACACATACACAATGTATAAAACACATACACACACAATGTATATAACACACACACAATGTATATATAAGACACATACACAATGTATATATAACACACATACGTACACAATGTATATAACACATACACAATGTATATAACACACACACGTACACAATGTATATAACACATACACAATGTATATAACACACATACACAATTTATATAACACATACATACACAGTGTATATAACACATACACAATGTATATACCATATACATACACAATGTATATAACACATAAATACACAATGTATATAACACATAAATACACAATGTATATAACACACATACGCAATGTATATAACAAACATACACAATGTATATAACACATAATGTATATAGCACACACATACATACACAATGTATATAACACACACACATACACAATACATAACACACATACACAATATATACAGTGAGGGAAAAAAAGTATTTGATCCCTTGCTGATTTTGTACGTTTGCCCACTGACAAAGAAATGGTCAGTCTATAATTGTAATGGTAGGTTTATTTGAACAGTGAGAGACAGAATAACAACAAAATTCAAAAAAACGCATGTCAAAAATGTTATAAATTGATTTGCATTTTAATGAGGGAAATAAGTATTTGACCCCTCTGCAAAACATGACTTAGTACTTGGTGGCAAAACCCCTGTTGGCAATCACAGAGGTCAGACGTTTCTTGTAGTTGGCCACCAGGTTTGCACACATCTCAGGAGGAATTTTGTCCCACTCCTCTTTGCAGATCTTCTCCAAGTCATTAAGGTTTCGAGGCTGACGTTTGGCAACTCGAACCTTCAGCTCCCTCCACAGATTTTCTATGGGATTAAGGTCTGGAGACTGGCTAGGCCACTCCAGGACCTTAATGTGCTTCTTCTTGAGCCACTCCTTTGTTGCCTTGGCCGTGTGTTTTGGGTCATTGTCATGCTGGAATACCCATCCACGACCCATTTTCAATGCCCTGGCTGAGGGAAGGAGGTTCTCACCCAAGATTTGACGGTACATGGCCCCGTCCATCGTCCCTTTGATGCGGTGAAGTTGTCCTGTCCCCTTAGCAGACAAACACCCCCAAAGCATGTTTCCACCTGCATGTTTGACGGTGGGGATGGTGTTCTTAGGGTCATAGGCAGCATTCCTCCTCCTCCAAACACGGCGAGTTGAGTTGATGCCAAAGAGCTCCATTTTGGTCTCATCTGACCACAAAACTTTCACCCAGTTATCCTCTGAATCATTCAGATGTTTCATTGGCAAACTTCAGACGGGCATGTATATGTGCTTTCTTGAGCAGGGGGACCTTGCGGGCGCTGCAGGATTTCAGTCCTTCACGGCGTAGTGTGTTACCAATTGTTTTCTTGGTGACTATGGTCCCAGTTGCCTAGAGATCATTGACAAGATCCTCCCGTGTAGTTCTGGGCTGATTCCTCACCGTTCTCATGATCATTGCAACTCCACGAGGTGAGATTTTGCATGGAGCCCCAAGCCGAGGGAGATTGACAGTTATTTTGTGTTTCTTCCATTTGCAAATAATCGCACCAACTGTTGTCACCTTCTCACGAAGCTGCTTGGCAATGGTATTGTAGCCCATTCCAGCCTTGGGTAGGTCTACAATCTTGTCCCTGACATCCTTGGAGAGCTCTTTGGTCTTGGCCATGGTGGAGAGTTTGGAATCTGAGTGATTGCTTCTGTGGACAGCTGAGATTAGGAGCACTCCATTTTAAGAGTGTGCTCCTAATCTCAGCTCGTTACCTGTATAAAAGACACCTGGGAGCCAGAAATCTTTCTGATTGAGAGGGGGTCAAATACTTATTTCCCTCATTAAAATGCAAATCAATTTATAACATTTTTGACATGCGTTTTTCTGGATTTTGTTGTTATTCTGTCTCTCACTCTTCAAATAAACCTACCATTTAAATTATAGACTGATCATTTCTTTGTCAGTGGGCAAACGTACAAAATGAGCAGGAGATCAAATACTTTTTTTCCCTCACTGTATAACACACATACATACACAATGTACATAACACACACACACAATGCGTATAACACACACACAATGTATATAACACATACACAATGTATATAACACTCATACACAATATATATATATATAACACACATACACAATTTATATAACACACACATACACAATGTATATAACACACACATACACAGTGTATATATAACACACACACATACACAATGTATATATAACACACACACATACACAATGTACACAACACACATACACAATGTACATAACACACACATACACAATGTATATAACACATACATACACAATGTATATAACACACATACACAATATATAACACACATACACAATGTATATAACACACACATACATACACACCATATAGCCGATTGGCTGTTCACATACCACATCCACACGCTGTATATGCCACACATGTCAATAACCGATACATTGTATATGCTATTGCCTATACACACATTATACTCGATACACACTACTCCCCATACACACTACAGTACACACGACAGTATACATGCAGAATACAGTTTCCAGTACAAACGCTAAATAAACACATGTGGTGTGTGTCTGTGTGCTGAATCTTACCGCAATCTCTCCGCTCTCCCCTCTTCTCGCCGCTATGTCTGTGTGTACGTGTCTGTGTGTACGTGTCTCTGTGTCTGTGTGTACGTGTCTCTGTGTGTACGTGTCTGTGTGTACGTGTCTGTGTCTACGTGTCTGTGTGTGTCTGTGTGTACGTGACTGTGTCTCTGTCTGTCTGTTTGTCCGTGTCTGTTTGTCCGTGTCTGTGTGTCCGTGTCTGTGTGTCCGTGTCTGTGTGCCCGTGTCTGTGTGCCCGTGTCTGTGTGTCCGTGTCTACGTGTCTGTGTGTCTGTGTGTACGTGTGTCTGTGTCTCTGTCTGTCTGTGTGTACGTGTCTGTGTGTACGTGTCTGTGTATCCGTGTCTGTGTGTCCGTGTCTGTGTGTACGAGCAGACGGATGAACCGAGACGCGGTCGGCTTGACGGGACACAGAGACTCAGGGCGGGGTCCGGATGAGGGAGAGGAGAGGGGAGGGAGAGGAGGGAGGAACGAGGTGGGGGATGGAGTCGGCAGAGGAGGGAGGGAATGGGGGATAGAGGGAGGGGAATGAGGAAGGAGAGGAAGGAGGAGTGGGGGAGGAAGGAGAAGTGGGGGAGGGTGGGAGGGGATGGAGAATAGGAGAGGGAGAGGTGGATGGGGGGAGAGGCAGGGGATGTTGGAGGGGGATGTTGGAGGGGATTGAGGAAGGAGGAAATGGGGAAGGGAAGAGGGAGGCGATGGAGGAGGGAGGGAATTGGGGTAAGGAGTGGATTAAAAAATGTGGGGTCGGTGGAAGATGGAGTGGATGGAGGATGCGAGATAAAGGGGGATGGGATGGTGAAAGGAGGTGGTGGAGGGGAAGGCGAGGAATGGACAAGGCAAGGGGGGGTGGAGGGAATGAAGAAGGGAAAGGATGGAGAGGGAGGGGATGGAAGAGGGAGAGGAGAGGGAGGGGATGGAGGGGAAGGTGTGTGGGGTCATGCCTGGGACGTGGTGACATCATGGTCAATCTCCAAAAGGAAGGTGATGATTGCTATGACACGCACACACAGCATGGATGGATCTCACAATGTGGGTAAATTTGGTGCGTAATTGCACCCGCATTTAAAGGCAGAGTGATCGCGTGTCTGTTCTGTAGAGGCCCCGTCAGCCGATCACTGAACTGAATTTGTATAATTTATTCAGGAAAGCCTCACCGAGTCTCAACAGCCTTCTTCAGGAGCGTCCTTCATTGGGATGTTTTATAAACGACGATTGTCCTCGTGTATGAGGGGATACAGGTCCGTGGAGGTACACAAGTGAAGTCATTCGCAGCACGGCTGGTGTGGGAGCTCACATTGCAATCTGGGCTGTAGTCCGACTATTTAAGTAACTGGTTAATACTATAATCACCCAGGAATGTCTCTCCTTAACGCTCGTGACGTCACTCCACATGAACTTGCCCCCTCATTAATATTCATGAGCAAGTGACGTCGTCCAAGTGGACACCCCCCCCACCCCTCATTAATAATCGTGAGCAGGTGACGTCCTCCACATGGACCCCCCCCTTATTAATAATCATGCGCAAGTGACGTCACTCCACATCGAACAGCCCCCCCTCACTAATAATCATGCGCAAGTGACGTCACTCCACATCGAACAGCCCCCTCTCACTAATAATCATGCGCAAGTGACGTCACTCCACATCGAACAGCCCCCCTCATTAATAATCATGAGCAGGTGACGTCCTCCACATGGACCCCCCCCCCCTCATTAATAATCATGAGCATGTGACGTCCTCCACATGGACCCCCCTCCATTATTATTTCCTACTATAACTAAAATGAACCAAGAATGTCTGTGTGCAACGCTCGTGACGTCACTCCACGTCGACCAGCCCCCCTCAATTAATAATCATAAACAGGTGACGTCACTCTACATGGACCCCCCTCATTAATACTCATGAGCAGGTGACGTCACTCCACATGCAGCAAATTCCCCCCTCATTAATAATCATGAGCAGTTGACGTCACTCCACATCGAACAGCCCCCCTCATTAATAATTATAAGGTGACGCCCTCCAAATGGACACCCCCTCCCCCCATTCATAATAATTAGCGGGTGACGTCACTCCACATGGGGGGCCGAGGCGCCTCCTCCCCCCTCCTCCCCCCACCTCAGCGTCAACTGACAACCCTCACGACAAAGGCAGAACCCTGACGTCACGCGATCTCCGTAACGTTGTTGAGACATCAAAGTAAAAAATACGTCGTGATGAACAAGGGATTATAACCTTAAATTGAAATGGGTCTGTGTCACCGCGCCCTTACAAATTGCACACGCATTGATGCAATGAATATATCACGTCGCGGTCTGCTTTTCTCTTGCAAGTTTCAGATTTACTACAATACACCCGTCCTTGGACGGGCAAAAGGCGAGTCTATGATGTTCTTCACGCCTGTGAGGGTCAACTTTTGAGGCTACAGCCTTTAAGAGATGGAATTGGAGAAGTTCCGAAATTCCGAATCAAAACTTCGTCAAAGAGGTCTATGGGCGCAGATAACCCACACAGCGGCACATGGGGACATCGGTAACTTATCCCAACTATTTTTGCGTGCACCTACTAGTCGAGTAGTGTAACCAATAATCAGTAATAATCGATTAAATAATCAGCCCAGCTTAAGCAGAGCCACATACCGTCGTGTATAAATGAGTTTCATCAGTGCACACTCCCAGGATATAAAAAGATGACCTCCATGCAGCAGTGGTTTGATCATAGCCATTAGCAACCAGGCATTCAATTTTTACTCATAATATATCTTTATCTGCAAAACTGCCTATTTGCATACCTCGCAGGATATCATAAATGCGAAATTCTCATTCTCACGCTTCTACTGAAACTCATGTATTATTTTTTATTTAAAGCTTTCGTGACTGGAGGGATTCATATTCTTGGTTCTTTCAGTGAAGTCATGTAGAAGGGAAACAGTAAAATAATAAAAATATAAAACAATAAATTCTCACAACGTTTCGACTTTTACACAAGCAATCATCATCAGGTGTGAAAAACACAGCAAGAAAATTTGATGATGTTTGCTTGTGTTGCAGTCGAAACGTCGTGAGAATTTTATTGTTTTATATTTGTATTATTTTATTGTTTCCCTTCATGTATTCATCTTAACCCTCTAGGCTTATTTTCTGTGAGTCTCCTTTATACGCTCTTCCCGAGTCTCTCATCCACTACATTCAATAACACATTCCTGCGGAGGGAGCTGGTAGGAACGTTGGGTTGCTCGGTCAATGGCCAGGGTCAACGGCGGCGTGGTGTATTCCGCAAATATGCCCAACTGTGAGGGCGGGCACAAGCCGGCGTGAGTAGGTTAAACGTTGAGTTTTATAAGGGCACCACGGTGTGACCAGCCCCTCCCCACCCAGCCCCACCCCTCCCACCCCCAACTCGGTTTACGATGATAAACAGGTCATGCATTGAGGGGTTTTGTTGGTTTAAAAGGTCCTCGTTAATTTCCTTTGTCCGACATGTGGCCACCCCACCGAAGATTTCTTGGCTTGTGTGACGAGCTGAGTGGATTATGGGAGCCCGTCAGTGGGTCGATGTTTTTGGATGGTGTAAGCAGCTGAAAGTTCGACTTGGTCAACATTGTCAACGCCTTTTGGAATTTATTATATTTTGTTAATTTTGCTTATTTCTGCACTTGGTCACCACATTCATGCCCGCTTTCCCTAAGGTTGATCCAGCTGGGAAGGTACTCCGAATTGGGAGTCACTGCTGGCAGGAAAAGGCCAAAGCGGAGGCCAGTGTCCTTGTGGCTGCTGCAGGTTGATCGCCATCTCCAGGGGTTGGGACTGGCAAGGCAGCCGGCCTCACAGATCACAGCCACGGGGGACGCTAAGGGCTGGAGCCGGAGGGCGAGCGAGGCCACGCAACGTGTAGGCAGATGCCCCAATATCTGATCACCTTGTTCACGAGTTCCTTCTCTGGGGATTAATCCCTTCTGTGATGTGTGCAATTAATGTACCGCGTTGATATGCAACTCTACGAATGACGCTGTATCAACTAAATAATTATACAGTTGACCAGTGATGGGCCGTGTATTTTACACCTCGGCCTTCAGTGCTATCCTCCCGCAAAATAAACCGCGTTCGAATAACCTCACCGTGACACTAGGGCCTAGGGCTATAGGCCATTGCCATTCAACGTAATCATTCCATATTCACAGTGACAGTAACCTTTATCGAGTGAAATAAAGTGATTTAACACGAGGCTCAACACCGATGAGAGTTACAATACACTTGTAGTGGAGTATTGTGAGTAACCAATGAGGGGGCAAACAGAAAGAGGTGCGAGCGGGTTGACAGTCAAGGATGACGTAACGTCACGGGTGGTGCAAGGGGCACCTTCGGGAACAAAGGCGGGTCCGAGCTGGGGGGAGGAGCAGCCCAAGGGGTTCTTAAGGGGAACCCCGTGATGAAGGCATGGTCGTTGTGGGGAGCCAGGGTAAGGATCGGCTGCAGGGGGTCTCTCCCTCCTCGTCGCAGAGCAATGTTGGATAAACCCCTGCTCCGGACAGACGAGTGGGAGAGCCAAGGGGATAGCCAAGGGTCGGGTCCTGAGTATTCAGTCAGGGTCGGCTGCTGCCGCAGTGGTCGACTTTACTCCAGTGACCACCCGGGTGCTGCTGCGGGGTCCACTTTCTGCCCCGCCTCCTTCCCCCCCCACTTCTCTCTCACCCCCCCCCCCCCTACTGCCGAGGCCTATATAACCTCGTGCCACGGCAGATCTCTCGCCGACTTCAGCAGTTTGTTTCTCGCTGTGGTTGTCCCACCTGATGACGATCGCTTGTGTTGCGATCGAAACGTCGTGATCTATTATTTTTTTACCTACGTGACTTTACCGACAGAACCAAAGAGAAGGAGAGGGTTCCTCTCTCCTTGTTGCGGAAGTAACGTTGGCTGAACCCCCGCTCCGGGCAGACGAGTGAGAGAGCCCCGAGGGATAGCCGAGGGCAGGACCCAGATAGCATTCAGTGTCCGGGGTAAAGGACCGAGATAGAGAGCACCTACCCCAGGTGCGAGCGTCGAGTGTTGAGTGTGACAGTGTTTAATAAAGGGCAACAGCCCTTATAGTATTCCTCGTCTGCGCGTGGTTCTACTGCATAACACACTAATTACAGAGACATGAATACATGGTGATTGAAACCATCAAGGATGTGCCACTATTACGCAGTATGACAGGATGCTGCATCACAAATAGACATCGCATAGCCCACATCAATTTAAATTTCGATTTAAAGCTTTCGTGACTGCAATGATTCATCTTCTTTGGTTCTTTCGGTAAAGTCACGTAGAATGAGATTAAAATAATAAATTTATAAAATAAAATAACACAATAATATTCTCACGACGTTTCGGCCACAACACAAAGCGGCCTTCATCAGGTGAAGGGATGAGACTGTCTGGTAGGACAGCGCTGGAGTGAAAGAGCCACGTTCAGATCTGAACGTGGCCGCTTGTGTTGTGGCCGAAACGTCGTGAGAATATTATTGTGTTATTTTATTTTATCAATTTATTATTTTAATCTCATTCTACGTGACTTTACCGAAAGAACCAAAGAAGACAAATCAATTTAATTACCAAAGAAACAAGAACGAACTCACAACAACCCGTCACATTTACTAATACGACCACCAAGCAAGCAAAAATGCCGTAAAACACAATCAGGATTCAATAGGATTCCCTACAAAAAATGTAAAGCACTACATGTAAAAATCTAAACATCACGAAATAAAGTTGAAATAAATCCTAGATGACTAGCCTTTTGCCCGTCCAAGGACGGGTGTATTTCAGTAAATCTGTAACTTGAAAGAGAAAAGCAGAGTGCGACGTGATATATTCATTGCATCAATTTGTGTGCAATTTGTAAGGGCGCGGTGACACAGACTTATTTCATTTTAAGGTTATAATCCGGTGTTCATCACGACGTCCTTTTTACTTTGATGTCTCAACAACAGCATCACAGAGATCACGTGACGTGAGGGTTCTGCCTTTGTAGTGAGGGTTGTAAGTTGACGATGAGGGGGGAGGAGGCGCCTCGCCCACCCATGTGGAGTGACGTCACCCGCAAAATATTATTAATGGCAGGGGTCCATTTAGAAGACGTCACCTCTTCATGATTATTAATGAGGGGGGCTGTTCGATGTGGAGTGACGTCACCCGCTCATGATTATTAATGAGGGGAGGGGTCCATGTGGAGGACCTCACCTGTTCAAGATTATTAATGGGGGCTGGCCGACGTGGAGTGACGTCTCACACGGGACACATACATTCTTGGCTCATAGTCGTTAATGCTACGTTACGTGCTCGCTAGTTTTACTTCAGTTATCTAACTGGCCCTCCGATGCCACACGAAAAATGCTAACGTAGGCGGCGAGGCCACCAAGCAGGCTCCGGCGTCAAAGAATACGCCCAACATGGCAAACTCGAAATATGGTTGGTTTAAAAAATTACAATCAACATTGTTCCCATTTGCTTCAACAGCAGAGGGGATTCACTCGACATTCTGACGGCCTTAGGGAAGATTTCTCAGCCGGACAGGCAGAGAAAGCACAGGTGGAAATCTCGATTTAAAGCTTTCGTGACTGCAAGGATTCATCTTCTTTGGTTCTTTCGGTAATGTCACGTAGAATGAGAATAAAATAATAAATTGATAAAATAAAATAACACAATAAAATTATCACGTTTCAGCCACAACACAAGCGGCCTTCATCAGGTGAAGGGACGAGACTGTCTGGAGGACAGCGCTGCTCCAGCGCTGTCCTCCAGTCTCGTCCCTTCACCTGATGAAGGCCGCTTGTGTGTTGTAGCCGAAACGTCGTGAGAATTTTATTATTTTATCAATTTATTTTATTCTCATTCTACGTGACTTTACCGAAAGAACCAAAGGTGGAAATCTCATTGGATAAACGCTCTAACTTATTAGCTGCACTGGAAGCAGCGCAACTGAGGGAGAGAGTAGCAATGAAATGACGTTAAGACCGATTGGAAACGAACTTTGTAAAATACATATAGCATAAATTAAAATATATATTAAATTACAAAAATATTTTCTGATTCTGACAATGTCTAGGCCAGCAGAGGCCTCTGCGGTTGACAATAGCGATGATCCCAGCAGCAGAGCTGTTGTCGGCCGTCTTACTGGAAAGAATCCGAGCGGAGCCACTGCTCCATCACGACCACCTGCCCCACGATTGTCAGGACTGTGACAAACGGTGCCCCACTATTTTAGGCGCACGCTCACAGCCCCCGTGGTATTTTTATTCTGGTGGCATGAGCCCGTTGTTGGGATTTGAGTTTAGGGTGTGGAACCCTCCTTACGTGGCCTTTCAAACACAGGCTCCGAAAACCACAGGGCCTCTGATTGCTTTGGGGTTCAATCGCTCCAGATATTTAATATTGGAGGTAGTCGTTGAGCCAGGACCGCTGGGAGCCTGGGTTAAGTTTAGCTGCCTGTGATTAATCCGGATTTCTTCTGAGTGAAGGGATGGCCTCATCCAAGCCAGGAACGACTGGACCAAAATTGCATAATTTAAATTTAATATGGGTAAACTCCAGCTACCTCAATCCATACAATCCCTGATCCATCTCCCACTTTCCCAATCCGTCTCATTCTGCATTCTACCCCTCAATATATAACCTCTCTCCTCCCAGGTGCCCATGGCTCACCCGTTCCTCTCGTATGCACCGCAATAGTATTTTGATTAAGTTCATAAAACACAACTTTGAATCCTTGTAGAAATAACCACACTTGGATGGGTGGAGTTATCAGGAGTCCAGATCAATCAACGCATTATCTCAAATGTCTGTAAAGGGCCTCTTTCTCCAACCCCAATCACGAGAGGCCAACGACATGAGGGATTTCATGTGGCTGGTTTTGCTACACTCGCGAGCGAAGGAAACATTACACCAAACTGCAGTGCACAGCTCTCCAGGGAGGGTTTTTATTGAATAAAGACAATACAGTTGCAAAATATGCTTTGCCCATTCTCACATCTAGGAGCTTTTCATTGCCAATTCACAATTCCCAATCGCATGTGTACACAAATGAATAAAATAGACAAACGTGAAAACACGGAGTCTTCCTGTCCTAGTGTGTTACTGTAATGACTGGTGAGCTAGTGGTTAGAATTAAATGACAGGGACCGATTTCACCATAACCATGGGAAGAAGCCTTGGATCGGATTAAACCAAGTCTCATCAACGTTGTACATTGTAAAGGGACTGCCGCGATCGATGTCAAAGCGTGAGCAGCATTTGGCAACTCAGCGAGTTTGTTGAGAAACCTGATGACTTTTGGGGTTTCCTAAGTGACGCCATTTTGTCAAAGGGACAAATCGCGACGTTCTGCGATGAGGACACAAATCATATTTAGGAGTGACCCAAGGTGTCTCAGCGATCCTGTGTCAGTTCACCACATGTAATATACCTTATCGTAACATTTGGAACAGCCGCCCGGGATCAACGCAAGGCTCAACACCCGGTGAGCTAGTTTCAGTGCAACACGACGTCATGAAGACGAGAGCCGGATGACTCCCCAAGGCCTTCCACTCTTCAATGCTGCGTTTCTCCATGCCTCCCGAGGTGCTGGATGCACACAGCCTCATCGTTCACCGAGGCCGGCACGGTCCATCCCAACACTTCTCAGTCTAGAGCCGAGAGAAGAGAAATTCATCATGAGATAAGCAGGGTGGGAGGTTTGCCTCTCAACATCACAAGTGGAGGAAGACCCAAACATGCCAATGAGAGCAGCTTTCACTTGCCAATGTGAACACGTGTACATGTACAGCCCGTTTGTCAATCCACTGTTGGATGAGAGCGCTGCCCCAAGCCTGTAAGGGTTATTGGACCATCCAGAACTCCTCTTATCCACAGCCTTATTATCTGAGACTCCTATTATCCACTGCAGCTGTAGGGTCCGTGGCCCTATTTCTTTCTATTTTCTGCAAATGTATCCATAAAGCACAGCAATGCTGCTTCCTGATATTCAGTTGTTTCGTGGATAAGTTGAAGCAAATAACGTCTATAATTAGCAGGTTAATACTGGCTAATTGACATTGTTATTAGTCCTATTATCCACAATTTATTTATTGGATAAGAGTCATGGCAAATCCATTGTTACCCATAGGGTTATCTGCATTTTTTTACCCCACAGATAATGAATTTGCGAAATTGGTCTCTCATATCACAAGGGATAAGAGTTATGTACTTCACCATGCTGGTCAGTGAGACTTGTTGGTGTATGACCTACATTGTTCAGAATCAGAATATTTATCCTGGAGCAATCCGATGAGCTAGGAAGCTCTTTTTCACATATGTCCAGTAGAGGCTGATCAAATAGTTACATTAAAAAGATAGGAGTGCACAGTACAGGAAAAGTAAGATAATCACTACCTTTAATGCAGTTACATTAAAAGTAACATTTATCCTTGCAGTTTGCAAGTTTTGTGAGTGTAAGAATTGAAATAAAAAACACTAAATCACACGTTGAGAAGGGTATCTCACCTGCCCCTTGGGTTCAACAACAATGTACAATCATATTCTTAGCTCTTTCGGTAAAGTCACGTTGAAGGGAAACAATAAAATATTTCGATTAAGCTTTCGTGACTGCAATGATTCATCTTCTTTGGTTCTTTCGGTAAAGTCACGTAGAATGAGAATAAAATAATAAATTGATAAAATAAAATAACACAATAATATTCTCACGTTTCGGCCACAACACAAGCGGCCTTCATCAGGTGAAAGGACGAAAGAACCAAAGAAAATAAAATATATATAAAACAATAAAAATTCTCACGTTTCGACCATAACACAAACGGTCATCATGAAACATCATGACCGTTTGTGTTATGGTCGAAACGTCGAGAGAATTTTTGTTTTATATATATTTTATTATTTCCCTTCAACGTGACTTCACCGAAAGAGTTAAGAATATGAATTACTGCAGTCACGAAAGCTTTAAATCAAACTGTACAATCAGTTATTTTCAAGTCTTCATTCAGCCTCACAGATGAACACAGGCGAAATGGTGCATGCGAATTAGAGGCAGTGCATTCACCTGGGTGAATGGATTTAGAGAAGAGCCATATTAGTTCCCTGGCACTGCACGAATCCAGAAAACTGCTTTAATGGCGCAGTGTCACATACACTGCAGTCAGCCACTCCAGGGCTCGAATCGGGGAAGTTTGCTTTGTGCAAGTTGTGCCAGGGAGCCTTTGAAAAGATTTAACTGGTCACACCTTAATTTCGGGTTTAGAATGTTTGAGTGGGCGTAATGAAACCTGGAACGTACCTCTCAGTGGACGTGCGTTTCCAATCGGCTGCTTGTTCATGAGACACCAAATTGCAGTTGGTGCTCGGATCGCGATGAATTGCCAAAGGACCCCTTTGTTGGCTCACTCTGCAAAGAGAACGGGCGGACATGCTCGTTAGAGGTCGACCGGCAGCGCAGACACCCGCGCGCGTTCACACTTCCCTACAGCGCCCTGCGATGCCACAAGTCCAAATCATTCAACAGATTCATCATTTTAAGTCGCTGCATGACAAGGTATTTTATTAAAAACCCACACTCAAGGAAAAGGGGGGGGGGAGATTTTCTGTCATGACGAATGTTTAAATTCAATCCTAGTTTGACGTTGGGATGGACAGTTTTAACAATGCACCGAATATTCTGTAACGCTAAACAAAGGATTTTCTGACATTAACGTTCTTGTTTTGCGTGTCATTCGACAAGTCTGGCAAGAAACACGTTTTTCTCGTGGAATCCGATGAAGTCAGTTCAGACCAAGTGAAAACTGGCATTGAAAGGTTACGTGCTGCATTCATCTATTTGAAAACATTAAAGAAAATAACTGGCTAGAAGTTTTTTTTCCCTGGGGAAATGAATGGAAAATGACGACGTATGTTTTTGTTTGGGTTTTGCTTTCTTTTGTTTTGAGTTACCAGTCCTCCATTGCTTGCCGTCCCAGATGAATTTTGACTCCTCCACCCTGATCCGTCCATGTTGCCGTTTGAATCCTTGTGACATTGGCTTTCAGGAGTGGATTTGTTAAACATCGGTTTCGACACAAACAAACCCAGCATCACAGCTACGGCAGGCTACTGCTTGTACGTGGACCCTAGAGTCGGTTACTTTTACCAATTTACCAAACAAGGGAGACACCGCTTTTGACAGCATCGCGTTAGATAGCGCCACAACACCTTGCAAGCCAATGGAGGGGCATGTGGATGCCAGCGGGATACTCCAGCCACGTTCAAAGATGCCATTTCGAATGAAATGGCTAATTGACATTGTATTTGCTTCATCTCAGCGTTTGTATTTTTCAGCTCATCAACACCGACTGGAGATGCAACCAATTTGACATTTGCTAATGAGCGCAGTAACAAAGTGCAGAAATGCGCAGATGCTCGTTTCTTTTTTAAATCGTAACATCACTGAGCACTGACCATTCAACACTACTTATGCTCATTTTAAACCAGGACTACAGAAGGCCAATTACTAGACAATGACCACGTAATAATAAAACTGAAAAACCTTGGCATGCAAACTGCCTGTGTGAATGAGTGATTGAACTGCCTCCCTTCACCGCTTTGGAAGGGCAATGGCAGAGCTGTGAATGGTGGGGAAAAAACGGAAAGTCGGAGTCGCTTACTGTTTGATGAAAACCGGCAGCTCGGAGCACGGACTGGTGGTGCAGTGCCCTTGCATCTGAGAAAGCCGAGGTTTTTTTTACGTTGCTCAATCTTTCAGACTACAATCTCCCACATGATGTGAATAAAGCTGGCAAACCAATACAATCGAGCAAGTATTTTTATATTGGAATGCCGAGTTCATTTTCTGTTGCCACATGACGACAAAAACGGGCACGCTATTCCATGAAAGTTGTTTTTTGGTCTAAATGTTTGAAAGTGTTGCCTCTTGGTTTGCAGCTTCGTTTACGTGGAGATTGTAATGAGACCATGGCCACGGATGAACCGTGTACTTGTGAGAATGTTCCTTCAGCTTCTGAATTCCTACCAAGGTACACCAGTGACAAAATTAACTCAATGTGAAGCAATTTTATCAGTCTGGAATTCTAAATCCAAGTTCAGTTTTGCTTTCCCATTTCATAAACATGCACTGTGCTCAAATGTAAGCATTTCAATGGGGTAGCTGTAACCCACGTAGTTGTATTGGAGTATTGTTTTAATGTGACTCGTTGATCTACCCATGATTCACCCTTCATATCTCCTGAAGTTACAAAGGGTAAAATGATCAGATCGCAATCTTTGAAGTTCCCACGAGAGCCTGTCACTATTTGCATGGACACAATACACAACCGCGCATTTGATCAGCGCACTTGCGTTTGAATGCTGGTCAGGCTCAACGATGTAAGCTTATTCAGGTGAAAGCCTACGTGTTAAACTGATGTAAGCTTAGTTAACGTTGCATTGGAATCAACATTGATGTGAACAGGGCTTTGTTTTTGCTAATGTTAAAGCTTTGGTAATTGCATGAAGACACTACATAGATGCCATGTGACATGACCTTTTGGGAATGGGTAGTTGCAAGGCAGCTTGATGTTTGGGTTTCATCCGTCACTATGAAGCGGACTCTACAAACCTTGTGATGTTCACAAGAGCAGGGTAGAGTGTACTAAAGCTCAAATGAACCATGTACTAGCCGATTAATTGAAAGCTCTCCTCTAACAGTCTGAAGATGAATCTCAATGGGTTTGTGCACGTAATTAAACAAATTGGTTGAAAAGGTTTTAAATGTTCCATTTACCGATTACCATCAACATGGCAAAACGCAGAACATGCACCGTCTGGAGATGTAACGTGTTGCTGGCAGCCTCACTTGTGGTTGTAAAGGATGTATGGTTTGGCTGCCACTGTCGGTGAAAGTGTTGGGAAACGACCACGGTGGAGCGATTATAGAGTGTGCATGACTCGCAATGCGGCTTTCGGTCTTTTCCCATCATGGAGAACAGGGCAAACGACAAACGAGTAGCGACACTCTTTCAGCTTCAGGTTAAACACATTTCAGACTGCGTTTCCACAATTGACTTTGAATTGAGCATGGCCAAACCCTACTAAACGTATGAAACGTAACTTCATATTTCAAAAACTTTCAATTTTACTTCCAAGGCAATAATCTTTTGATCGTTTCAATAGCTGTTCCACCGAAGGCAACTCTGCAAGACTTATTTTGGCTTGAGATGTTTTGAGAGATGCGCCCATTTCATTTGGGTTTGTTTTGTTCAGTTAAATCTGTTTAACCTGCACGACTGATATGCTCTGTCACGAGCCCGCTTGGTGATTTGAATGGAAACTTTTCACTTCTGTCTCTCTCGTTTATTTGTTTATCAAGGGTCACGACAGTTGAATTACTACAAAAACTCAAACAGCATTGCAAACACGTTCTCCCGGCGTGCACAACATCGTGAACTCCGCTGTTGCGACTGTATTTAGAAGAGAACCCAACTTGTGTTCGTTTCCGACAACTGTTAAAAACACCAGCACAGCAGTAAAAATGCAAGACGTGGGTATCGGCTCGACATTGACTTTAGAAAAGTTGACGGTTTACTTAATATTGGGAATTTTTTTATAATTTTGAAAATTCTGCTTTGGTGTTGAATATGTACATGTAACAGCTCCATGACGAGTCTGCGTTTTCAGACACTCCATGTTTCTTTGTTGCTGTTGGAATATTTTTGCCTCATGCGTTATTTCACTTTCCCTGAACGGCAAATTAAGGCCGATATATACCTGATGTCAAAGCATGTTCCAGACCCCTTGAAATGGCCCTCAAGTCTCTTGTAATGGTTTTCCTTCATTTTAATCAGACCTATAATCAGATATTTGCTACCGTCTCTCTTGACATCAGGTTCCTTCTAAATGTTTTGACAAATCCAAGTGTCGATTTTCTTAATGCAAATCTATTCCGCCATCTAACATCGCACTCCTTGTTACCTTGCCATTTTAATTGGAAACATGAACACATCCTAAGACTTCACGTCTATCAACAATGTACGTAAAATATTAATACCATTAATATCAAATGAGACTCACCAAAGTGAAAAAAAATTAGGCCCCACGGCATTATGGAAAAAAACCTCAAACGCCTCTTGACCACCAGTGGCGGCAGCATCCTGATCTAGTTGGTAACCGTGCTGCAGTACAATACCGTACTGACGATAAAAAAAAATTTCATTTGCAGTCATTTGCTTACGAAGCCGATGTATCGTGTTGCGCCGCTTTTTTCAGGTGAATTAGAACTCGCATATTTAAATACTCCACATGTGTTTTGAGCATTGGAATCTATTATAATTGTTACATTGCTAATCAGCCACGCTGCCTCACTGAAAATTAAAGTGGCTGCACATTCGGCTTTTCCCATAATGCCTCACACCAGCCTAAACACAATGACATCTTGGCAACCGCCTGCCGACGGCACTCTCACTGGCCGGAGAGTCCATTAGCTTGCCAAATAACACATTAGTCGTATATAGTAGTAGAAATAATGACAGGGATAACAATGACAATACGGTGGAAGGGCATTAACATCCACGGCTCAGCTCTGCTCAATAGCGGCTCCTGCCCCTAGAATCCCCACCGCGTGCAGCAGGGGGCCCATAGGAATCCCGAGCAGGGGCGCCATAAGAATCTCTGGGGGGGGCCCCATACGAATCTCTGGGCGGGCCGTACGAGTCCCTAGGGGGGCCATACGAATCTCTGGGGGCACCTCTCCCTCCGCGTCCTGCCCCGGCCCCGCCGTAGGGGTCACGCGGGGCTCCCCCCCCGCGGCCGCCGGCCGAATAGGCATCGCGCGGCTGAAAGCCGCCGCGGCCACCATCCCCGCCACGGCCCCCCCGGCCTGGGCGGTCCCCGGAGCCACGAGTGGAGGCGCCATAACGCGCGGTGCCGCCACCGCCCCCGTAAGCGTCGCGTGAGCTCGCGCCGCTGTAGTCTTCGTAGCGTGCGGTGGTACCGCCACCGCCAAACGAGCCGCGCGTGGGCGGGGCGCTACGGGCGCTACCTGTGGGGTTCAGTCGCAACTTGTGAATCCTACAACATTGTGGATTTCAGCGGGTACAAAACAGTCCTGCTGCCTGCATTTCGTCCTACAGTAGCTTGAATGGACCACAAACGTTTCTGGTGCCTGCGTTTAATACCAGTGTGAGTTGATCTTAAATGTTTGATTTAGACCTGCATTTAATCCCAGCGATTTGAGTTGGTCTCAAATGGTTCCGCTGCCTGCCCTTGCAGGAGTTGAATCCATGAGTTTCAGAGGTGCGCTTTTGACAACTTGCCTATGAAATAATCCCACATGGACGAAACATTTTCACTTTCTTTTTGAATGTAGATGTGGATTTCATTTATTCATGAGAAACATTTTGTTTCTGAAATGGGATTCCATCAATATTTGGGAGCAGTTTGGTTCACGAGCTAGAGGTGATGAGATCTGTGCGTCGATACTCGCCCGTGCTGCGTTTATGCAAGACTGGTGGCTGTGGAAAGAACTGCACACAGGGTTTGTGGAGACATCACTGAGGGCGATTCAGAGACCACGACATTCACAGACACAGTTAAGGGCTTATAGCGCTTGCATGAAATAAGAGTGAATTCCTGCAGCTGCTCCTTAGGGTCTGTGGAAATAGCAAAATCTGTGGATTGACAAATGATGCTGTGGTAAAGCTTATAAGAAGCCAGTGTTAAAGTCTAAATTTGAAAGCAATCTGCATCTTTTTTATTACATAGTTTTCTTCGAGAGTCCTATATAACAATCTGAGGGCTGACACTGCTAAAAAAACATTACAATTCGTTTAAAGTATGAACACATATTCCTTCTTTACATTGTAAAAGATTGAAGCAAACTTCATTCTTCTAGCTCCTTCTCAAGAGCACATTTTTCTAAAATACAAACATAAAAACATGTGCAATGATCGAAAATTTAACTCCTATTCTATTTTAATCTCTCGTTGGAAAGATGCAATGTCTCTAGGACATTAATAGAATTCAGTCACTGCCTCAGGTTGCCGTCCTAAAGCAGGCATTTATATTGAAATGCGCTTCCTCGTAATTATTTTAGACAAAATGTACATCTCCAGGGATGGTGGATGTTTGTGAAGCTCTACGAGACTAACAGCAAGAGATTAAGGTCTTACCTGTCAGACAGCTCGCCATGTACATGCTCAACTACACAAACTTTCTGCCAGAATACTTTTATGTAGAGTTCGTGAATTGTATGTCAAGGACGGAAAATGTTTTCAAGAGAACCTCGAATCGGGAGATTTGTGCAGTTAAGCACCCTGGCACACCGACTCGCTCATGTTCATCGTGCCACCACTCAGAATATTACTGCAGCACTTTGACTCGGTGTCTAAGCGGCTCAGAGGTCAGACTGCTAAGTTGGAATCGCTGGGAATATTGGCAGCTGCCAGGGATTAAACCAGGTCTTCAAGTGTAGCGAGTTGGTCTTGGATCAGTGACTGCATGCAACAGATCAAATTAAAATTGGTTCTGCAACTTAATATGGATAAAGTTCCAGCTCCGAAAACTAAAAGAAATATTGACTCGATTGCCATGCAAACATGAATCTATACCTGGGTGTGTAGAACAATGTTGCACCCCCGCCTACTACAGGGATAAAAAAGTGACATCTGCACCTGTGGGCCCTCCAACATATTTGATGCACTGCCCTGTGAGAGCTCCAAACGGATTTTTTTCTATGATGCGATGATTTTGACTGTCATTGACACATGCATCAATACACCACAACATATTGCTTGAATTTGCAACTATGTAGTATGTTCACACTCGTCGTTTTTTACGGTAACAAAGACAATACTTTAGGGCAGGTTTTCTAAAACGATAGTACGGTGTGCAAACAAAGTTCTGGATGTTTTGGTAAAGGGGACAGTAATGATGGCCTTTATTAGCATAAACAATTTTCTCCAATTACGTCAGTTTACCGATAAAAAGCATAAGACCAGATCACCTAGAAATCATCTGATCCCATTAGATCTTAGAAGCCAAACAGGTGAGTGCCCGGATGCATAAACAGGTTGTCTCATGGGTGGAAAAGGCAGGACAGCAAATAATTAAAAGTCCTGTTCTCCTGCTTTAACCAACCTACACTATCGTGAAGTATGGTCAAATAACCCAATGACCTTATGACAGCGCAGGCGGCCCTCATCCAGGAGTGGATTAAGTGTTGTTGTACATGTCTACATGGCAGCATGGGTCAAGCACATCACGCATATGTACATGCACAGCACTTTAGTCAACCCACTGCAGGATAAGGGTTTCCGCACACCATGCCCAAAAAAGGTAACCATACTTTGCTACGCTGGTCAACGTAGGTTTAAAGCTATGGCTGTAAAAAAGGCAGGTGCTGTTGGGAAGTAATAAGGCATGTGATTTGCGACTGGAAGGGGAGGGGCTAGATAGGCGGGAACTGATTGAGGGGTTGGTGGGGGCACTCACTGTAGCTGTCATAGGCGTCCCTGTAGTTGCCGCCGCTGGCGCCGTAGTCGCGGGACTCCCGGCTGGAGTAGCCATCACGCTCACTGCCACGTGGAGACCACGGCGAAAGGAGCACAAGTGACAGCAGGAGACCAAGTAGGTCAGGAAAGAGAGAACGCACGAAAAGAAAATCCATGAGCAAACACCATAACACATGAACAATGCAGAGACAAAAAAATGTACAGGTCCCTCACCTGAACGCACACACCTGCACCAATATGAACTTACTCCTCAACCATCTATCACTCACCCATTCTCACACCACTCACCGATGTCACTCGACTTCACGCACTCAACCGTACCCACATGGAGTCACTCACCCGTCTCTACCTCCCCTTAACTTACCTATACCCACGTCGCTCGCCCGTTCCCATGGAGTCACTCACCCGTCTCTACGTCACCCACTCACCCGTAGGCAAGAGCCCCTGTTCTGTACCCGTCGCCCCTGTGTCCCCCGTAGTGCTCTTGTGAGTCTCGCGAGCCTCCATAATCCCTGCCGGAGTAGCTGCACCAACACACGGCGCTCAGTGTAAGCTCAAATTAACAATATTATTCCCTCTTTAACATCACGGTGAACGTCAGCACCTCCAGCGATTGCAGGGGTGAAGAGTCTCATTCTGTATGGTACACGTTCAGTTTGGAGAAGCCATTCGATGGCGTTGGGGAATGCCAGATGAAGTCTGTTTGTACCCCGTACAAAAGCATACGAGCAATGATCGGTCGCATGGGTGATGGATCACACATCATTCACAACTACACCGACATAGGCTCGTATAGAGGCCCATGCACTCATGACAACCCAGACTCGCATAAAGACCCGTACCGTACAACATGTGATGTGATCTTCCAAGTGTAGTTCTAACAAGGATCAGTACAGACTTCTAGGGGTGATGTGAACCCATTGTATACAATCAAACATCAATAATTAAAAAAAAAATATTTTTTTCATATATCATGATCTTAAAAAATATATGAATTGGTTCGACTGCCATGTCATTAGTATAACAGTGGCAAGGCCTGCGGGGAAAATTCTGTGGGCCAGTCACTAACATGGAGGGTTCTATCTCTGCAAATGCATTTTGCATCTCATGACATGCCTAAAGTGCAATTGGCATTAAATTGGATACATTTTCGACTAATATTAATCGATGCAAACCACCCCTGATTTTTTTAAAAATTATGCCATTTCTGGCCGAGGCTTGCACAGTGCTCCGTACTTCTTAGAGGAAAAAGTGAAATAATCAGGTATTCAGCACAGAAGTTTCATCACTGCACTGGGCTGACCCTCACTGAAGTTCACACAAGCAGTGCCAGCTGCATCTACATGGGTATCCTCCTGTCATGGAAACAACTCCTATCTGATTGAAGGTGGCCTGGGCGTTCCCTAAGCATTCGAGGAACCAAGGCCATACACCGGTGAGCGTGATGCTGGCCAAACCACCTTGCATGTCGTGTCAGCTTCCTAAGAGATTGACTATGCTTTTCCATTATGATGTAATCACTTAACGATATACAAGTATTTGAGCCATCTACACAAGACAAATGCGTGAAGAAACTGCCCAACACGTGCATAAACGCATTGGCAATGCTCGACACCGGGAGGAAACGGTTTTAAGTGGGGGCAGACAAGGGACGCACTGGGTAAAGGAGGCGTTGGTGTCGTAGCCATTGCACTGAACTCCAATACCAGAAAAGTCAATGAGACTGACTACACTCAGTAATTGGTACCAGCAACTCACCCAGATTTACCAGAGGTTACTGGTTAACAACTGCTGTTATATATCCACCAGTGTCAATGCATCTCTAAAATATGCATCGAGTACCTGGAGAACACCCACAAACAGCGGTGATAATGTTCCCTCATCTCACCCCTCACTCCCTCTCAACCGCCGCTTGTCCACCCTTACCCTTCCCGGGGGGTATAGTAGTCGTCGTAGTCGTCGCGGCGTGACGGAGGGCCGTCTCGGCGAGCTGGGGGGCCTCCGTAGCCATCCCTGTCACGGCCTGCAGCACAGGGTAACCCCCGAAATGATTTAAATACTCAGTTTCCCCCTACACAATCACAACTTGCCCTCACCACTCGCCAGGGATATGTGGACAGAAACAGGTAGGTGCTAGATTACAAGTCCATTAAATTTTAAATTTTCAAATAGTATGTAAATGACACCTCGAAGTAACCCGTTCTAGATAGCTACATTACATTGGTATTTTTTTACTTTAATTAATTTTGGCTATCTTTCAGTGTGGTCTCGTAAACACATTTTACTGTGGCTCAATTATGGGTTAGGGAATTGAGTGCCCAGTGAATTTCTCATCATAGGAGGGAGGTGACGTTCAAAGCCCCACAGAATAGACTTGGGACTGAACATCAAATGCATTACTGTTGGGAGTGCTTTATCTTTTGTAGCTCCTGTTTAATCGACTACATTCATACATAATAGCTCCCCTTTCAAGTTTCAAATCACAATTCTAAACTTAGTTTGCTGCTGCCTACGACTTGTGTGCTGGGCCTTCATATTCGGCCTATTGGGGTGCCGTTTGCATGGATGACGCTGCGTGAGATTAAACTCGTTGTTGATCTGTACTTTCGTCGATGTTGGAGCTTAGGTGTTTGCCATTGACCCAGCTGGTTCGTGTTGTGCTGCCTTTTGTACCCTTGATCCTGTTTATATTTCGTTTCGATGGTGTTCGTGCAATTTTTAATGTTAACGTGGTTAGTGATGTTCAGCATTGAGATGTAATTTGCATAAATGTAATGAAAAAATTATTCTTAAACTTCAATCCTACTTAGCGTTTCACTAATCTGCATCTTTCGTCGATAGCACTAATATATTGTTTATTTCTATTTCATCTCACTAATCTGTAACTCTTCTACCGTTCTCATATCCCTATCTCATTAATCTCTCATCGAAAGTTTTCAAGTCAGTGTCATTTTTCCACCAACTAATCCATATCTGTTTCGGGTGGGCCAAAACTCTCGGTGGCCCATTGGACACCAGTTGGATCAGTTCTTACGCTGGCCGATGCTCCGAGTTTCTTAGAGGAAAAACCACAACAGCACGGTCGACTCAGTGGTTCACTGCTCATCACGGCACCGGGGTCATTCGCACTCCTTGTGCGATTCAGGGTCGTAATTCCAGAACAATTTTTTCATCCCCATTGGGTGGTCGTGTGGAATATATGACATTGAGGTTTGTTTACGTGATGTTACGATCACTTGATTGCGCCCCGCAACTTATCAGATCTTGGAAGCTAAATGAGTTTGAGCCTGAACAGTGTCCGGATAGGCAAGTGCTCTGCAGAAGAGCCAGTTGATGGAGGAAGTCCAATAGGTCCAAGATTGAGTCATCGAGTTAGCTGCAACGAGGGAGGGACCCGGTGATGAGGAGCCTCACCTCGGTAGGATCCGCGCCCACCCCGGAAGCCAAACCCCCGATAAGAGCCGAATCGACCACCGCCTTCGAACGATGGCTTCGTTGCCTGCTCCACCTTGATATTCCTGCCATCCAGGGGCTGTGGCAGGGGAACACACGCGGGGGGGGAATCAAGAGTCCACACGTCACGGAATCTCAACGGCATGCCACACTCCTGACAATCCAGACTATGCTTACACAAGAAACCGATGGGTCTTGTGTCAAACTAAATTGTTTCGGCCTTGAGTACAGGGATTGTTAACCACCCTGGATACACACACAAATACAATGTACATGGAAAACTATTCAAATACAGTAAAACCTTGGATTGCGAGCATAATTCGTTCCGGAAACGTATTTGTAATCCAAAGCACTCGTATATCAGTTGTGATCACATGACGCTCGGCAGACAAAACGTATACGTACTACTCCTATTGCAAAACCACGCTCGTTTATCAATATCTATTTAAAAATTTTGCTCGTCTTGCAAAACACTCGCAGACCAAGTTACTCGCAATCCACGGTTTAACTGTAGTTGATTCCTGCACCACCCTGCGAACCCAACTACATGAGTTTTGTTCCTGGCCACGATCAACAGGAGTGAATTTCCAAACCGTTGCAGGGTTCCCCCCCCCAACCTCCTGTCTGTATCAGGACAGCCATATTGGTGTCAGCGAGGCCATGTTGGCTCCACAATCATTCAGGGCGACCATGTAGGTGGCGGCCGAGTGTAAACTAGGAACCAGTTTAATCTGTGCCTCGCGTGACACAGTGAGGGCAAGGGGAGGCCATCACTGTAACGCCTAGCGGGGCATATGTGAGATGTCAGGTTAAAGCATTTGGGTTCTATGCAAGTCAGAGGGTCCTACCTATGCAAGTACATCCTTATTACACAGTGCTCAAACGCCCTGGCATGATAAAAAAACCTAGTTATTGCATTAGTCGGACTTCAAATCAGACAGTTCTATTATTAGACAATTTCATGCCTGTGTGAACATTATCAGTTGAATATATCTATGAAAAGTCTGTGGAGCGCATTGCAATATTTTTTGTTTAGGGCAATTGTGACCCGGGTCATTCTTGGAAAAGAGACTACCCTGGTCTCGAGTTCAAACCTGGCCAAGCAAAACAGATACGAATCTTAAACAGTGTGTGGAACTAATTAAGTGTTTTACTCTGAACAGTATGGTAGAACTGAAGGTGCAGACTGCACAGGTCATGGCACTCACCTTCCCGTTCATGTCCCTCTCGGCACCCTTCGCGTCGTCAGGGTTTGCAAACGTCACAAAAGCGAAGCCTCTCGAGCGGTTTGTCTCCCGGTCCTTCATGATCAGCACTGGGGAGGAACACGAGCAGATATTAGAGACAGAGCCATTGAGAAATAAAGGACAGCAGAGAGGGGCACAGAACCAAAGGAGATAAACGGCCCACAGACAAAACAATGACAGAATATAGAGGCATGGACAAAGAGTAGAAGACAAAAACAAATGGTAAACAGGACAGGAGGTGAATACGGGAGACATAGGGGACTCAAAGACAGGAGACTAGTATGGATCTCGATGGTGCCAGCTCAGCGCTGACCTCCGGTCCACCTCTTGCCCTAGTTGTTAATAAGCAGTCAGTGCTCAGTACTTCTTAGAGGACAGGATGTGAACATCATTTGTTCTCAGAGTTGAAGATTCATCACAGCACTGCGATCACAACTTGGACCACCTGACCCGCACACATTACAGCCTTTATGGGCCTGTATTACTAGGATTCGGGGTTAGCCACTTTGACCATCTTTAACAATCATTTTCCTGCATTCGTGTGCGTTAATGGTTGATTACTTCCTGTAAAGCGATGTGAAGCCTTGTGTGAATGGCACTGTTAAAAATGGAGTTTTCATTCATTCCTGCCAGAACCCAGTTGATGAAGTAGTGGATTAAAAGCATGATTTATTTTTAGTCAGATCATGGTCTCCACGTAGAGGATCCCGGGTTGTATGGAGCTTATAAGTACTGGTGTGATGCCTTACTCCCCTATTTCGTAATTCAATGAATTTCCATGATTCAGGCTAATAATTCGATTCAAGAATGAATCAAGTTTTTTTTAACAGTGTGACCATAGTAGCCTGTATTAGCTGCTGGGGTCAGGTGAACCGATTACACACAAAAGAATGAACAATTCCTAGATTTGTTCAAGCCATAGGATGTGTGAAGTGTGAGCTGGACAAAATTAAACTATAATCGATAAAAAGCTGTGGCCATACACTATAAATAAACACGCATAAGATGCTCGAGATCTTCTGGACAGAATGAAAATATTGGCTTTGTACAAAAAACTAACTCAAGTGCCAACATACAACCTGCCTTGTGGAAGCAGTAAGGCATCTTCTATGGGCTCCGACCACTTGCGTACAAGTGGTCGGAGCCCAGAGAAGATGCGTAACAAATGGGAGCGCACCTTCAGCGACCCTCCCATACTTGGAGAAGATCGTCTCCAGCGCGTTTTCATTTGTATCGGTGCTGAGGCCACCGATGAACAATTTCCCTGGATCAACCTCGCCCATCTTGAGACAAGAGTTCCTGCAATAAACGCAAGAGCAGTTAAAACACGACAGCAGTACGTACCGATCAGTACCAGGGCTCAACCATCTCAAGAGCATTAAACACAGCAGTTTTGTCTTATTTGGTATGTCGAGATGCAGAGATAAGCAACTGAATTTTTGAATAGCAACAAAAAGAAGTCTAGACCACTTAGCCATTCAATGGAGTTGGCTATGAGCTCATTAATTGCTTTGATTTGTCGTTGACCATGTACTGTTTGCAGTCGTAGGTACTGTTTTATCTCGGACATAATTAAGATAGAGCAGTTGAGTCTTAAACCACAAAACAGCATGTGTGCACGCCTTGCCCTATGATAAAATGATACACGGGCTGGAGAATAACACATCGTAGTCTACAATCTTTATCCACTACCTCTGGCCTCGGTGTCCAAAATGTACCTTACATTTGTTTAACACATTGTTAATGTTATCTGCCCTATTGACGCTTTCTGGTCAGAGGTCGTGTCCTAAAGCACTGCAGAGAAAGGGCTATGCCAGCACCATCACAACGCGTGTATGAAACCACAACCTCGAGAGTGAACGGCCATGTTCGGTTTTCGAAGTAAAATACAGGTTAACTCTCCGGTTTATTTAAATGAATATTAAGTTACGTTTGAAAAGTCGCCGCATAACTCCCACGACCCGGTAAGCGTGTGGGTGAGGCCCCCATCCAGCAGCAGAAAGAAAGCATCCGCCCACGTGGGGATCACTCAACGGCGTAAGCACATGCGCAGTGGCGCCAACCGAGGGCTCTTTCAGAGGCCTGGTGGGTGGGGATTGGTAATCTGCGAACGCGATTGGTCTACACGCGACACGTGATCGGAACCGGCCAATGAAACGCAACCTCGCGGGGCTACGACGCTTAACATGGGCGGTTTAAAACACGCGGCCGGGGATCCCGCTTTCGTAATCCTAGCTGTAAATATATCGGCTTAAATTTTAAAAAATATATACTGAGAATAAGCGAGTTAGCTCGACGCGGCTCGCGGGGAAAACTCGATCGCAAAGAGGCGCCTTCATCGCCCCCCACCCCGAACAATAGAAAATGGCCGCGAAACAAAAAAGCCACCTTTTTATTCCAAAACGTCCGCATTAAAACGCAGACGTCTGCATGCGGCGAAATCGCCTTGACTATAAACGTAAGTGCGCAGATAAGTAGGAAATAAAACGGTGAATTAAAATCCGCGGAGAAAGCACGAACACACAACCACTCACCCTAGAAAGCCACGAACAGAATGGCGGAGCGCGCAAAGGATTGCGGGAGGGCGCGTCGCGTCTCTTATAGGACCCGCCTAAATTATGTTAATGTGACACCGAAGGTTTCATTGGTATGCATATATTATGCTACTATTACGAACATTTGATTGGACTGCTTAAATTATGTTAATTATATGCTTTGTTTGATTGGCTTCTGCGTATTTTAAATTTATGTTAAACTACACATTTTATTTATATTCCTATCTACGTGACTTTACCGAAAGACCCAAAGAATATGAATTCCTGCAGTCACGAAAGCTTTAAGTCAAGATTACACATTTGATTGGCTCACATTTTTTTATTACTCTGTTACGGTGTATTTGATTGCTTTAAGCAATAGCTCATGATCTATTAGTATTTGATTGAGTTTATCCAGATCCTCTTGGTTATTACGTAAATTGTGTTCATTTACCCAGGGATAAATTGCGTGAAAATGTTGAATGCTTATTGAACTTTAATTAGGACACCAAATTATAATGTAAACGATTATCGATAAATTACGTTGATGATTCCTCGAGCTTTGTGAACAGAATATAAACATCTGCTTGAGGGTTGTCAAAATCTAATTTCGCAATTACGGTAATGAAAACCCGGTTACCGTTTGCCGCACATTTAGAAATGTCTTGGGAGTAATCGTGTGTGACTTGTATCTAGAACACTCTTTCGCACTGTATGTAGCCAGCCGTGCTAATCGGAGGTGCAGCAAAGTAGACCAAATAACCGCTCGGGCTCCTTTTAATAATGGGAGGCTCTTCCTCAAGCAATGATCAGCAATGGCGTAAGCATTGCTCCGTTTTCAGTTTAATTTCTTAGGTATAGCCCTGTGAGCCATGAGCCTCTTGACTCGGGTGCAACCGCAACAAACTAAACATGAACAAAGAACATCTTTAAAAAAACACTCTATATCAACGCTGTGTGCAAAAATCCCAATGGGATGCAAGTCTAACAATAATAACCATAAGACAATTCAGATAAAGTTATCAGGCTAACTCCGTACTTCAACAGACATGGCTTAACCATACGTTTTCTAAATTACCAAAATAAAGCTATAAAAGCAATGTAAGTGATCATAGGAACTGCGATTAAAATTTAACAATAAACGATACACATCACATGTACGACCAAACTTTGCAGCTAATAGCTGGCATCATGAGTCACTGCACCTTTCTAGATCAGCACACTTTTAGAAGCGAAGGGAAATGTATTTAGGCCGCGGTGTGGTTTGTACGTTCGCCCATTACATTCCGTGTATTTTAATTCTACTTATTTCGCATATGATTAAAGTAGCAAAGATAACCGACGTTACGTGTACAACATATTAGCTGATGGCGGCTTCCAGGCATTCACGCCCTCGGGGAAGGCTCGCTTTGTCGGAAGGATAGTTCATAGTTTCATTTATTTGGTATAGCCCTGTGAGCCATTCGAATCTTGAATCGGGTGCAACCGCAACAAACAAAAAAAACATGAACAAGAAAATATCTTAAAGTGATTATGTGACTGTTCAAACAGAAAATACAGGAAAAAAATATCAAAAATATTCCTGAAATAGCACCGTACACCAACGCTGTGTGCAAAAATCCCAGTGGGATGCAAGTCAAATAACAACAACAACAACCACAAGACAACTAAAATTAAGGCCATCAGTCTAACTCCGTACTACAATAAACAAAAACATGGCCAAAACAAAAAAAAAACGTTTTCGAAATCACCAAAATAAAAGCCATAAATCCAATGTAACAGTGATCATAGGGACTGTGACCAAATTTTTAATAAACTACATAAATACATTATAACACCAAAATCTAGAGCCATATTTTAGGCCACTGAATAGCAGTGGCGGGTGCAAAGATTCCCAGGCCAAGTGTCTTTCTTGTCAGAGATCAGTGATCTTTTATTTTGGGTAAGTTAACGATGGTGACCCGAATAAAGCGGCATGCAGGTTACATGGGGTGGGTTTACAGGGGTTGCAAAGAACAAATGTAAGGACATCGTATAAACATGACTAATACAGTACCAACAAAGCAGAACTATGTACTGTATAATGAAAACCTTGTAAGCAATTCAAAATATTGGGTAAACGATAAGATTCTGGAAGCGTCGACTGGTTATCGTTTCAGGATCCCAATCTACTTTAACTTGGGTTAACACATTCTAAAGGCAGTGATTTTAATTCGGGGAAAAAAGCAAAAGTTACTCAACGTATCCGTGAGTGGTGCATCGAGTCTCTTGCCCGCAGGAATGGAAGCTTATAGTCTTTGGTTCTTTCGGTAAAGTCACGTAGGTATAAAATAAATCACTTTTAAAAGTCTGCCTCAGCAGCAGACCATGCTTTCCCACCTGATGATGGACGCTTATATTGCGCCAGAAACGTCGTGATTTATTTTACACCTACGTGACTTTACCGAAAGAACCAAAAACTATGGATTCCTGCAGTCACGAAAGCTTCAAATCAAGCTTGAATTGGCGCTTTCGTTGACTGCAGGAATTACTCTGTTTTTTTCGGTAAAGTCACGTAGAAATAAGAAAATTGTTTTATTTTTTTACCTACGTGACTTGCAGTCACGAAAGCTTCAAATCTAGAAAAGAAAATTATTTATTATTTCTACGTGACTTAAAATCAAGATTAATGGAAACCTACGTGAACAATGTGAGTTATTCCGTTTCGAAACACGATTCAATGCAGTATCGATTATATACCACGATTTTTGCTGTGCAACATCCAATTAGTGTAAAGCGATTAAGCATGACGACTTCATGGATCGATTACTGCATCATTTTGGGCGGGAAGCGAAGCGCACTGTCTCGCGTGCGTGGCCCCGCCCTCCGTGACGTCACCGCTAGTCTAACCCCGGCCTGGGCCGGGCTCGGGGAGGCCCCGCGTCTCCCCTGCACTCTCCGCTCTCTCCCCTCGCCTCGCTCTCTCCACACTCTCCCTGCGCTCACGGCCCCACGGAGGCGCCCTCAGGTGAGCGAGAGACGCAGCCCGTGAGGCGTGACCGTGTGAGGCAAGCTCGGCGCTTGAGTCCACCGTGGCGGCTTCTTCTCGTTAATGCGGACGCGCGGTCGGTGTTGTGCGCGCGCGCCGCCATGCTCCGTGCGCGGCGCGGGAATTTCATGGCGGTGCTGTTGACGGTGATGTTGATGGTGTTGTTGATGGTGTTGACGGTGATGTGCGCGGCCGCCATGTTGGGTTGGTGTCGCTGGCCGCCATTGTCAAGCGAGGGGAGGGGCTACAGCACCCACAACTCCCACAGCCCCGCCCTTCACTCCCCTCGAGTGGGCACGCCCCTCATCCCCCCCCATGATGTCATCCCCAATGCAGCCCCGCCCCTTACTCCACCCCCACCTAATCAAGCCAAATTCTCAAGTGCAGTGAGTTTATGGTCTGAGCCAATTCGCCAATGGCTGCACATAAATCAACCGCATTCAGTCTGTTTCTGCAACTCAATTTGGCCGCATTCCAGCGCTGAGAATTGCAAGAACAGTTTGTCGTTAAAAGGACATTTATCTCCGTAGCAAGGCAGGTGGGAAAGTGCTGCCCCCTACTGTGTTGAGCTACTCACTTAAGGCAGCTTCTGCGGTATCTGCTTCCGTGGGCCATTAGTTAACTTGAAGGATTACACTGCCCTGACACCGATAGCTACAATATAAATTAAATTAGGAGAACACATTTCAATAATGAGGTTTTCCTCAATAAGTCACCTCCATCGTGTGTGGTGTGTGTGCATTTCCAGTCATGGCTAATATCAGTTGGGAACATTTGAACCGGTCTAGGATATCCCCTCTATCGACTCTTCCTTAATATATCTGGTGTGGTGTAAGCATCACTACTGAGGAGACTAAGGCAGCTCGGTGGTTATTCTGGCCATGCTACCTTGCACGCAAAGCTACCAGTAATAAGTGCCTGCCCAAACGTTTCTCTAAACAGTCTTTATCAACCGATGTAGACTAAGCGACATAATTAATGAATCGCCAGCTATGATCAATCTACTGCTGGATAAAGGATCCATAAGCCTGTGATATAACAATCTGGCACCTGAACCTCGAGTTTATTTTATCCCTGATCTCCTGGGCACGTTTAACTACTTTGGCTGCCACAACCCAATAAAGTATCCAAACTAATTCGTAGTGCCAAACTAGAACAGACCTCCTAATATAATGAGTACTTTGATATTCCTGCCATTCTTAATGTGCAAGGCTATTAAGACGGTGCTGTGTTCACAGACGGGTACAGTCTGCCAGTGGGGGCCATGCCGCTCTGTGGTTTTGCTCAATATGTGAGTAATGTTTCACATTCATCAAATTTTTACGGTGATCTGGGCACACATGGCCTACGCTTTTTTTTAAACGTTAAGGGAACTGTAACGTCAACTGTGAATGAGACGGTGCTTAGCAATTATGGTGAATACGTGTATTAACCAGGGCGGCCGCTGAACTCTCTAACCGCCACGAACACGTTGCAGCAGATGGCAAACGTGCTGCCGTTATGTCACTGCCCCCGGGAAGCTGGAGTTGCAGGCCACACAAAGCGAGTGTGTTACCATGTCGGCGTGAAGGCCGTCCCGAATGAGCCGTGGCCATGGAGAACGAGGAGGACAGCCTGAGCACCGAGCTGCAGTTCCAGGAGGAGAACGTGGTCACCACGGTGAGGGGTGAGGAGGAGGTACATGACGCAGGTGAGATACCTTTCCCGACCCTCGCGTCTTTCACACTTTGCCTATGGTTTGTGCAGGGTCAGTGATGTCATTGCCTAAAGCCGGCTCCACCCCTCAACAATCCATTGCACTATAAAATCATACCCAAATTTGCCTGCAACTGCTATGTACACATTTACCGATTAGTTGTGCAACAAGGGAATTATACGGCGCATTCAGGATTATCATGACAAATCACAGTTCGCATATCCATGTGTGTGACACCTTTTGTGGTGGGCAGTGGTGATGCAGTGGTTAGTGTGCTGCACTTCGAACCCGGCGAAATGAGTTTGATTTCCGTTCATAACCAATAACAGTGATGGATCATTGAGCTGGTCCTGGGCATCCTCTTGGTCTACTCAGTGATAAATTAGTACTGTACCTGGTGTGGTATATTAAACCACCACTGGGGGGATAAAGACGGCCGAGCGTGGCGTTGGCCACTCACCCCTCCATGCCAACCTTGATAGGTGTTCGATAATACTTTCCCAAACTTTCTGTAACAGGCTATACAGGTGATCTTTGTCTTGCTGTAATATGCATGTATTTGTGATGTACAGTACAGTGAGGGAAAAAAAGTATTTGATCCTCTGCTGATTTTGTACATTTTCCCACTGACAAAGAAATTATCAGTCTATAATTTTAATGGTAGGTTTATTTGAACAGTGAGAGACAGAATAACAACAAACAAATCCAGAAAAACGCATGTCAAAAATGTTATAAATTGATTTGCATTTTAATGAGGGAAATGAGTATTTGACCCCTCTGCAAAACATGACTTAGTACTTGGTGGCAAAACCCTTGTTGGCAATCACAGAGGTCAGACGTTTATTGTAGTTGGCCACCAGGTTTGCACACATCTCAGGAGGGATTTTGTCCCACTCCTCTTTGCAGATCTTCTCCAAGTCATTAAGGTTTCGAGGCTGTCGTTTGGCAACTCGAACCTTCAGCTCCCTCCACAGATTTTCTATGGGATTAAGGTCTGGAGACTGGCTAGGCCACTCCAGGACCTTAATGTGCTTCTTCTTGAGCCACTCCTTTGTTGCCTTGGCCGTGTGTTTTGGGTCATTGTCATGCTGGAATACCCATCCACGACCCATTTTCAATGCCCTGGCTGAGGGAAGGAGGATCTCACCAAAGATTTTACGGTACATGGCCCCGTCCATCGTCCCTTTGATGCGGTGAAGTTGTCCTGTCCCCTTAGCAGAAAAACACCTCCAAAGCATAATGTTTCCACCTCCATGTTTGACGGTGGGGATGGTGTTCTTGGGGTCATAGGCAGCATTCCTCCTCCTCCAAACACAGCGATTTAAGTTGATGCCAAAGAGCTCCATTTTGGTCTCATCTGACCACAACACTTTCACCCAGTTGTCCTCTGAATCATTCAGATGTTCATTGGCAAACTTCAGACGGACATGTATATGTGCTTTCTTGAGCAGGGGGACCTTGCGGGCGCTGCAGGATTTCAGTCCTTCACGGCGTAGTGTGTTACCAATTGTTTTCTTGGTGATTATGGTCCCAGCTGCCTTGAGATTATTGACAAAATCCTCCCGTGTAGTTCTGGGCTGATTCTTCACCGTCCTCATAAGCATTGCAACTCCACGAAGTGAGATCTTGCATGGAGCCCCAGGCCGAGAGAGATTGACAGTTCTTTTGTGTTTCTTCCATTTGCGAATAATCGCACCAACTGTTGTCACCTTCTCACCAAGCTGCTTGGCAATGGTCTTGTAGCCCATTCCAGCCTTGTGTGGGCCTATAATCTTGTCCCTGACATCCTTGGAGAGCTCTTTGGTCTTGGCCATGGTGGAGAGTTTGGAATCTGATTGATTGCTTCTGTGGACATGTGTCTTTTATACAGGTAACAAGCTGAGATTAGGAGCACTCCCTTTAAGATTGTGCTCCTAATCTCAGCTTGTTACCTGTATAAAAGACACGTGGGAGCCAGAAATCTTTCTGATTGAGAGGGGGTCAAATGCTTATTTCCCTCATTAAAATGAAAATCAATTTATAACATTTTTGACATGCGTTTTTCTGGATTTTGTTGTTGTTATTCTGTCTCTCACTCTTCAAATAAACCTACCATTAAAATTTTAGACTGATCATTTCTTTGTCAGTGGGAAAACGTACAAAATCAGCAGGGGATCAAATACTTTTTTCCCTCACTGTATATGCATGGTGCTTGATGTGTTTGTACTCTATGTGTGTCGTGTGATGTCTCGCTTGTGTTATGTTACGTGTTTGATGTTGCAGTGGCGATGTCCCCGTGTCTGCTGATGCCATCGCACGGGCGCCTTGCGATTGATGCGGTGACGAAGCTCAGCTCATCGGTCACAATGAAGCCGGCCTCCCAGCAGGAGGAGGAGGGCACGTGCAAGGGTTTCCTTCTGTACAGCGCATCGTGCCACACCAGCACAGGCCCAGCCACTGCCCTGACCAGCTCCCCCATGCTCACCACCCTCGCACTCCCACGCCTCCACTCCTACCCGGCCCCTCCAGGTGGGTCTCCGACATGGAAAGCAAGGGGGCACATTTGGAAGTTAGATATTCAAATCTTAGGGTGGGTCTCCTCTAGGTTGACTCAGCCTTAAATGAGTACCTGGTACGTTGTCAACATCAGCACTGAGGAGAGACAACAGACGGCTGGGTATCATGTTCACCATTCCCTTGTGTACAGTCTCAGCCTAAGTAGGTGCTCACTCACACTTGCCCCAACCGTCTGCTTAGGCTATACGGGGGATCTTAGTTTCTGTAAGGGCAATGACATGGCCCAGCAGGAGCGTGTTGGCCGCATATTGCAGAGGTTTGCGGTTCGAACCCAGCATTAGTGAATTCGGCGGGTATAGTAACCACACATTCACTGTGATTCACAGTGGATGTTTACTACATTCACATTTGTAATCGAGTAAGGCAATGTGTTGCCAGTGTCGTGGGCCAAATTCACACAGCAACATCGCCCGCTACTGCAGACTTACAGCCCACTTGCAGGCTGATGCTGTGTTCACCTTGTGCTCAGCAGCACAGGGACAGATGTCACCAGAGACAGTACCCTTGGCTCGACTGGGCTGTTCTGCTTGGGAGGCACTGTATGGATAATTATTAGTGGTGATCGTTTGTGTATGTGTGCGCAAAGTCCCATCGGTGAGCTCCTCCGGCAGGCAAGGCTGCGTTGGCTGGGTCATGTATACCGCATGCCCAGCCACCGCATGCCTCTAAACAGCTTTTGTTCGGCCGGATAGAGGGGGCTAAATGGGCGCGGCACGGGCTAGAGAAGAGATGGAGTGATGTGGTACAGGAGGACATGGAGCTGAGTGGACTTGCCGTGGACTTGCCGATGACTGGTACCAGCGGTGTCAAGATCGGCCTCTGTGGAGGAGGCTCGTGAAGGACGCTACTGGGCAGTTGGAGGCAGTCGCCCTCCAACAACAACAGAGGGCGGAGGAGTGACGCTCACAACAACGAGCGGAGCGCCGGGTGGCTAAAGCACAGAAAGTTGGCACAGTAGGGGGCACAGGTGGTGCATCAGCCGGTCATCTCAGTCATCTCAGTCAGTCGACTCGTGGCACCTGGGTCTGCCCCGTGACCTGCCAGCAGGCGTTCGACACTTCACGTGGCCTCAAGTTGCACATGGCCTGGCACAAGCGTCGTGGTGACGTCACCGCCACTTAGTGGCGAATGGCGGTTGTTGTGTTCACTGCACGCTCCTGTATCTCTCACTGCGTGTAGGTGGCAGTGTCACGGTGGACCACAGCGACGTGATGCCCGAGGTCTCTCTGGACAGTGCCGGCTCACTCACCCAGCAAGATAAGATGGTCTACATGGCCGTGAAGGACTCTGAGCCAGAGGGGGAGGATGTGAGAAGTGAGTGTGGCTCTCCCAACCTCTTCCCAACGCTCCCCTACCTTTCCCCAATGCAAACCCCAACACAGGCTGAGCCTTGAAGCTTCAATTAGAGGAAAACACTCGGATTGTAGAGATACCGTGAAGTGTCTCAATTAGGTAAAACATATTTTTTTAACACTCTCCAACCATCTGACTAATGTGGGGACACGATCATTTTTGTAAGATGATCCGATATGAATAACATTTTGTACCAGAGCTTTGTTGCTGTTTGTTACTGGTCAAATTCACCACGGATATGCGAACAAAAAGTGGTTAAAAGATAAGCCTTGGCCTGAGTGATAACGTGTGTGTGTGTCAGGCTGTGCGGACATGACAGACGAGGTATACATGGAGGTGATCGTGGGCGAGGAGGAGGAAGGCGTTGCTGTGGTATCGGATTCGCCCCAGGGTGACGTGGCGCTTGGCTGTGACTTCCTGCCTGTGCCGTGGACGGTGGAGTACAGTACGTGGGGCATATGGGGTCACTGAGGGTCAGGGGTCACTGAAGGCCGGGGGTCACCGAGGAGTGAGGGAAGCGGAGTCCGGGAGATAGTGTGAGATATCTTCTCACCCACTGTGGGTCAGGCGATGCCCAGCGAATCCAGTGACTCGCAAAGTGCCTTCCTGCTCCAACACGTGTAGGCAGTGCTCATCTTTATGTTGAGGCGTAAATGACAACTTGGAGGCAGATCTTCATGTAGGGGCTTGCGCCAGTTGGTTTATTAAGGACTTTTCTTCATACACGACTCCGTGTACTGCACGCTCACTGCCTACACTCCACACCCCAGGGGAAGGGTACTGGGGATTCCCTAGCACACCCCCAGGCTCCCCGAACATGGTGCTAATTTCCCCCTACCCTGGGTCCCAACTTCACACGTTCCTGGCTCCCCGCAACGACCTCGAACACGTCACGGGTCCCAACCTAAATATCCCAGGGGGACATGATGTCACCGTCCCGCCCCCTGTCCATGACGTCACCATACGTGATGTCATCGTACCGGAGGGCGAGCGTGACATGACGTCACTAACTACTACTCTACATCTATACAGTGAGGGAAAAAAGTATTTGATCCCCTGCTGATTTTGTACGTTTGCCCACTGACAAAGAAATGATCAGTCTATAATTTGAATGATAGGTTTACTTGAACAGTGAGAGACAGAATAACAACAACAAAAATCCAGAAAAACGTATGTCAAAAATGTTATAAATTGATTTGCATTTTAATGAGGGAAATACGTATTTGACCCCTCTGCAAAACATGACTTAGTACTTGGTGGCAAAACCCCTGTTGGCAATCACAGAGATCAGACGTTTCTTGTAGTTGGCCACCAGGTTTGCACACATCTCAGGAGGGATTTTGTCCCAATCCTCTTTGCAGATCTTCTCCAAGTCATTAAGGTTTCGAGGCTGTCGTTTGGCAACTCGAACCTTCAGCTCCCTCCACATATTTTCTATGGGATTAAGGTCTGGAGACTGGCTAGGCCACTCCAGGACCTTAATGTGCTTCTTCGTGAGCCACTCCTTTGTTGCCTTGGCCGTGTGTTTTGGGTCATTGTCATGCTGGAATACCCATCCACGACCCATTTTCAATGCTGTGGCTGAGGGAAGGAGGATCTCACCAAATATTTTATGGTACATGGCCCCGTCCATCGTCCCTTTGATGCGGTGAAGTTGTCCTGTCCCCTTAGCAGAAAAACACCTCCAAAGCATAATGTTTCCACCTCCATGTTTGACGGTGGGGATGGTGTTCTTGGGGTCATAGGCAGCATTCCTCCTCCAAACACGGCGATTTAAGTTGATGCAAAAGAGCTCCATTTTGGTCTCATCTGACCACAACACTTTCACCCAGTTGTCCTCTGAATCATTCAGATGTTCATTGGCAAACTTCAGACGGACATGTATATGTGCTTTCTTGAGCAGGGGGACCTTGCGGGCGCTGCAGGATTTCAGTCCTTCACGGCGTAGTGTGTTACCAATTGTTTTCTTGGTGACTATGGTCCCAGCTGCCTTGAGATCATTGACAAGATCCTCCCTTGTAGCTCTGGGCTGATTACTCACCGTTCTCATGATCATTGCATCTCCACGAGGTGAGATCTTGCATGGAGCCGCAGGCAGAGGGAGATTGACAGTTCTTTTGTGTTTCTTCCATTTACGAATAATCGCACCAACTGTTGTCACCTTCTCACCAAGCTGCTTGGCAATGGTCTTGTAGCCCATTCCAGCCTTGTATAGGTCTACGATCTTGTCCCTGACATCCTTGGAGAGCTCTTTGGCCTTGGCCGTGGTGGAGAGTTTGGAATCTGATTGATTGATTGCTTCTGTGGACAGGTGTCTTTTATACAAGTAACAAGCTGAGATTAGGAGCACTCCCTTTAAGATTGTGCTCCTAATCTCAGCTCGTTACCTGTATAAAAGACACCTGGGAGCCAGAAATCGTTCTGATTGAGAGGGGGTCAAATACTTATTTCCCTCATTAAAATGCAAATAAATGTATAACATTTTTGTTATTCTGTCTCTCACTTTTCAAATAAACCTACCATTAAAATTATAGGCTGATAATTGCTTTGTCAGTGGGCAAACGTACAAAATCAGCAGGGGATCAAATACTTTTCTCTCACTGTATATGTTGAACTTCTTTCGCACCGTATGTAGTAAACTATGCAAATCGGAGGTGTGGGGGAATGACAACAAACTAAACACAACAAGCATTTCTAAGAAATTAGTTTTCAATCTAGATATGATGCTGCATGTGTAGTGGATTCCAGGATACGGAGACGGCAGAGTAGAGGCAGCACTTTATTTAAACCTTAACAAGGGTTACACTAGAAGGGGTAGCGGCCCCTTCACCCGTATAACTCAGGAACACACCCCAGGCTCTCTAGCCTAAGCTCTAGGCTCCCAGTTCCTCCTGGTAGGGCTCTAAGGGAGGCTATCAGACCTGGCCCTGGTTAGGCACAGATCTCGGCACCCCGCCGACCAGACCGGCCCTTAGAAGGACTCTGGCTCTGGGGCTCTGGGGCCGCACCACTGGCTTGCTGTGCCGGCCCTGAAAAGGGCAGCGGTCACAGGAGTTCCAAGGTCTCACCTAGCTGGTCTTCTTTCTTCACTGGTTGCTTCAGCCTCGGGCCCAACACTGCCCCGAGCTCCCTGGCTCCCCGCACTTTATACCCACGGGGTGGAGCCGTAGCGGACGTTGTTGTAGCCACCAAGGTGTGGGTGAACCACACCTTCCCGTGCCATGTGTTTATTCCCCATAGCACCCCTACACATGCGATGCTGTGTGACACAGCTCACCTACGTGGACCTGGTACTCTATGATGCTGTGTGTGACGTGTGTGACGCTGTCTTTGATTGATTGTCGGTTCTGAGCCTCAGGCACCTTCATTCACACCGTTCAACCTGTACTGCTGTTCCTCACTGTTTAACTTGTCGTTTAAACTCACCACCATTACCGTTTCTCACTCTTTAACCTCACCACCACAAAATCTCACTTGTTGCTCCATTGTATGCAGCCACAAGCCCGAAAGTGGCCGACGGAAATGGAGACTTGGGGATGCCGGCACAGCCGAGTAGCGCGGCGTTAGTGCCGGCACTGGTACCGGCGGTGGTGGCGCGAGGAGCAGTGCACAAGAAGCGGGATGGACTTGGCGTGTCTGGTCAGCAGCAGCAGCCATCCACAAGTGAGTCACCACCATTGAAATAGGGGTCATTGAGCATTAAGGTCAGGGATGTTCGTGTGGTAGTGGTGTGTAAGTGGTGATGTTTATGAGTGTTGATGTGTTCGTGTTGGTGAGCTAGTTATGGCGTATATCATGGTTGGTTTGTTCGTGTTGATATGTAAGTGATGGCGTGCTCGTGTTGGTGAATTTGTGATGTTGTGTTCGTGTTAATGGTGGTGTTAGTGTTCGTGTATTAGAGGTAATGTGTTAGTATTGGTATACCAGTTTTCAAGTGTCTGTATTAGTATCGGTTTGTGAAGAGTGTGTGTGTCGGTGTGTTAGTGTGGAAGTATTGTCATGTTGGTGTTACTGATGGTGTGTTAATCTTGGAGTGTTGGTGTGTTCGTAATACAGGTTTTTTGGGTTAGATCGCGTAAATATATAAATGTGTCGTTAAACCCGCCACCACCCGACACAGCCAATTAGTAAGGTTTGTCATGTAAACAAAGGAACGAAACAGGAGGATTTCTCCACAAATCTGGCTGTCGCCTTATGAAGCTAGTTGTATTAAAGCTTTCGTGACTGCAGTAATTCATATTCTTAGCTCTTTCGGTAAAGTCACGTTGAAGGGAAACAATAAAATAATAAAATATATATAAAACAATAAAAAATTCTCACGACGCTTTGACCATAACACAAACGGTCGTCATCAGGTGTGTGGGTTTGCATTAATTTATTGTTTCCCTTCAACGTGACTTTACCGAAAGAGCTAAGAATAAGCTAGTTGTAATTACTGGTGAAACGTCGTACTCGGATTGTAAATGTTGTGGCTTTGCTCTCCAACACACCGGTGTGCTGTTCTCGTAACAAATTGGCATGTTTTGTTTACGTGACAAACCTTACTAATTAGCTGTGCCGGGTGGTGGCGGGTTTAACGAAACATTTATTTACGCGATCTTTACCCAAAAAACCTGTATCAAGGATGATATTGGTCGCGAAAGCCTACGTGTTAAACTGGTATGTTAGTGTTGGCCTGTCCATGGGGACTTCTGATACTCCAGCCAGATTCTTACTGCACGCCTCCCCCGAACACCCTGCCCCTCGCAGCCATAATCATCGGCCCCAATGGAAAACCATTCCACGTGCACCCGTGCAACGTGTGCGGCAAGAAGTTCAAGACGCGGGGCTTCCTCAAGAAGCATATGAAGAACCATCCGAAGCAGACCACCCGCAAGAAGTACCGGTGCACTGACTGTGACTATGGCACGGGCAAGAAGGCAAATTTCCACAGCCACCTCCAGAGCCACCGCCTGGTGCTACTGTCACCGGCGACGATGGCTGCGGCAGCCCTGGGTGGGTCGCACCAGCACCCCACCGAGATGCACAAGTGCCGCTCGTGCGACTACGAGACGGCCGAGCCGTCACTGCTGAGCCGCCACCTCGTGGCCGTGCACAGCAAGAGCTTCCCGCACCGCTGCCCGGAGTGCGGCAAGGCCTTCCGTCACCCGTCGGAGCTGAGCAAGCACGTGCGCATCCACACGGGTGAGAAACCCTATGCCTGTGCCCTCTGCAACTACCGCAGCACCTGCGGCTCCAACCTGAAGGCTCACGTGCGGTGCAGGCACGGAGGGGCCAGCGCCGCGCTAATGCCACCGCCACCACCATTGTCATCACATCGCTGCAACAAGTGCAGCGTTGGACTTCTGTCGGACGGTGAAAGCCGGCAACGGCACTGCTGTACCACCACCGCCGGCGCCGGCACTTTCCACTGCTACCACTGCGGTCACGTGAGTTTCAACAGCAACGCGCTGAAGCGCCACGTCATCTCGATGCACACAAAGGATTTTCCGCACACTTGCGAAGTCTGCGGTAAAGGCTTCCACCTGCCGTCGACGCTGCGCAAGCACGCGGCGCGGCACAAGGACCGGCGGCCGCTGCACGAGTGCCGCCACTGTGGCTTCGAGAGCGGCGACCCGTTCGCGCTGAGCCGGCACATCCTGTCGGTGCACACGAAGAAGGAGGAGGAAGAGGGGGAGGAGGAGGATGCAGCGCTCATGTGCAAGCGCTGCCACAAGTCGTTCCGGCAGAGGGGTGAGCTGAAGAAACACATGAGGAAGGTGCACAACTGCAAGAAGCTGTACGAGTGCGAATTCTGCGAGTACACGACTAGCGACGCGTCGGGCTTCAAGCGCCACGTCATCTCCATCCACACCAAGGACTACCCTCACCGCTGTGAGCTCTGCGGCAAGGGGTTCCGCCGACCCTCCGAGAAGAAGCAGCACGTCCTCAAGCAGCACAAGGACGTGAAGCTGTACGTGGTGCAGCAGTAGGTGCCGCAGTAGCGTTGCACTCAGTTATCACACTTTCTCCTGTCTCCTCCGCTCTGTGAGTGGAGGTGGAGTTTGTGACCCAGCCAGTGGCACCAACTCATGATTTGTCACAAGGAAGAAAAATATTGCACACACGTGGATTATGTAATGCGTTCCAACGTGAGATTGTTTCTAGAAGTATTTAATTTGCGTTAATAACGTTACGCTCTGAGACTTGCAACGAGATGACATCCCTAGGTGTGATTCTGCAGGGGCTGCTCCCATTAACAGAGTGAACGCTCTGCATTCTGGAGTGACTGAGTGGTGAATGCATACCGGTTACACAGGTTTGCTTGCTTGTTCTCCTGCCCCACTGTCTGGAGGAAGCATTGTTTCTAACAAGAGCACAAAGCACAATCGGGGCTATAGGCCAGCATGGATGAAAGGTACTGATTATGCCTAATGCAGTGGAAGCGAATGTTCAGTTGCCAGGTTCCTCCACTGCTAGCTGAGACTCGGTTTGGCTGCCCCTGTGCAGGCATAGGGAGCTCACCAAGTTGTGTCCCATGATGCCGTGCGGCCTCAGAATGAGAGAAACTCACGTGACCAGACCTGGAGATCAATGACAATTGTAACTGTGAAATTGGTAATGCATTGCAATCATAATATAATAGTAAATATTTTAAGTTAACATTGCTTTTGTAATTATAATTGACTCCAGGTTTTCCATGTGACAGTACTTTGACAAATGAACTGCTACGATTCTGTTGCAGACACTTTAAATTCAGAATCTTTAAAGATAAAATAACATACATGTTGTTACTGACATCATGTGTAGGTGAGCTGAAGAGTGGTCAGCATGGTACTGCACTATGAATCCGGGGACCCGAGCTTTGATTACCTGCCATGGCTCACATTTTTTGTCGAGTGACGTCTGAACTGGTTCTGAGCTCATCACGCTTCAACTGTGGAGGATTGTCAGTCTGGTGTGGAATGTCCGTCTCCTCATAGGACGCGCCTATCCCTTCCCTTGCATACGTGTATTTTTTGTTGTACGACTAATGCTCCGTCTTATTTTCATAAGCTCTTACTACGAGTGAATGCTTACACGCAGTATGGAATAAATATATTAAATAGAAAGGATTAACTCTTTTTTTCTTCCGATTGACTTTTATAGCGTTTGGAAATGTGTGGAGACTGTTTAAGGGCTCGATTACTTTAATGAACCCTAAATCAGTACGTTTTACCGCGTACACGTTTAAATGTACATAATGTGTATACGCATATCTATATATGTTTGTGTGTTTCGTAATAATAAATGTGGAATTCCCAATCCATTTCGGTGACGTGAATGTTCCGTGAGTGCTTAAGAGAGCTGTGTTTAGGGGTAATGTTTGCACAGTCACACATAGTCACTTTAAGATGTTTTCTTGTTAATGTTTTTGTTTGTTGCGGTTGCACCCGATTCAAGAGCCGAATGGCTCACAGGGCTATACCAATTAAATGAACTATGAACTAGTTGTGCTCAGGTCACGAGTAGGATTGTGCCCATGATTGAATGGTCCATGTGAGAGGTGTATTGGGTCATAGGCGTACTCGTATTAGGGCGGCATTAATGATGAATACAGTGAGGTTTGTGTTATCATTTGAGCACCACTGCCCGCACTGTTGCTGTTTGTTTAAATTACGACTGTATCTTAGCCTACTTGGCCTGCCAAGTCTCCCTTGCCGAAGTAAGTTCTGAAGGGCACTGAATTGATGTGTGTATCATGTGACAAGCGTTAGCGATGGCCGTGCAGTTGGAATACTGACAGGTGGAGCACTGCTATGAATCTGTTAGACACTTTAAATTTGGAATCTTTAAAGGTAACAAAACATGCCTGTTGTAACTGACATCCATGTGTAGGTTGGGAAGAAGGGTTACAGTGGTTATCACGCTGAGCTATAAACCCGGCTCCCGAGTTTGATTCCCGGCCATGGCTAACATCATTTTGTTATGATATCTAAGCCGGTCCTGAGCGCCCTCGCCACTTCACCACCTTGCACCGACCATCGTGGTGAAGTTTGGTCAAACTAACTCTGTGATCGACAGTCTGGGAAGGCCTTGAATGAATTATTATTTCGTTGCTATTGAAATGTGTAACATTGACAGGGTTATCAGTGTTGATGAAATATGAATTATTCAAGGTGATAATCCGTCTCGGGCTGTGCAGTGATCTCATGGCAGTCGCAGAATTTAATTGAGATCAAGCTCGGCGTCCATGATGAGTGAACGTTGGCAACCGATGTTCTGACTGAACACTTTCGTGACTGCAGGAATTAATATTCTTTGGTTCTTTCGGTAAAGTCACGTAGATAGAAAAATAAAGTGAATAAAAGTAATAAAAATTAAATAAAAAACTAAAAAACCTATAACCACTAATGTAGACTGTAGTCTGGTTCTTAATTTGAGTGAGCGTACCGGCAGTCTATAATGCAGACTATAGCATGGTTAAGTTTGGTGAGTGTACTGGCAGTCTATAATGTAGACTGTAGCAATGGTTATTAAACTTAGTGAGCGTACTCGCATTTTTTTATTTTTAATTACCGAAACAATCAAAGAATAAGTCTACATTATAGACTGCCAGTGCGCTCACACAGGTTAAGAACCAGGCTACAGTCTACTTATAGACTGCCAGTGCGCTCACACAGGTTAAGAACCAGGCTACAGTC